TTTACTAATTGTATAACTGCTCACTAATTGAATAACCGTTCACTAATTGAATAACTGTTTACTAATCGTATAACCGTTTACTAACTGTATAACTATTTACCAATTTTATAACTGTTTACCAATCGTGAAAATTGTGTATCTGTTTACTCATTATATAACTGTTTACTCATTATATAACTGTTTACTCATTATATAACTGTTTACTAATTACATAACGCCTCACTAATTGCATAAATGTTTACTTATTGTATAACTGTTTACGAACTTTATGATTGTTCACTACTTGTATAACTGTTACCGTTTGTGTGGCTGTTTATTCATTATTTTACTGTTTACCAATTGTGTAACTGTTTACCAATTATGTAACTGTTTACCAATGTGTAACTGTTTACCAATTAAGTAGCTGTTTACTCATTATATAATTGTTTACTCATTATATAATTGTTTACCAACTGTATAATTGTTTACTAATTGTATAATCGTTTACTAATTGTATAACCCATGCTTAATAATTGTGTAATTGTTTACTAATTTGTTTGCCAACGAACACACCGTGAATCATTGACAATACCATCATTATAGGATTTGCCTTTTTGTTACGTAACATAATAAAAGGAACCAAACGGCGTTAGTGTTAGTTGTACGGAATGCAATATGAAATGCAATATTATGTATCATAGAAATGAAACTATATAATGGGTTATCGTCTCAAGTCTGTACACTATCCTGGCTAATAAATACGTGTTCTTTTAGGGAAATTGTGCCCTGACGTGGTGAAATTAAAAATAAAAAATCACCGTTTTTTGTGTTTTTTTGTCGTACACTGCATGCCATTCAATAAAATCTAATGTAATTAAGTGCTTCACAAATAATACCTAAGAAGTATAGATATCTCAAATTAAACCCTTAATATTACATTTATTTACATAATACTAGCAAACACCCTTAAATTACACAACATACGTTAACAAGCCTGTGTGGGCGTCTTTAATACAGTTTATAAAGATAAATACAAATATTTCAAGGTCTATCAGATTTATTCTATAGCTGTAATAAGACCATACTATATTCACATTTAACCATTGATAATATATTCAACTTAAAAACCACAAACTCTGCTTTATACTGTCTACAGGTGTATCGCGTATATGGTCATGAGAGCAGTGCGAGTGAGAGTGGGAGAGAAATGGGCATTAACGTCCGCTCGACACAAACTATGCCATTTCAGGACTACCATATGGTTCAATTTTATTTCAATAATTTTCTTGCGATTAGGGGTCTTTAGTGGGGGGAAACCTAGGGACCTAGTGAAACTCCCAAGGATGGGAGACGATCTTACTCCTTGTCACGTACAAGCGGGGAAAATAAACCACACCACTTGACTCAATGACAGGCCCTATGATCTAACGCGCACCTATTGCGAGTTGGGTCATCGTCTTAGAATTGAAACTAGCGGGGATATTTTAAGACTTATGACAGTGGGTGAGGGTGCCACTTTAACGACTAACACCCATTGTTTTTGTCTTTTTTGTCTTGGCGGTGGCAACGGGAATGCCGAAGCTACTATTTCAATTACGAATTCGGATCTTAAATGCCATTACGAAGTCTAACCGGGTTTTAGTCAATGTTTAACGGCGATTCGAATTTCTTTTTTCATTCATAGGTAATAATAGGTGATTCTACATGCCCGTTGTACATTTTATAATGACGGTTCATCCAGAGTGGTATACAGTTCCCAAATCCAATATCGTTTCATTTAACTATATAATCCGTAAAGGTTACGTATGTTTACAATTTCAGAACACCCGATACCACTTTTGCATTGATATCCCCAGGCCCGTAACTAGTGGGGGTGGGGGGGGGCTTCCCTCCCCCTGCAAAAAGTTTCGCCCCCCCCCCCCAATGAAAAAATTGTCAACCTTAAAAAAAAACCCTAGATATACAGTGTCCGTCAATTTTATAGCACCCCCGAGAACACTTCCCGCCCCCTCCCACTCGTTACTCTGAACTAGTTACGGCCCTGGATATCCCCCTTGTCGTAACTCATCGTAAAATGTCGTGTATACCACCCGATTAGATTTTATTACATACTTCGAGAAGGTATTTGTTGAGTAATAAAACCTTCTAGTAGTTTATCGAGGACTGGCCGTCCTTACCGCACGGTAATCGGGTGTGTATACCGTGGTCGTGCACATACACGTTCTTCTACGCTTTGCACACTTAAATATATATATATATACATTATTTAAGATTTAGATAAAGAGCCCACCGTTTCAGTCAAATTACGTTATTCTGAGTGAAGTTATCAGTGTTTGAAGTTTTGACAAGATAAAGCGTTAAAAGTTTCGAATGTCAAGTACTATTGCTACGTTAATAAACAAAGTCTCGATTATCATATAGCGCATGTTTTCTAACCCATTAAATATCTAGGACCCCCCATGGTCTAGAGAGTTGATTATAGGCTTGTGAATAATTGTTTAAACAATAATTTATATGGGACTTGAAGCCAAAACAAAGAACTGCAATAGATAGATTTAGCTCTTATATAATGCATCTTTAAGCAATAAAAAAATATATATATATCATTAGCATGTTATAAGGAGCCGTCAGTAGTGAAGATCTGTGGGCCTATAGATAAAGTGCTATTAACTACCTTAAACATCTTCTTTTTAAAAAAACAAAAAACAAACCTGTCTGGTATACAAACTGTTGGGGTCAGCGGTTATCTATTTAAAACTATCTTTTTATTTATTCTTTAACCCAGACGGGATTTAAACTTTACAAACATTTATTTATACAACATTTCTCACGACTATATAACAAATTTAACACGGAGCAGGTATCATCGTAATCACTGTTTGTTAGAGTACTAACCTAGTTTGTCGCCATATTTCAAGCCATGTCCACACGTGTACCTGACAACATTTGATAGTATGCATGGAGTTGTTTCTTATCTTGGTTTGTCAATTAAAGTGAAATTGGGTTTAACGTAACCTCTGGTATGCATTGACAGGCCTAATGAAGATGGGCATACGCCTACAATTATTTTAGAATTCCAACTGTCAAGGATTATTGTACGTGCACGCCAATGTTTAACGGGATCTTGGTTTTTCGTCCAATCCAAACGACTAGACAACTGTCCTTGTCAGGCTCTACCGCCCTGCTCTCGAGGCGATGTATATTTTCTGAACACCTTAAACAACCTGTTTTACATTGAGAACAGGCGTTTTCTGCAATCATCCTTTTTTTCTTTGATTTGTATTGTCTGATCTATGTTCAAGAAGTTTTTGGGTGATCGAGTGAGATTTAGATAATAACAGATCTACTAATGAGTCAAATGTGGTGGTTCCGAACCCATGTTTAACCTTGGTGGTTTTCTTTGGGATCCTCTGTTTCGAGTTATTCTGCACACAGAGATCCATCTAATTCATACTTCTAGAACAGATCTAGCTTAATGTCTGTTCTCAAGCGGCGCTAACTGTAGACATTTAGCCTACGTTTAGTATCCGTTTTGAATAAGACGATCCCGGTGTTAAGCGTGTTTTCCCCATTCTGCACACAGAACTACTAATTAAACCTGTACAGTTTTATAAAATGAAAGCAGAATAAATACTTCCTAAAGTTCCGGATATATAGGTCTACTTAGTATTTTCGACTAAAATCGTAGATTTAGGACTTGAAATGTCTTAGTGTCTGTTCTAAAGCGGGGCTAATACTAGGCAAACAGCTTAAGTTTAGTATCACAAATATTAAAAAATTAGTATACTATTTTGTAATGTTTTTTCTAATCCATTTTACATCTTTCATAAACACAAACACAGAGACTAAATAAAACATTTTCGATTCTATTAAATGGAAGCAGAGTAAACACTTCTCAAAACTCTTAGTATTTTCCACTAAAATCGTCGATTAATGTCGGCTAGTTAGGTTCGTGTCTGTTCTCAAGCTGAGCTAATTGTTGACAGACAGCGTAACTTCCGTAAGGTGCAGGAGCAGCTTCTTGTCGTTCGGATGTTACGATAAACCGAGGTCCCTTAAGCCTAGACAGTCTGAATTCGAATAAGAGTAGAGGGAGAGAGTAAGATTTGCCGTAAGGCCAGTTTGGTAATATATCATTTGGATTAAATAATGGTATATATATACTGGTTACGGTAACATTTTCACCTGTTAATACCTTTACCTGTAATTAACAAGTTACCATTATAAACAAAGCTTACACCGTAACTACACTTCATCAGATATACGTAAATACTTACATCAGTATACTACTCAGCTGGAAAACCTCCAGTATCAAAAATAGATCAATGGAACAATGCTGGCAAATTAATTAAAACAGCCGTCCAAGATTTAAACAGTTGGTTAATATACGCAAATCAATCCCGAGAAATAACCATTTTCAATTATTTAATTTATAGACACAACACGCCTGATAATTCACAGGAGTCGCAAACCTCAAAAAATGTATTATTTTAATGTAAGGAATTGTTGTCATTATGCAATACTTGAATACAGCTCATAGGATTTTTTTTTAAAAAATCACAAAGAAAGGTCATATACTTTGTACAAGAAAGATAAAATTGTTATTACTTTAGTCACATTAAAATGCAGTGTAAAATTGATAGAAACCAATGTAAAATTTAGATTGTCATAGCTGAAACTAGAACTGATCGATTTAAATAGTACTTGGATCAACAAGTATTTTTTGGTTTTTTTTAAATATATAATTAACCTAGACAAATCAATAAAGTTAAAACAATTATTTTGAAAAATCTTTCAAATGAATCGGGTATGTTGGTTTAATCTGCTCTCTCGAGCCATCTATATCATAACGAAAATGAGCCCTGATGGTCCAAAATCCCAACTGCAGATCTTTACTAGTCCATTTTCTTAGCTCATAGTTATCCAGTTCCCTTTAACCACTGAAGAACTGACATCTTTTTAGTGCGTTTTTTTACCAACCAACCAAACCTCATTATTCTACTTTTGTTTTTATTTTTCAGTCTGTGATATCGTGCTTCCTGTAAATAATGAAGTCGGCCATCTTGTTTATATTTATCATCTATATATACCAACATTCCATCGAAGGATCACTTCCGGCCCATCTCCGCCGATATGCTAGAGGGTAATATATAGTATATAGTATAAACTGAAATTTACAGTTTTAGAGTTCCATATTGCTCACACTATGTGTGACAAACGTCTAAAGATTCAATTCTATAAATTGGATTCTTTAGAAGGTGCATTTGAGAATATTTCTGAAAGTGTCGTAAAGAAATAAATAAATTTTATAAGCAGTGTTAAAAAGTGGCAGATTTCTTGTCCCATTGCATGGTGGTCTCAGACTGTCCATTATTCGTTGGCTATACGCATTCGCTTAACAATGGTGTACGATGGTGCACTTTAAAAGAACGTGCACATGATTCATCGAAATACTCATGTGGACGACAACGTAGGCCTACGCCTTCGCAGTCGTTTTATTTCAACGTCAGCAATGTAAATATCAAATTAACTAGTACGTAATAAACCTTTAAATCTATTAAAATTGTAATATAAAAAAAATCATTGGTTTATATTAAAATTTATACTCACTTTATGCTTGTTATTACTTTATAAGTGCTAATAAATCTGGATATAAACGATTTTAAATTAGTTTATTTTATAGTGCATTTAGATTTTCCCCTCAAAGGTTTGGTTCTTTTAAATCCGATTATGAAATTTAATACCACTTAAAATGTAATCGGTACATGTTTACAGACGGTTTGAAATAAAAACAATATCAGGCAACCACCCACAGCTTCGAGACCATGATTAAAATTGACCATGATTAAAATTGACGCATACTGAGATTCCACTCAATATCCACATCTCACAGCTTTCCCTGTGCGTCTTACGATCGGTCTATGTAATTTGTGGACGAAGATCCACCTGGTTTCCTCTCGACACACAGCTACCTTGGCTTTGCCTCTGTGTGCCCATAGAACTAAATACACATTTAGTTCTATGGTGTGCCCTACAGTCTTTTTATGTAATTTGTGGACCGAGACCCACCTTGCACTTTCTTTCGATCCACTATGTTGTGGCTTCCCATATGTGTCCTACGATCAGTTTCTAAAATTTATGGACTGAGACCAAACCTTGGAAACCTTGCATGTAACCGCTATTCAAAACTGATACGCGCCATTAATACTGTAATTTTGAATAATATACGATGTCTGTTTGTGTGTTATTTCAGACCCAATATACGTGTTATTTCAATATATGTGTTATTCAGACTCAATATAATATTTGTTATTTTAGACCCAATATATGTGTTATCCAGACTGTCCCTGGTACAAAAGACAGATTTTTTTCACAGTGTATAAACAGACATCTTAGAACTATATGTGAACGACCAACGTAAGTATCTACTCTAGTAAGAATATAAGTATCAAGTAAGAATTATTTGAGAACAAGAAACTTAAAGATACATTATGTAAGATTTAGATAAAGAACTGACCGTTCTTACTGGTCGTTCTTGCTATAATGGTTCAAAAATAGATAATGCAAAATTAACATACTAAAAATTTCATTCAAATTACTTTATTCTGAGTGAAGATATGAGCCTTTGAATGTTTGACAAGATGTGTGCACTGATTGTAACCATCGTACTGAGCTTAGCCTCGCTTCAAAATTTTTATATTAAATTATTCAATGGCTGAACAGTTCTAATCTCTGATCTACGTAAAACCGGACCTAACCGATGGCATCGAAGCTCGATTGTGGTCTTGTCATGTTAATAAATGTCCTAATTAATAGTTTATATAACATGTAAAACCTAACTAAAGACCTGCAATAAACAGATTTAGCCCTTGCATAATGTCTGTGTAAAGGAGCTAATTCGCTAATTGGGCCCTAGAAATTGAAACAAATGGGTCGCAACGCATACAATAATGTAATATCAATGTATATAAACTGATTTACATTCATATATCAATCGTTTCTGTTTTTATTGTAATTTCTAATCAGTTATGTTCAGCGAATGACAATATCTAGCGTCTGTTTATTCCAGTCTACATCGTTAGTATTTATCGCGCATGCTCTCTAAATAAGAATACGGCGTCATCAATTGACATGCCTTGTGGAATATGTCTACCCCCATTCTTCGAGTCCCTTGTTACAAATGGCGCTGAAACGCATTATGGTACACGATTCGTGTACCAATGGTAAAATGTTTATTTTGTCGTAAATATCAGAAGCCCATCTTTTCCCGGTATGATCAAAACATCAATGTTTAAATTGACAAATAATTCGTGTTTTCAATGTCGAAGACTTTGGAAGATTTTGAGTTCTATGTAGATATGAACAACCCAGTTGGAGTATCTAGTAAGAATTATATGTATATATGTGAACAAGCAACTTCAGTATCTTGAATAAATAATATACGTGAATTGAACGGTTAGAAACGTGAAATCGTAAGTTCAACCCAATTACTGAGATTACAACGACACTGAGTAAAACTGTTTATAGATCAACAGAACGGGTGCAGCAATGTTTATGGTCGGTCAATAGGGTTGTTAATGTTCTCACAAACATACTGAAGCTATTACATTTCAATTAAATAAAAGAATCGATCACATACATGTAGACGAATTTTCCAAATTTAAGAAATCTAAAACTCCAGCTATCTACAATGTGCTCGATATTGTATTTTATAAATTCACATATTCGGTCACTCTATTCGGCTTGGTTTATCACTAATACTTCACTTTCCTCGTACAATAAGATTGATATTGTATATTTTCGAAGTGATCTATGCAATTAATGCAGTGATCAAATGGCAAATAGATCTAATTTGAAAGTTTCAGAAGTTATAGAGCGAGATGTCTTAGCAGAGTTTCATGCTTTCATCGCAATCTCGTTGATTCAATCAAATCCAAGGGCGCAAACTCTAGTAATACAACTTCTCAAGATATAGGATTAGGAGTTGCCTCACTAAATAGTAGCCTTTTAGAAGTTGTAACGGATGTAGGGATGTTGAGTGACACAAATTATACAATAGACATTATTATAATATTATACCACTGACACTACTGATGGGCTTCACTGATTGACAGGGTCAATAAAGGTCATCATGAAGGTCACTGTTTTTTTATGAGAAAAACAAGTACGGGCGTACTATATGGACCAGACATCGAGCATGGCGTCATCACAACCATTCTAGATTCGTGACGTCAAATCAATCGATGCGCAATTGTCCCAGAAACAATCAAGCCAAATTTCATGCCGATCGCATTTGATTTGGCGGAACCTTAGGCTTTAATCGAAGAGGTCTCCTCACCCCTACCGGCACAAGAAAAACAAGGCGAGCGTGACTTGGACAAACTAGCTGTAATTACAGAATAACCCACTTCTACTGTGGGTAGAAGACGGCCGTATGTTTTTTTTCAATTCATTGACCACCATGTGGTATTGACCAAGCGTGGTTTCCAATCAGTTGAACAAAGGGGGCATAACTCTCAGTTAGTTGTGAAACAATCCAATAAGTGTTTTAAAAAATCTAATAATTTTTCTCTACTGGAGCCATTTAATACTTACATTGATACAGTAATAGGTAAAGCATGGGCAGCAAGTGTTCTATGGTGTGAATAGACGGTCAATAATCTGATGATTATAAATATAGTCACACATCAGACAAACAACACGTGTTCAAGTCTACATAGAGATCTTCTTCTATTATAAAATAATTTATTAGAAGGTGCCTGTCTGATACACACGAGCCGTGTAAAGTATTTATTGTAGATACAATGAATGATTTATAATGAACAATTCGACACACAGCTTAAGGATTAGATGGACTCTAGCATTTATTAGTAAGTGCAGGAGGACCCCACCACACATAACTACACACGGACATTTCAAACAACAAACGTATATATCAAATAAAGTGAACGGCTAATAGGCCCGGGGATCAACCGTGCGATGTGTGTATTGCGTGAGAAATGAATAAAAAGACCTTCGGGTGCGTATATACAAATAATTTTTGATTTTCTGTACAGAAGTAACACGTATCATGCACGAGCCAGGGTATGTACATCCTATCAAAAACACCTGATAGCTAACCGTTTCTGGTGTACCCTTGTATTTATTGTTTAGTAACACCAACACCTTTATCTGCGATATCACCCGGTAGAAGTGGGCGTTAAGCCCCACGAACAACTGAATGAATGAAATGGGTTAACGCCCTATTGTTCTACCGCAACAAGGCTAATGAAGGCGGGCATCCGTAGCCGCCATACCATGTGTCATGAGGCACATTTTACACGGACGAACTGCAATTGAATTCCAGCGTGTACACGTGACCTTGGTTCTTTCGTCGTATCCGATCTGCTGGGCCCTCCGTCCTGCACCATTGACAAAGGGGAAGGGGGAGGGGGCAATCTTTCAAAATCTTACGAACGAACGAAGGGATGCCAACACTCTTTAATTTGACATAACAATGCAACAGTAATAAATACGACGCCTTCAGCAACCACCTGTTAGAAATTATGTGAATACCCGACCGATTTCAATCACATGAGGGTATCCATAGAAATTATATTTCACCGTTTCTCTATAGTCATACAAAAAATAATACTTATTACAAAGAGCACACTATGTGCTTTTATAACAAAAATTAGAAGTTAGAAGAACGTGTATTGTGATAAAATTACTACTATAAAAAGTTTTAAATATATTATCAAACCAAGTATTTCATACAATCTGACAGTCTCGTTTGTTTCGTTTTTTTTTTAATGAAATATCCCTGATTTAATATTTTTTCTTGTATTATGTAAAGATTATTACTGTAAAAAATTTCAAATATATAATCAAACCAAAAAATTTCAGAGAATTTGACCTTCTTGTATATTATTTTTTGTAATAGAAATGAAAATTAAATGGGGTTTAACGTGCCACTGTTCTGCTCCGACTGGGCTAATAAAGACATGCATACACCATACAGTGTGTTATGAGGAAACTTTTGCCCTGACAGCGGCGTTACGGCATACTCTTATATCGAATTTTACGGGACCTCGGTTTTTCGTCCCATCCGAACGACTAGACAGCTGTTCTTGTCAGGACCTCCGTCATGCACGGCTAACAAGTGAAAACCACGCCGGAAAATCCCGATGAACTTTTTCAGCCAACATCAGGATAGCGAGCCAGCGTCTTACCCACTTAGCCACCGTGGCCCTCAATCACCAATAGTCTTTCCTATTTGATTAAATTGGTGTATGAAAAAGACCTTTACAAAATATCAAGAATGTTCAATTTCACTACATTAAGGTTACTAGTTCGTTTCGTTTATTTTAAATTGATTAAGTTTAGCAGATTAAGCTGTGTTCAAATCGAGTACCACGTATTTTTTTTTCAGGAGAACAGAATTTGAATGTTGTTCTGGTTTTAAAAAGGTAGCGAGAACACAGGGTTGTACCGGAAGTAAGTCAGTCTCCATTTTACTATTGTTATATGTAGATAAAGTTAAAATCACACTGGCTATTATAGTCTCAGTTAGGTTCAGCGGCCCAATGTTCTGCCCCGACTGGGATAATAAAGGCGGGCATACACCATGTATTGTGCTGTGTGCAAAAGTATGACCGAGCAGCCGCGCTGCGGCCTATATATTGAACTCAAACTGTCAAGACATATTTTACGTTCATGCCAATGTGTACAGGCGATCTCGGCGTTTGCCCCATTCGAAAGACTATACGTTGTCCCTTGCTAGGCCCTCTGTCCTACACCACGAACAGGGGAAATCAAGCTGGCAAATCCGAATGAAACTTGCGTGGTCAACACCGGAATCAAACACGGGATCTCAAGCTTGGCGAGCCGACGTCTTATTCGCTGAGCCAATCTGGATTTAATCAAGCGGTCCGTTCATATTGCAAGCACAACGTGAGGTCAATTCACTGGGCCAAATGCTAAAGCCCTGTTACACTCTGTAGGCTATCGAGAGCATAAAAAACGAAACGAAATATAGATCTGTATTTTAATCAGATTGTTCACTGCTCAGACATCAAATGAAATGAAAAAGGGTTCAACGTCCTACTTTTCTGCACCTAATGGGCTAATGGAGAAAAGCATACGCTATACAGTGTGCTATGAGGGAATGTTGCTCGTAAAAGACGGAGACATCGTCTTTTCATCCCATCCAAACGACTATATGTCTTTTACTTGCCGGGTCGCACGATCTGCTTCGGGACTAACACTTTGTTCAATATTATTTTAATAATTCGCTTGCGCGTACGGGTCTTTAACAGTGGGAGGAAACCGGAGGATCCGTGGAAAACCCACGAGGTTGACCAAGCTATCTTACTCCTTGTCACGATTAAGCGGGGAATCGAAACCACGCCACTTGACTTAATGATTTCACGCACAGGCGTTAAACCAATAGATTCCCCGCCCCCACCCCCCGGAATCAAGAACGATATTTCCATAAATTTTACGATTTTTGATCTCGACTTTTTCAGTTAAACCATTAGTAAATTTAGTTGATACCGTAAATGGATTAGAGTTAGACGGGTTTACTAATGTCATTGGTCAGTCTGGAGTAGAAAACCAACTAGCCAATCAAGGAGCCTATACCATATTTGCTCCTTCAGAGGACGCCATTCAGCAATTGTCGGATGAGGAAAGGTAAAATCATCGATATATCGTTACGATGTTTTCACATTTTTAACATTGGCCGCATTATGACAATATTCCCTAGGGTTTAACACTTTACCCAGATTAAAAGTAAGGTGTAAAGTGTCGGCTAATTTTTAAAAAATGGTGCTATTTTTCCCCACATTCATGATTATACGAACCAATAAGAGATTTCAAGGCATCATTTCTCTTAAAACATGTTACATGAATGAATATTATCTGAAATAAGTCATTAGATTATCGAATAGGGATGGATGGTAGACATATTAATTTCTTCGGGGAGACTAGTGTGTCTTAAACTCCTGTCTTGGACATATATTTTTAAATACCTGCATATACAGTAGAATCTGTATGAGCAGCCACTCCTATTCAGCGACATCTCCTTGTAAGCGGTCACGATAAATTCCCCCCGTAGAAATTCTGTTGTTTTATCTCTTTATTCAACGGTCACTCCTCTAACGCGGCCAGCGGTCACTATTTTACTAATAAATTCAACAAAACATCGCCCATTCAACGGCCATTGTTGAATGATAGCATCTTGTCGTTCTTTGTAACACCCCCGCTAATCCCGTGAGTAGTAGTTAATTTACTGGACCCCCACTGATCAGGTAAAAAGAAATGTAAACATAACAATCAACCCGGGATTATCTGTTAATTAATCTTTTGTTTTATTAAACGACTAACCTGATCATTGTTTTCACGCGTAACGACACATTATTTGATACTGAATGAATAAAATAAAATTACCGAGTTTTGTCACGATCATCTAGTATCTCTCTTAGCGCCTCCTATAATATTACATACAGAGTTACACCCCCTGTAAATAGGTGATAAAATTAGCGATGTTTTTTGTTCATGTGCTTTTTTGATAAAATAAAATGTATTCATCAATTTTCTTCACAAAAATGGATAAATATTATCGAATGCATCACAATGGCAGACAGTAGTATCGAAGGTTGGTACAAAATGACAAGTTTACAGAAGTTATGTCCGAGATTTGAGTAAAGAATTTTCGTCCGGCGCAAGATTCAGCGACGGCCAACGCTTCCAATGCATCCAAGCGTAATATTTAATTTATGTCGGCAGAAAAAGCAACGAGATTTATTAAGAGGCCACTCCCGTTAAGTTATGTCCGAGATTTGAGTAAAGAATTTCCGTTCGGCGCAAGATTCAGCGACGGCCAAATTTACCGCTTCCAATGCATCCAAGCGTAATATTTAATTTATGTCGGCACAAAAAGCAACGAGATTTTATTAAGAGGCCACTCCCGTTAAGCGGTCAGTTGTGAAAATTCCCTTGGGTGGCTGCTTAATGCAGATTCTACTGTATCTACCGTTTTGCGCTGAACACTTTATTTGAGGTCAAATGTTATAATTAGAGTTACACTAGTGTTTCATTACATCAACCATACTTACTTTATTTTTGACCTCACCCATTATGCCATAGACTGGGTCCCGCCCTTTGGTATATTAATAATACTTCGTTTCCGTTCACACAAAACCGAATCACGCTAAGAAACAATACAAAAACTGACCAACTATTATTAATAGAGCGGGGCGGTTTTATTGTGCCCCAACGCAAGAATTCCGATATCCGCCTTTATATATGCTAATTATAGTCTCCTCTAATATATTTTAACAGGCAGGATCTTTTGTCGAGATCTGACGAAGGCACACCGAATGTTTTCTATCACGTGGCACCTGGTCGTCTGAACTTCTCCAGCTTCAGGAAGAATACTGACTACAATACACTATTTGAAAATAATAAAATACGTATTAATAAATACTCTTATGGGGTGAGTAGTATATGAAATATATATATCTGAATTTAAATGGTATTTAGTCATTTCTTTACTAGCAAATTTAAATGAAGGCCATGTCGCAACAGATCAAGGACTGGGCGGCGTAGAACAGCTTTCCGGTCATTGGTTGTCTTATGGTTATAGTTGTCACATATATATGTTTTTTCTCCCTGTGCGTTTGTCTTTTTGGGTTTTTTACTTCCGTTTGTGGTGTGCTCCTCCAGCCAGGACAGGCTTTTAGCCAATTGGACCAATTGCTCTCAGTTTGGCCCCGCGCTACTTTGGTCTTGGTCATAAGTAAACCTTCGTTCGTATGTAATAACAAAAAAGGGTAGTCAATTCTAGTAATTATTGATAAAATATTTCAATAAAACAGACTGCAACTGTTTACTGAAAATACCCCAATACAAATTGCTATAGCACCCCGTAAACTTCCGGTAAAAACGAATAGTAAAATTGGGTGTTCTAGAAAGGTTAGCCATACCCACACGGTCCATGACACTATTTCCGGCAAGGTCACTAGTTATTGCGCAGATCAAACTTGCATTCGTGCCGATGTCATTAATCGCCCTAACAGGCCTTTTAAAAAAGTCTTTGATAACATACAATAATGTAACTTCGTATAAACTGTTTAAGTGACATTTTAGTAATTGGCCAGATTAAATAAAATACAAAGCTTTCATGGAATACAATTACCTAATTTAATAGAAACAAACGTTTCAACAATGACACTTGTGTAGTTATCATTTTGACCCTCGAGCCCGGAAACACAAAAAAGAAAAGGAAACTACTACTAGCGATAAATTCCTGGCAGACAGTTACAAACTACACTGTTTTGAAACAGTTAAGAAATGAAAAGAAATGGGGTTTAATGCCCTCCCCTCCCTTCCAGCATCAACCGGGCTAATAAAGACGGGCATATGTCATTTTATTTGACGAGGGAAATTTTGCCAGGGTAGTGGCGTTTCATCGAACTTCCACTTTTCAGGGTTCTTTTACGTGCACACCAGCGTGTAAACGGGACCTAGTATAGGTGTTTACCGCAAAATCTCTGGTAACTTTCTCGGCCAACGGTAGGGGGGTGGGGGGGGGTCGGGTTTTTCGGACCCAAAACCTCCTGTTTAGTTAGCGCACTACTATCTGAAAAACCAAAAAAACACCTTGATAATTGATAATTAGTGGGAAACCACGTGACATTAAGGTGTATGTGATATTTATATATTGCATTCAAAGTTTCAAATTTTTGGGAAAGATATTCCATGTTTCATTGTTCAGTTTATTAGAGCATACATTCAAATATTTTAGCAATGTAAAGAATCTCTGAAGCTTCACATTTATCAATATAAGATTGGTTGTGACGTATTTTATATAATAGGTAGCCACAGCCAATTGTGCTAGGATAACCAAACCTAATGAAATGGCGACCAATGGAATCGTACACATCATAGACAAGGTAAGCTGTATATATTATAAACATATAATATGTTACAGGATATTCCCAACGATTTTTGTTTAACAAAATGAAATGATTTTTAACGTCATACTTCTCTGTTTCAGTGGCTCTGTCAGGCAGCCGTTAAGGACATTCAATACGATTTTTTTAAAACAAAATTAAAGGAATTTTAACGTCATACTTTTCTGCACCCCTTCCAAATAAGAACGTGGAAGTAAAATGGGTTATGACGTCTTACTTTCTCGCACCTTCCTATATAGCATGAAGACCGGCATTCACCATGTAGCTAGTGGACTATGATACTATCATATCGGCGCTACGTCCCACTCAGTGGCGGCGCCAGCCGTCGGTGATTGGAGGGGCAAAGCTGGGGCAAAGTCCAAGGTTAAGGGGAAAAAGGCACGAGCTTCAACTAGGGGTAGGGGGCCTCCCCCAGAAAATTTTGAAAAACAAGTTGCCGGAAATGCAGCCTGGCAATATTTCAGGCACTGATCGTTGAGGTAAAGTGTCAAACGAACGGACTTGCGAATCACGACGAAGCCCAATCACGAGCGTCAAAGTAGGGAGTCCTCCCCCAGAAAATTTTGAAAAATAGATTGCCGGAAATGCTGTCTTAAAGTATTTCCAGGCACCGATCGTCGAGATAAATAGATCTGACCAGATACCGTCCGTCACCTGATCACTAGTTTATCCGACTAGAGAACAAAATGTCAAACGAAGGGACTTACGAACCTCAACGAATTCCCCTTGTGAGCGCCAAAGTAGCGAGTCTATTGGGGACCTCGCCAAGAAAAATTTGAAAAATAGACTGTCAGAAATGCTCTACAACATGCAAGTTTATGACTGATTGGGGATGTGGGATTTATTCACCTTAGAAGGTATTGATTACCAAAACGTATCACAAATACTTTTTTTTTATTTTCTAAAATTATTGGGGGGGGGGGGGCACTGGTCCCACTCTTATTTCGTTCCACTAAAAACACATAAAAAGACAAATCTGCGATATTACTTCGGTGAAAGCAGACGTTAAATAAAGCTATATTTCACACACACTCATCGGTGCCAGACAAATTGACAGACACCATGTTGATTGTGACGGACAAAGCCTAAAGTTGTGTCTGACAATGTACCGAGAAGGAAAGTGGTATTCTTGGGAGGGTAAACAATATATACATAACCTTATTTATTCCGTGTTTTTTTTACAGGTTCTTGATCCGAAAGACATGCAGAAATCTGTTGCCGAGAAAATCTATTCTGATGATCAGTTCTCTCAGTTTCAACTGGCCATATTAGCTGCTAAAATGGTGAATACACTGAGATCTGCTAATGCTCTTCTTACTGTGTTCGCACCCACCAACAACGCATTCGCTAAACTTCCAAATGATCTTTTGGATAGAATTTTAACAGACGAGGAAACCGCTAAAAGTAAGCCGTATATATATATCAAAAACTATGTATTATGTGCAACTCAGATAGTAAGGAGACAGAGGTCATAGGTTAATTAATAATATTCTAATCTGGCAGATAAAGTCCAAACAAAAATGGTGGCACAAACCAAGATTAGGACTCGAACTTGACGAGACAACCGGAGTGCTCGATTGTAAGTCCGGAACGTTCCTAAGTGAATGAATGTTATATAGTGATTCGTCACAATTCTACCAATCCCGAAAACAAATTTGGCAAAAAAGTGACATAATCAAACGCGTAACTTTTTTGTTGTAAATTGTTTATATTGGACATTAAAAATAATGAGTCCTTTTTCTTGTATGAGTGCAGATTTTTAAAATAAATGTTTTTTGAAAACGTAAAACAGATATGATCTGTGATAAAATATAGGAAAGTCTATTAGTGTCACAAAAAAGAAAATCTTAATGCGTTTGAACGAAAGTTATCGCTTTTGAAGACTTTAAACACTATAATACATACACAAGATATTTCCATTTTGCATGTTTTCGTATTTGTTAAAGATGCATTATGTAAGATTTAGATAAAGAGCTGACCGTTGTTGCTATACTGGTTCCAAGTAGTTAATGCAAAATGAATATATTGAAAATTTCATTCAAATATTTTATTCTGAGCGAAGCTATTACTGTTTTGACACGATGTGGCAAATATTGTTTATTACCGTTGTAACGTTACTTGTTAATCGAGACTCAGTCTCGCTTTTCCATTTTTGAATTAAATCATTAAATGGCGATCGCATTTCAATCGGTTTAAATCTCTGCCATCCCTCGGTCTAGAGAGTTGATTTTGGGGTTTTACTATAAATAAATATCTAAATAATAATTTATATAATATTTGAAGCAAAATAGGCTTAAAACCTGCAATAGGCAGATTTAGCAAAAATAAAAACCTGCAATAGACAGATTTAGCTCTTACATAATGCATCTTCAAGTTTTTGTTATATTTTATAGAGGTTGTTGATCATCATGTAGTGAAGGGAGTATATTGTAGTGATTCAGTAATTATCGCCCTTGGTTTAAAGACTCTAGATGGATCCCGTATATTGTTTAGATGTAAGAGGTACGGTAAATATATCGATAAGGCGAAACTCGTAGAGGAAGACATTGTGGGTAAAAACGGTGTTATACATGGTATTGATACAGTTCTTGTTCCTGATTCAGGTAGGTCTACACATAATATAGTGTGAGAGCATGTCCCTGTCTAAAGACTTGATAACCGTCTGTAAATGACGTCAAGCTTATTTCTAAAGGATTCAACTTAACCCCAGTCTTGACCCTAGACCGTCAAGTGTAGGTACATCGGCGCCACCAGAAGCCCTTACTTACGGACCCGAAAACCGAATTCCCGCATTGACATTGAAAGAAGTGTATGGGGATTTAATGTCCTTAATGGCCTTAGCCCAGTTGGGAAAGAAAGGTAGCGGGTTCAGGAGGGCCTAGATTTTAACGTAAGATTGTATGTGGAAACTTAGTTATCATTATGATCATCGACCACTATCGATTTCTGTTTCAAAAGTTTTGTATTGTTGATGTATTCCCACCACCACCTAAAGCATAAAAATAACATGGTAGAACATCGTCAGGTGCAGGTGACAGTGGAGGTTCGTTTGCCTTTCTGGAAATTTCACGGAACCCCAAAACCCCGAAAACCGTGCTTCGCCAATAAAACCTTAAAATAGGCCCTTACGTTCAGTCCCAATTTCATTTCCTTTATTTCTACGACCATACTGAAATTGTAATTTGCAACAAAGGTGGTGTCTCTCATTATATTGTAAGGATAATATAAAACCAAAATTTATTTCAAATTTATCTTAGTGAAGAATGTCGCTGAATTAGCTAAAGATCTGGAGTTAAACACGTTAATGGAGATGACGGAAAGAGCTGGTTTAACATCTACACTGACTGGTGATGAGGAATTTACGATGTTCGCTCCCTCTGATAAAGCTCTTAGAAGTAAGTTCATGTGAATAAACTATAAAATACTATAAATGTGTACAGACATTGATAATGCCCTTTAGTCCACATATTGATAATTTCCCTTAGTCAACACTAAATGACCTGCTATAAATGACTTCAGACTTTTTCCTTCTTACGTCACGGCGATTTTCCTACTTCAATATAGTATTAAATTTTTCTGCACGGTCCCAAATTCAAATCTCTACCCGAAAGCCCCAGAATCTGGTCTTGTGTTGGCGAAGAACACTCTATAGCGAGTCCGTTGGGGTTCTCTTCACCGTAAATGGGGCTTTCTAGAGTATCTCCTGAGTAAAAACCCTAAATAGACTGCAAATCATCAGACTGGTAGACTATCAAAGGGCAATTTTACCAATTCACCGGAAACGACATAAATTCAACCCTAAAAATGCCCCCCCCCCACTCCCCAAACTACGTGACAACATTAACTTCTTTGGCCTACCATTTCCTGTTTTGGAGTTATGCTACTTCCGGTTTATTGCTACAGCGGTGCTATGCCGGATCAACCGCTAGTCTTTAATACAATTTAATATCTCCACTGTTTATGATCAGGACATGATCGTTAGCATTGATATTACGACAATGATCCAGGAACAGGGTAAAATTTTCCTCATCACACAAAGCATGACGTATAACCATCTGCATTATCCCGGTTCGTGCAAAAAGTAAGACATTAGTTAAACCCCATTTAATTTTATTTTTTTTATCATTTATAGAGTTGCCGAGTGGTTATAGAGCAGCTTTATCAAGTCAACCTTTACAAATGGCTAAGCTTTTAGAATATCATAAAATAAAGGGTAAAATAAAGACGGATCAGTTGATAGGAAATAAAACACTAGATACAGGAACTAATAAAGCACCAGCGACAATATCAGCTAAATTATCAGTTAATGTGTTTAGAAATGTAAGTTATAATCATTAATACCGTAGACTGTACTGCCTAAATCCCGGTTCAGACGATCACACATTCAGTGGCGTACAGAGAGGGTGGGCGGGGCAGAAGTTGGCGACGGCCCCGGACATCCTTTTGACGGAGTTTCAAATCAAACAGTAAAATATAGGAATTGTTTTAGATTTGAAAGTATCGTTGTTAATGCATATAAAGTATATGATGCCATATGAAATTTATTGCATCTGTTTTGACATATACTCAACCAAATTAAAAACTTGACACTCGGGAATTTTGCGACTAGATTTTTAATATTTGGTTTAAGGCAACTATTTTAGTGTTATGTTGTGCACAGACGACCTTGACATCAACAGAAAGCAAGAATACGTCTCGCCGAAAGTCCTTGACATTGATAACGTTCGTGATGTCACAGTACCCCCCAAAATGAAATTCACAGACTTGGAGAACAATCGGAATAAAGTGTTTAGTAACGGTTGTGGCCTCCTCTAGCGTCTCGTACTGCCACACAACGTCTTCCCATGGATCTCAGAACATTAGTAAACACTACCCGAAGAAGACGTCGCCACTGCTCAGCAAGAGCATGTTGAAGGTCCTGCAACGTCATGATGTGTTCAATAGGATTAAGGTCGGGGCTAAGCGACGGCCAATCCCTTGGACAACAACAAGCGGAGAACGTCCATGTGCACAAAAAAAACCCCAAACCATGACGCTGCCGACACCAAATCGGTCAACTTCTCTGACGCATACTTGAGCGTAACGTTCACCTCGTCTGCGGTACACTCGGGCCCATCCTCGGTTACCCAGTGTACTCATTCCGTTCTACTCCACTATACCCTGGGTTAATCTAAGGGGGAGACACGTTTTCAAGTTATCCGCCCTTGATGATTGTGCTATTTTTATCGACCAATCCCATAAATTGTTATTTGAAAAGGAACTTGGCAAAGGGAAGTAACTCTCATCGGACAATTCTAGATGCGTAATTATTAACAACTAATTATATATTATGTTAATGAAGACCAGACGTTCATATAATAATGTAGGGTCATTAGTTTTATTTAGAATCGTTTATTTACAAAAATCATTCAGTAAATGGACATGAATATGGTTATCTACCCTTATAAAAACGAAGGCGAAACGATTGGTTTGTAAACTGTTTTCTGATTGGTTCGTAGATTGTAGCTACATTCTAGGCCAGGGCAGATAATTTGAAATCGTGGAAACCCTATGGATTAACCCAGGATATAGTGGAGTAGAACGGAATGAGTACACTGTGTAACCGAGGATGACTCGGGCCCTGCCATCGGCAAATCTCAAAGTGAATCGAGATTCGTCACTAAAGACAACCGAATTCCACTGTCTTTGAGTAAATCTTATGTGTCTTGTGGCCCACACAAGTCGGTTACGGCGATGAAGAGGTGTCAATATTGATCCATTATAGGGCCTCCGAGCTCGAAGACCAGCAGCCTGCAAGCGATTTCGAACAGTTTGTGCAGTTACCCTTCCACCAAACATCTCTCTACTTGTGGAGGTTGCAGTGACAAATCTGTTTCTAAGATGACGTAATCGTATTGCTTGATCTTCCTGGAGTGACGTCACACGTGGCACTCCCGCCCTTGGGCGGTCGGCAGAGTTCCAGTTTGAAGCTCTCTCATTCTAAGATTAATTATTGTCTGGTGTGAACAATTAAAGGCTCTTGCAACAGTGACCATAGACTGACCAGCATAGAGCCTACCTATAACACGTAGACGTTCTACATTTGAAAGGCGCGGCATTTTCTAACAAAGATGAAAATAACAATTTTAATTTGTTTTTCCAGTTCAAGTTACGTGTGCGTGTTCAGTTTAAGCAAACTTGCATCGATTGACCTCACGAGTTTGTGTTTGCACGTGTTTTTCAGGTTTTCATCTTTATATGCTCAAAAGTCACGTGGTCCACGTGACATTACAATTTTATGAAATTAAAGGCTTCTTACTACTTACTATCGTTAGAAACACTTTAAAATTTATTTGACTTACCAGAAAAAAAAATTTGTTGAAATTCATTAGTGTCAAGTTTTTAATTTGGCTGAGTATATTTAAAAGGCCTTCCTTTCTCTTGGGGGTTGTACAATCAAGGAGTTGACCCCAGGCATCAGCAAACCCCTGCACGCCCCAACACGCATTTGTCCAGATTTGGTGATGACCTCATACAAGTTAAATGTTGAAGTTTTTTGGCGAAACAGCCCAGACGGTCATACATTTGTCCATGAACATTACCATACAAATGATAGATCATGTGTTAACACATGTGTGATCGTCTTGATGGGGCTTAAGAATTCAGTATGCAATTCTTAATTTTGAAGCCTTTTACTATGCTGTGTATTTTTTGTGATTTATTGAACAGGGACGTGTTGTGGTAGGTGGTGCTACCTTAGAGAAATCTGACAATGAGTGTAAAAATGGCGTCATTCATACTATAGATAAAGTACTTGTACCACCGGAAGCGAGTATTATGGATTTAATTATAGGTGACAGACAGCTGAGGTAGGAGTTATTTATTTGTTGTGGTTTATTGTCCTACGTTTCTGCACCATCCGAACTAATGAAGATGAACATACAGTGTGCTTTACTCGGGCAGCGCGCTTCCGCCTACTCTTCAAAGGTTCTGTTGCGTACAGGTGAGGATAGAAGTAGTCGACCGGTGAGGGAGCTGGACCATCAGCTAGAATGTTCTCGAGTTAACTCAGGTGGGGTGAAGGTAGTTGAGTGGTGAGGGAGCTGGACTATCAGCCAGAATCTTCTGAGTTAACTCAGGTGGGGGTGGAGGTAGTCGAGTGGTAAGGGAACTGAACTATCAGCTAGAATGTTGAGTTAACTCAAGTAGGAGTGGAGGTAGTCGAGCTGTCAGGGAATATAAGCAAGAATGTTCTCGAGATAAATCAAGACATGAGCAAAAACAACCTTCGGGATTTTTGAAGCCCGGCCTGACAATAAAAGTTGTTCGGATGGAACTGCAAACCGGGGTCCATCCGTGTACACATTAACAATTGAAAGTGAAATTTGGGCTGTTCGGGCAAATTTTCGCCCCAGAAATCGCATAGGTAACCATGGCAGTGAAAATTACCACATGGAAGTCTCAAACTAACGGAAGCATCGTGCTGAGGAGACGTTAAACCCCATTCTATATGTTATCCTCTATACGTGGTTTTGTTTAATTTTAGTACGTTACGTATGGCTATAGAGAAAGCGGGATTAAGTGAATTATTAACTCAACCGTATGGACAGTATACAATGATAGCACCTACCGACAGAGCTTTCAAGACATTGGGTAGATGGGAGAAAAACGCCTTTTTAAACTTGTCGCCAGAACGCCTTAAAAAGGTAAGATCCGTCAATATGCCGACGGTTCCTTTGTGATTAATTTTTGGGAATCGAGGATTCGTATATTGAAAATTTCTTGAAATGAAATATGCTAGGTACTATAAGATGCAGGATCTGGTTTTACGGCTCCTCCTAGAAAATGAGGAAGCAAGTCAGGAAGCAATCTAGGTTGAAGTCTAGCATACAGACTCGGTCTTAATATATCCATTACTCTAAGCAAAGATCTTGAGATTACGGTTGTACGGTTTCTCCGAAAAAGGTCTTCGAGATCACGCTTATACGATTCCTACAAGATATTGATTAGTAAATCGAGGAATCAAGACCCAATTCGGCGATTCTTCATAAGAAGTATGGCCAAGAAAATGTATAGGCAATCTAAGAATGACACGGCTGAAGGTAGTTTCAATGTATTGTCGGCCACTAGTTTATAATGATTAGTTTTTGTTGTTTTTTAAATGCCTTGTACATTTAAAAAATGTGTAGACGGTGTTGATTGTTTTTCTAAACCAAGAATATTGTTAAATTTTAGAGTGTGCTATGAATGCATAAAGGCTTAACGACGTGTTATGTAAATTTCAGAGCTAACCGTTAATATAATAGTTTAAAAATACATAATGAAAAATGATAATATTGAAAATCTGTCAAATTACATTAATCCGAGGGAAAGTTTGAATATCTCACGTTTTGACAAGAAAGGCTTATAATCGAATATCTAGCCCATTGGATGACATACATTTAAATGGATTGGAACGCCGCGAGATTTAAAAATTAACGCGAAAATGGATAATCGAGACCTAGTACCATTGTTACTATAATAAACAATCTAGGCTACACCTTTCAACACTCATTACTTGGTTCAGAATAAAGTAATTTGAAGGAAATGTCTAATATTCATTTTTCATTGACTATCTTTGAACTATTTTAGCACTAACGGTCAGCTCTTTATCTAAATCTGCATTGTCTCTTAACTGCTTTAATCAATATTCATCTCTTCTATTTAAAGGGGCTAAATCGCTATTCTTTGGCACTTAGAAATGGACACAAATAAGTCGCAACGCATATGTAATAAACTGATTTACATTCAATCGTTCGCGTTGTTACTGTAATTTCTAATCAGTAATGTTCGGCGAATTCCGCGAAGAGTCCAAATTCAATGGCAGATTTCGGCGGCTGGTTATTCCAGTCTACACGTTTAGCCTCGTTCATCAAATCGCTTCATTACAAATGGCACTCGAAAGCATTCTTGTGTCAATTTTAAAATTTTCATTTGGTCTTTATTATTGGATATCAGAAGCCCATCTTTTCACGGTAAGAGAATCACATCAATGTTGATCTAAATTGACAAAAAAGTCGTGTTTGCAATATCGAAGACTGTGGATGATATTGAGTTAGCGGCTTAATTGCCTCCTTTAAATTTCAGTTTATAGAACGTCATATTATCAACAGAATGGTGATGAAATGTGCCTTTGATCCGCGATCTGTTTATGGTATATCATCCAGACAGGGAGACAGCATCGAGTTTACACAGGAAAGGTCCGGTTCTATTTATATTAATAAAAAATATAGAGTAGAGCGGCCTGATGAACAGATGGCAACCAATGGTGTTCTTTATAAGATTAACAGTATATTAAAGTGTTCCTGTCAGCCTCGAATCCGGGGTAGAAGATAAAGCAACACTCTTGCTATGGACAATATTCTAAAAAGAAATTTATGGAGATTTAACCTTCTAAACTCTGGCAGAATATATAAAAGCCTTATGTCAGAGCAATACATAAAGATATACTTTCGTTCTAACTTTAAAAGAGTTAAGAAATTATTTTTACAAAAAAGCGGTTTTGTCCAATTTGAATTGTATACAAACATTTGATAGTGTAACTGATTCATTATGTATTTGGAGTAAATGCAATGTTCTGAAAGAATACAAACATTATTTTAATGGAATATAAAATTTGCTCTGATGGAATTAAATCGGTGTTTGGTTGAATATAAACGTGCTCCTGATGGAATAAAAAAAATCGCTGCACTGATTAAATATATACGTTGTTCTGATGGAGTATAAACGTTTGCAATGGTGGAATATAAACGTTCTGAAATAACAGCGTTGTTCTGATAAAAATACTGTTCCGATGGAACAAAAAACGTTGTTCTGATGGACTAAATATTGTTCCGGTGTGAATATGAACATTGACCGGAGAGCAAGAATTCTGATGAAGTAAAAAATATTTCGGATGGAATCAAAACAAATGTTTATTTAGGAATAAACATTCTTTTGGTGGAATTTAGATACTTCTTGAATGAAGTAAAAACAATTGTGTTGGTGGAATTAACAGTTGTTCAAACTGAATATAACACCTCCCTGATAAAATAAAACACTCTGGCTGCGTTGAATTCAGAAGAACAAGAAAATATTTTATTGAATTAATACAGTTGATTTTCTAGTATATTTGAAGGATTGTTCTGTTGTGTTAGGCATTAGGTTGGTTATATAGTAAATATATTGGAATATAAACTTTGGTCGCTTGATATAATAACAGGTTGTTCCATATGAATGCACACATTTTTTAGTTTTGGACCAGCGCCACTCATCTTGGTGTTATTCTTCTTCTGGGCGACACTCTCCAAAAAAAGAAATTGTTCTTTTGACAATTGCGCATCCATTTTAAGGTAGTGGCGTTGACGTCATCCCTGTTTCATGGTCCATATAGTACTGTAATTATTATAATGGTACTAGGTCAGTGCAGTGATATAGTAATGTAGAAAATCACGTTCTAGTAAATAAAGATATTTTTATCTAAGATGCGTGTAGCATTCGTAATAAATTACCGATTTTAAATCATGTCTAAATTATTTTTTTTCGTTTTATTGATGATCCACTGCGTTGTAGCAGACAATATATGCCAAGCTCGCAAACGGTCCAGTTGACCGGTGTACGGAAAAGCATAGACAAAGATGCGTTGCTGTATGAAGCCGATTTATATGTTTTGTGTTTATTTTACTGCAAACAAATAATAGATAGCATCTGTTTGGATACAAAATGCCACGAAATAGAGCATAAGAGTAAATAATAGAATGGGTTAGAGTGGTGACAGTAAAGAATTATTCAAGACGATATTAAAATTTAAGCACGACAGTAGCACATCTAAAAAAAAAAGAAGAAATAATAATCACGCTGTAAAAAATAATTCTGTATAGAATGAACCGAGTCCAGTTATATATTTGCATTCAACCAGTATATGAACCAAATACTAAATTAGAAATTGATCAAATGGACACAAATGTATCCTTCTTCAATCTTGGTTACGACAGTGGAGATAAACTGACTGTCAAAAGCTGAGCTATGTGGTTAGATAAGGAAAAAAGGTTTCAAAAAATATTTACAGATTCAGCTTGATCATCGTTTTATTATTTCTTTTATTCATATTCCATCAAGGGGAAATTTTATAAAAATGGCTTAAATTTTACTCCGTGTATCAAACAACTACTTTGTCATTGGTTAGATCCGGCTAAACGCGGGGAAATTTACAGTAGCTATTGACTAACAGTTCGCACAAACAATCATTATTTGCATATTGCATACTATTTATAGTATTATTAGCTGGAATTATTTTTAAGTCGATAGCCTAAGGGCCCACTTAGTACCATGTTTTTTATACGCCAACATTTTTATGTGTACGTATATTGTCGTCGCTCCTGTCCGTCCGTCCGTCCACAATTGTTTGTGAACAGTCTACAGGTCACAATTTTTATCCGATTTCAATGAAACTTTCGATATTGGCATGTATGGACTAAGACTAGTAGTGCGAGTTATAAATAGACAATTTTAATTTTTTTTCTCCCCTCTTCCTGCATTTTTGGGTTGACTTTTTTTTTTGGTCTAGAATTGGAGAAAAGGGACCAAATTTGCAATTTCATAGCAGTTTTGGGTAATACTGATGATATTACAGCGGAGGGATAGGGGGTGTAAAGTGTTCTTCTGCAGATTTTCACCCCAGTCAACTTCAAATCCGCGTAGCAAAAAATCTAAACGGTCAACCCCCTACAAAATTATGATGAGGAGATTGCCAAATGTGGTCCCCGTTGTGCCTATAAAGATTGGAACCAACGGAATGTTGAGCAAAAAACTACAGCCTGTGATGTTACAGACATTTAAAGGACAATATTGGTGTCAGTCATTATAAAATATGGGATAGAGCTCGTTAAATACATCCCAAATATAATTTTAACACAGAGATCATTGCTACGGGAGTTGTGTAACAAGCACGTGAAGAAATGGGAAGTGACGTCAAACAAGAGTTGTCCTTCTATATAACTGAATGAAGTAACGAGCGGTAACTGCATACAAACGATCGAATTTCATTTCACTGATAATTCCGTTGAAGATGAAAAGGTGTTAATGAGACGATGAGAGGATATCTGACAATTCAAAAAAAGATAAAAGATAACGAACAAATTAGAAAAAGTCCGTGCATTATCATGTTTTTATTAAGAACAGAATGAATAAAAACGGGGGAATGCACGGGATTTTTCTACTTTTTCTCGTGTCCCTTATCTAGTGACAGCCAATTCTATTTTTGAATTGTGAGATACCCTCTCACCGTCCCATTTAATAACTTTTCAACTTCAACGGAATTATCAGTGAAATGAAATTCGATCGTTTGTCTCTTACCGCTCGTTACTTCAGTCTGTTGTATAGAAGGACAATTCGTGTTTGTCATGTTTGGCGTCACTTCCCGCTTCTTCACGTACTTGTTACACGTCTCCCGTAGCAATGATCTCTGTGTTAAAATTATATTTGGAATGTATTTAACCAGTTCTATCACATATGTAATAATGACTGACACCAATATTGTCCTTTAACATTGAAGTCAATGGGCAAATAATTGCTAGTCCGAGTCCGTATGTAACTTCATGGATTATGGCCCCTGGTTGTACGAAAAATCACGTTTTTAGCTGGTGAACACTGTAGAGGTCACAATTTTTATCCGATTTTGTTGAAACTTGAAATGTAAGTTTATATCCCAAAGATCTCGGTTTCTTTCGATATTCGCGCATATCGGACCGTAACTTTCTGAATTATGGCCCCTGATTGTACGACCCCGCAAGTACTGTCCAGTCGGCAGTTGAATGTAAATAGGATAGACCATTTAAATCTTTTGTGTTAATAGTCCTGTAACTAATAGATAACATCTGTTTGGTCGTAAAATGCGTAATAAACTTCACCAAATTCTAGTTCGGGTCATGAACACGGATCAGTCATCCACTTGTTTTCCTCAATTGCATACGGGTCTGGTAAACTTGCCGTATCTTTTCTACATCGAAGTTTTTGTTAATATCGTTTCTGGCATCGGTCGGTAAACCTTACACATATGTAGAAATGGCGATCGGTTTCATTTTATGTAAAACAAGCTCACTGTACGACGGTATTTTCACAAAAAAACACACAATGGCCTATGGGTTTCAGTCTACGAATAAGGCCAGAATCTGCGCATGTCCGAAAATGACGTCAAAAGGGAAACCCGTAAAAGCTCCTATAGAGTACTTTGTTACAATATTTACCAAGTAAAAGTTCACCATTAAGTTAGTTTCACAGATCTAAAAAGTAGACGTCCACCTTTAAGTTAGTTTCACAAGTCACAGATCTACCAAGTAAGTTCGTTTTACATTGATAAGATTTCTAACATTTTTTTTAATCCAACAAACCTTAAGGTTGGGAAGCTTATCGGTCATTATATTTTATCAGAGAAGATTAGTTGATACACGTGTCTGGATAGTTTTAGTTGGACAGGCGATAATTTAATGGGAATAAAAACATGATAATGATGGTGAGTACCTATTTCTTTAAAAGTATCCTGCAAATACCATATAACAATATAAACGGTCAATCAAATGAACTTTCAAAATATACGAGAAGTGTTATCAGGTGCCCTGGAAATGAAATTAGTTTTATTTTTAACATTTTGCTCTCTGAACTAACCGGGTTTATACACACGGGCCAACGCAATGCAGTGTGCTGTGAGGTGGGTGGGGGATATCTGCCCAGAGAGCAGCGTTACCAGCCTATACTCATCGAATTCCAACTGTAAAGTGTTTTTTCACGTGCACGCCAACGTATAGATTAATTATGGGAACTCAGACTTTCGTACCGGAAGAGAACCACGGTGGCTTAGTGAGTAAGGCGCTGGTTTGCTAGCCAGCAGGTCGTAGGTTCGATCCCGGTGTTGGCCTAGAAAGTTTATCGGGATTTTCGTGCCTGGTTTCCCCATGTCAGTGGTGCAGGACGGATAGGACAGTCGCTCGGATGGGACAAAAAAACCCGAGACGTACACGTAAAATTTCCCTTGGCAATTGAAATTTTATATATTAGGATAGGCCTTAGTGCCGCTGTCCAAGAAAAATTATCCTCATAGCACACTGTATGTCCGTCTTCATTAGCCCAGTCAGAGCAGAACAGTTGGACGTTAAACCCCATTTCATTTTATTTCGTACCGCCACCCGGGCAACCAGACGCTGTTCTTGTCAGAACCATCTCTCTGTACCGCTGACAAATCCCGAGGTAGTTTTACGGCCAACACCAGGGCAGAATTAAACTTGTGCGGGCGCTGGGCCTTTTGGGAGCGGCAAGTCGATTGTACAGTGCGAAAAGTTTGAAAAATTAATTCGATTTGGTGCATTCAGGGGTCTGTTCGCGAACTTTAAAGGACAATATTGGTGTCAGTCATAATTACATATGTGATAGAACTGGTTAAATACATTCCAAATATAATTTTAACACAGAGATCATTGCTACGGAAGATGTGTAACAAGCACGTGAAGAAACGGGAAGTGACACCAAACATGACAATCACGAGTTATCCTTCTATGTATCTGACTGATGTAACGAGCGATAACAGACCATCGATCTAATTTCATTTCACTGATAATTCCGTTGAAGTTGAAAAGTTATTATATGGGACGGTGACAGGGTATCTCACAATTCAAAAATAGAATTGGCTGTCACTAGATAAGGATAAACGTGAAAAATAGAAAAATCCCGTGCATTCCCCTGTTTTTATTCATTCTGTTCTTAATAAAAACATGGCAATGCACGGACTTTTTCTAATTTGTTCTCGTTATCTTTTATCTAATGACAGCCAATTCTTTTTTTGAATTGTCAGATATCCTCTCACCGTCTCATATAATAGCTTTTCATCATCAACTGAATTATCAGTGAAATGAAATTCGATCGCGTGTCTGTTATCGCTCTTTGCTTCAATCAGTTATATAGGATAACTCGTGTTTGTCATGTTTGTCGTCACTTCCCGTTTCTTCACGTGCTTGTTACACATCTCCCGTAGCAATGATCTCTGTGTTAAAGTTATATTTGGGATGTATTTAACCAGTTCTATCACATATTTTATAATGACTGACACCAATATTGTCCTTTAAATAATGTATAGTCATATATCCCAAACAGTCAATAATTTATACCGGTGTGATAAATATGTCTACCAGCGGTGGAAAAAGTGTCCACAGCCAGGGGTTAAAATGGGACTCCCGATTGTGAACTGAATGAGGGCTGAGAAAGGCCTTCATTCTAAATTAGAATCTCTCGGTCATCTAGCTTTTGATCTTAAGTTGTACCCAGAATGAGGGAGGTCCGGGATATTTGTCGAGATTTTTCCCACTTTTCATTATTTTTTTATCTATTTGAATCTCGATGATCTAATTCATAGTCCAAAAAATATATATTAACCTAGCGCTATGTTATGTTTATGTATATTCTAGGATTCGTTACTAATTACGGTGCTCATAGCAACTGTTTCCATAACAACTGCTTTGGATAATGGTTTGGCCTTGACTCCGCCTATGGGTTGGTTGTCATGGGAACGCTTCCGTTGTAATGTTGATTGTGTAAATGACCCAGATAATTGTATCAGGTAATATGGAAATACATAAAACATTTTTAAATATCGCCAAAGGTATCATTAATGAAATTCTAATAGGCCATTTTTTTAAATATCGTCAAAGGTTAAAGATTGATAAGGTTTATTCATGGAGTTAAGCTGGGGCGAATGTTGACCGGACAGCGGTGCTATGGTCTACTTATTATCCAATTCTCGCACCTCTCAAAAGCTAAAACCGGGATTGATATATCACGAAGGCATCCGTGTTCTACTATGTTTACAATTCAAGACAACGCTGGGTTCAAAGACCCCCTTTCCTCCAGTTTAATAGTTTTTTCTCGCAAAAGTAGAATGGATGTGGGTGTGATATGTTCCTCTTTCTGTTGTTGGAATATCTACGGAACTACTAAAAAAATATCGGTAGCAAGAAATGATATAACGTATTTTGTGTTCTTAACTCGGCTGCTTAGTGGGTAAGGCGTTGGTTCACTAACCAGAAGATCTTGCGTTCGCTATCGGTGTTGGCCGAGAAAGCTTCTCAGATTTTCCAATGTTGTTTCCCCTTGTCCATGGTGCAGGACATTTGGAATTCGAAATACGAGCAGGACGTAGCACCGCTGTCCGGACAAAATTTCCCTCCTAGTTCACCGTAAATCCCATTTTATTTCATTTCATATCTTTTTTTAAAAAAAATAATGAATAATTTGTTTAGCTTTTAATATGTGCAATTTACATAGATAGAGATTCACACATACATCTCTAATTACGATAGGAGAACAGACTTAATATACACCTCATTTCTAATCTCAACCATTTTAATAACAGTTTGTATTGGTTTTTTAATCCAGCGAGAAGTTAATAAAGCAAATGGCAGATCTGATGATATCAGAAGGATATAAGGATGCTGGCTACGAGTATGTTTGTTCGGATGACTGCTGGCAGTCTATGTCTAGAGCTGCTAATGGAAGTCTGGTAGCTGATCCACAACGATTCCCGAGTGGAATAAAGGGTCTAGCAGATTATGTAAGTTATTAAAATAAAACATAATGTCTCAGCTAGGAATTATATAATATAAATACAGCGGATTCTTGCTTATTACAAATTTAAAGGGAAAAAATACTTTAACCCAATATTTTCCACAATATTCGTACTTAAAAACACGAATTAGATTCAATATTGGTCCATTTCAATCAATATTGATGTTATTATCATGCCGTGAAAATATCGAATCCTAATATCCAATATTTAAGACACAATGAACATTTTATAATCAGTACCGGAGTTGTGTATTCTATTTGTAATAAACAAAGAAAATCATATCCTACAAGACAGTAATGACTGATTCACAAACAAATAAAAACTGTGTAGAATGGACTGAGCCAGTCTATTGTTTCTGTAGTTCACTGTTCATTTGGCGATTTTGTATTTAAACCATTGCTTAGAGTTCCTGGGAGACCATGCTGGAAAATACGAGGGACCGCTCTCGATCAACACCTGGATCGAGCCACCGCGGCTCCCAGGGTAAAATGCGCTTGACTGATATTGATCGTTTAAAAATATGATTTGCAGGTTCACAGTAAAGGGCTAAAACTGGGTATTTATGAAGATTTTGGACATTTGACATGTGAAGGTTATCCGGGATCAGAATTCTATCTTCAGATGGATGCCCAGACATTTGCTTCGTGGGAAGTGGATTTACTTAAGTTTGATGGATGTAATTCACAATTAGACGATTCCGATCGTGGTAAGTATAGGTACTGAATGGTTTTCACTGTCATAACCAATTTCTGATTTATTTTCAGAGTTACTGTGTTAAAATCAGCTGATTGGGGAGCGGGTGCTTATGGGAGACACGGTGGTCCCTGGTTCGATAACGGCGTTCACCCTTTTCTTTCAATAAATATACTTTAATTGTTTCAGGCTACCCCGCTATGAGTTTCTACTTAAATCAAACAGGTCGACCAATGGTATTTACTTGTGAATGGCCTCTTTACCAGACTACGCAAGGCATCATGGTATGTATACTTATACCAAATTTTTTCGGTGGTTTTCGGAGAGGGCGGGGTGTGGCGTGGCGTTAAAGGACTGGAATCACATCTGGAATGTCACTGATCCGAATTCCAACGTCGGTCGTAAAGAACCATCGCCACTTTTAAAAGTAAGCACTGCACGCAAACAAAATCGATAAGACAAACCTGCGGACAAGACAAACTGCACAGATATTGCAAGAAATAAACATCAAACATCAATTCAAGTTAATGAATCCAGGGGAATATGTTTAGTCCTTTGGATTGTATAAAAAAAACCGGGGTCCGATCTAGAAATCAACAGTTCACTTATAAAACAGATTCCGGGTCTATCCGTTCATACTGTTAGTTATAATTATTATGTATATGTTACAGTCAATGTCTACAATCAGGCAATGCGTACAATGCCTTTGTAACCCTAACCCCCCATTCCTTACCCTAACCCTAAACCTAACCCTAACCCGGCAATGTACACATTGACTGGTATATTTCAGGCATTGTACACATTGTATGATTGTAGACATTGACTGTCACATATACATGTATATATATACATGCCCACACGGGACATTAAACGCCATTTGATTCGACAACTGGTTAATTATTAGACAGGATTGACAGTATTGTATGCGTCATGCAACTTACATAAGATATGAATCTTATTATAATTTAAGCCTAACTACACCGGTATACGAGATGCCTGCAACTACTGGAGGAACTGGAAGGATGTCCAGGACTCGTGGGACAGTATAATAGAGATCATTGACCACATGGGAGATGATGTTGGTAATTTTAGTAGTTTCGCCGGCCCTGGTGGGTGGAACAATCCCGACCAGTTGATTGTTGGGGATTTTGGATTAAGTCAAGAGCAGGAAAGGGTTCAATTCGGGATGTGGGCCATGATGGCGTCTCCGTTGATGATGTCTGTTGACCTGAGAAACATCCGACCAGAATCAAAGGCTTTATTACAAAATAAAAATATTATCGCCATAAATCAAGATCCTAGAGGTATAATGGGAGTCAGAACACAACAGGTAAGTTACAACCTAGAGATGCTATGGGTTTAATGGGAGTCAGAACGCAACAAGTAACAACCCAGAGATCATAAGGGATAAAATCGGAGTCAGAGTGCAACAGGTAAGTAATAATCCAGATATTCTTAGGGGTATACTGGGAGTCAGAAAGCACAGGTAAGTGACAACCCAGAGATCCTAAGGTGTATAATGCAGCAGGTAAGTAACAACCCAGATGCTATGGGTATAAGGTGCGCGGAAAAAAAGTCGGAACACAATAGGTAAGTAACAACCCAGAGATCCTAGGTATATAATGGGAGTCAGAACGCACCAGGTCAAGTAACAACCAAGGGGTGCAATGAGTATGTATAATGGGGGTGAGAACGCAACAGGTAAGTAACAACCCAGAGATGCTATGGGTAAAATCGGAATCAGAACGAAACAGGTAAGTAACAACCTAGAGATGCTTTGGGTATATTGGGAGTCAGAACGCAACAGGTAAATAACAACGCAGAGATCCTAAGGCAGGGCTCACACTGTCGGTCGCCAAAGTCTCAATTTGCGATAAAAATATGAAAGTGGCGATTAAAATTTGATTTTGGCGATGATGATGGCGATAATGTTTTGCGGTACTGGCGATTCTTTTTGAGAACTGGTGGGAAAAAAATCTAAAAATTCTAATCGTATTTATTGAGTGCCAATCACGTGGCGGGATACTATAAATTAATCAACTAGCCGCCGATAATCCGGATCGCGTCAATGAGTAATACTAATCAGTTGTCTTTGATTAATTGATTGTTAATTGTGAATGATATATATAAAGCCTATGTCAGGTAATTATTTACTCCTAATGATTAATCCAAGCGGTGATTAATTGATGTTTCGTTGATTTACCCCCACTATACCAGTTCCTTTGTTAAGGGATTAATGGACAATTAACGATGCAACAATGGGGATTAGTTAGGATTAATTAAGGGTCTACCAGTGGATTAAAACAGTTCACTGAACTGAACTGAAAGACAGTTCAATTCAATACTTTATTCCATTTCACATCCACTTTTTTACATATTATTATAGATTTTTAGCATAGAATGTACAAGTTATCATTCACTGAAAGACAGTTCAATTCAATACTTTATTCCATTTCACGTCCACTTTTTTACACATTATTATACATTTTTATCATTTTAGCATAGAATGTACAAGTTATTTAAACATTTCCATTAATCATTTTCCATTCACTTACAAACATTTTCCTATAAAATATACATTTTCAATAAATCTAAAATTAATTTTACAAGCCTACTAAGTTCTCTACACCATGAAACTGGCCCACTTGATTAAGGTCTTAATTATAATCCGATAATCATTAACTGTTCAGGGATTAAAAACTGGTATAGTGGGGTGACCCCGTTTCGATTCGTCTTAAAATACACTGTAAATGATAATACATGTAATCAAAATGGCCGACAGTTCCTTGCTAAGAGAATTAAATATTTTTGATAGCTGAATTCGTTTACAGTGGCTCCATATAAGTCATGTAAAAAATACAAGCATGCCTTTCGGATATCATTATTCCAAATTATAATATCACCACTCGTCGAAAACGTAAGAACGAGTTGAACAGTGACGATTCTTGAGCGAGAAAACAGTTCGCCATTTGTATCATATTACTGTCGCCAGCTCTGAAAGTTAACGACGGGTATATTGTAAGCATCTCTTAACAAATATAATTGAAATTTATACCATTCTATCAGGGATTCAGATTCTGATATCTTTACGGTACCTGAAAAAAACAATAGGCCCACTGTGCACGCAACACATAAATTTATAGAAAATTAGCAATCCTTGGATGATATTTGACGTGTAAATACTGAAAATATATTGTGCAGTACGGTGTTCAAATAGACTAAAGTCACCAAAACTAAAATCTGATCTTATTAAATCCAAACTTTGCTAATCTATTATGTAAAGACAGATTTTTAAAGCTGCTGTATAATGTATTGTGTATATATCGGTAACTGTTTTATAATAAGCCTAGCTGAGACATAAAATTGTTAGATGTTGTTTTTTTTATCACACATTTCTGGCAGATAAAGTATTTCAGTTGGCGGAAAAAAATATGAACATTTTTCTTATATTAAAATTATCATCCATTTTGGCGGAAAAAAAATAGAAAGCCAGTGTGAGCCCTGTCCTAAGGGGTATAATGCAGCAGGTAAGTAACAATACAGAGATGCTAGGGGTATAATGCAACAGGTAAGTAACAACTCAGAGATGCTATGGGTATAATTGGAGTCAGAATTCAACAGGTAAGTAACAGATTTGTTGCCTTTAAACTAGACCGATATCTCCATTTATTGATGTAATAGCACTGTTTTCTGTCTTATATGACCTAGTTTCCGGATGAGACGAAAAAAACAGATATTGCTCATACCACTCTCAAAGGAAACCATCTAGTTTTCGGATGGACGAAAAACGCAGGTCCCCTGTATACCATTGGAGCCAGGTATCTCCGACTCACTGATCAGAAGTTCCCGGGTGTGGTCCCTGTGTTGGCCGCGAAAATTTCTCGGGTTTTTCAAGCTTTTTTTCCCGTATTCGTGGTGCAGGAAGGGCATCCTAGTCGGTCGGGCGGTACGAAAATCCAAGGCCCCGTGTACACGTTGACGTGTCCGTAATAGAACCTTTGCCAGTTTGACTTGATAAAGAGTAGATGGAAACGTCGCTATTCGGATACAAATTAACTTAAAGCGCACCGCATGGGTTATAGCACACTGCATGGGTAATATCACATTGCATGGCATTTGCCTGTCTTTATTAGCCCAATTGTGTTTTCTTGTCACGAATGACTCACCCCTGAGATGTTAAAATTTGTTGTTCTTTATATTTTGCAATATTTCAGATGGGTTTAGTTGAAATATGGAATCGACCTCTGACCCCCGTGGGCAATATGGCGACAGCCTTCATTAATAAAGATACGGGTGGTAAACCATCTATTGTTCCTGTAACCGGAAGTGACCTAGGACTTGTATCTGGGTCTCTATATACTGTATACGACGCCTTTACAATGTCTGTTGTTTATAATAACGCTTCATCTAATGTTAATTATAAGATTATTGTTAATCCTACTGGTATTACTATGTTTAATATACAATTACAGAAATAAACTTTAATATACAGTTAACGAAATATATTTGAATATACAATTACAGAAATAGAATTGAATATACAATTATAGAAATAGACCTTGATATAAAAATACAGAAATAGACTTGAATATATAATTACAAAAATATTCTTTAAATACAATTACAGATACAGAAATAGACTTGGATATACAATTACAGAAATATACTTTGATATACAATTACAGAAATACTTGAATATACAATAACAGAAATATTCTTTAATATACAAATACATGTACTTGTATCTTTTTCCGTGTGTTCTAATACATATACTTGTTTTTATTCGGTACGTTCTAGAACATGTACTAGTGTATTTTTTCGTGTGTTCACGGACATGGTATTGTATCTTTTTTCTGTGTGTTCTAGAACATGTAATAGTGTATTTTGCCGTATATTCTAGGGCATGTACATGTATATTTCGGTGTGTTATAGAACACGCACTTGTATATTTCCCTTATGTTCTATAACACGTATTGTTCCGTTTGTTCTCGAACATGTAATTGTATATTTTCGGGGTGTTCTAAAACACGTACTTACATGTTTTTCAGTGTCTTTTAGAACACGTTCTTGTATATTTTTCCGTGTGTTCTATAACATCTAAACTATTTGGAATGGAATGGGGTTTAACAACTCTATACAATTCTAACAAATGTCTGTGGTTACATGTCCAATGCGAAGGGTGTGATTTTGCCAGGTACTATAAATTTGTGCCCGGGTCCTCGTTCCTTTTTGGTCACATCCAAATGACTACACTTATTTTTCATGATCAGCCCCGTAAGTGCCTCCACTGCCAAGCTGGAACCGAGCGTGAATTATCCTAAAGCTACAGGAGGAAAATTTACCATTTGTTCACATAGATAACAAAATGTTGGGAGTTTTGATAAGTGCAAGCATATATTTATTATCAATTCATATCTTACGACTGTCCTTGACATGTATATTGTTTAGATTCAGCTCTTAAAGTGTCAGAGTGTGATTTGAACGGTATGGAAAGCCCTTACAAACTACAATATTGTACAAGTGGGATTTCTAAATGGAACATCAGTCCAAAAAGGGATTAATTCCGTTCAATATTTACAAAGATATGACGAATTGAAAATCAAATCGATCTATGCTGCTTCCTGTGTAACAAACGCTGCCATCTTTATTTTCCGTGAACCAAATGGATGGGTCTGTTTAAATCCGATTGAATTCACGAAGGGAGAATATCTAGCGTTGGCATTTTGAATTTGTTTTCGTAATTAAATGTTAAATATGCATTATGCACGAGCTAAATCTGCCTGTTACGGGGTTTTCTTTAGGCATGAAACTATTAATTAGACATTTATTAACATGAAAAGACGACATTCAACTCTCGGTGCTATCTGATGGGTACGATTGTCCACAGGTTTGAATCCTATCTGCGGTTCAACGGCCGTTGATGGTTAACCATAAAAATCGAGGCTACAGTGTTATTAAAATGACGATTTCTCGGCTTACAGTAAAGTAATTTGACTGAAATCTTCAGCATATCTGTGACGACGTGTCTAAACTTATTGACCCACAACTGGTTTTGATACTATAAGATATTGTTATTCATCTATAAGCACGTAATTAAAGACTATCAATTCCACATGTATAGACAATGTAGATATGACCTGTATACATTTATAGCCTACCAGTCAGCTAAATTAAGATAACTTGTAAACTCCATATAGTGTGATTTAGACCCAGTTGAAAGGCATATAACCATAAGTTTGCTGACAGTTAGGAGAAGATGAGAGGAGAGAGACAGGGGAAGAGAGTATGGACTTCCCCGAGTTCAGCCGCTACCGGGGCAGAGGGGCAGAATGGTTATCTTAAACTATTCATGTACTGTGTTGATGTTATTGTTTACCAGTGTGTTCTTGGTGTAGTTTAGTTCCTGTTTAATTCATGTTCCCGTGGTATTTATGTAGCTGTTTTATATTTATGTTACTAATGTAAAAAAAATCATATATTTATGAAACTGATATTCTTTTATCACTAAAATAGTGTTACATATCCCCTGTGTCAAAGTTTGTTTTTGAGAAACCAATACAGGTATCGCGCCGTCAATAAATACATTAACCAGCAGCTGCCAGGCAGAATACGCCCACATTTTGCAAGAGATGGATAGAGAACAAGCTAAACAAAAAGCGATTTTTCGAACAATCAAGGGCCATAATTCAGGGAGTTACGATCCGATATGCGCGAATATCGACAGGAACCAAGGTCTTTGGGTTATAAATGTATATTTCAAGTTTTATCAAAATCGGATCAAAATTGTGAGCTCTAGAGGGTCCACAACCTTGATATAACATATTTTTACACTGTTTGCGTACGAGGGGCGGCCATTTTGTCCAGCAGCTTTGATCCAATTTTCAAGAAATTCGCACTCAACCGTCATTAAGGTGTAACGGTGATATATGTTCAAACGGTTTTTTAAATCGGAATAAAATTGTGACCTCCATAGGGTCCACGGGCTAAAAAACGTGATTTTTCGTAGATTCATGGGTCATAATTCAGGAAGTTACGGTCCGATATGCGCAAATATCGAAATTTCAACAAAATCAAATAAAAGAAAGTGTGACCGCTATAGTGTCCACAAGCTAAAAACGCGATTTTTCGTGCAATCAGGGGCCATAATCCACGGTCCGATACATGCCAATATCGAAAAGAACCGAGATCTTAGAGAGATAAACCTATATTTGAAGTTTCGTTGAAATCGGATAAAAATTGTGAGCTGTAGAGTGTCCACAAACAATTTGTACGGACGGACGGACAGGTGCGACGACAATATACGTCAGTGGCAATTATGGAATTCAAATTAGGGTTGGAATGAATTCTCTCAAAGTAGTCTAATACATGTTATTTTAAGCATCATCTGGCTTCATTAGTCCATCCGGATTATTTATTGATGCGATTAAATAATATAATTAGAGACTAACGCTAACCAAAATCACAGATGTTCTAAGATTAATTTGAGTGATATGTTTTTGCGGTATAGACAGACCTGAAATAATTGATGTATATAATAAATACATGTAATTAGTAATTGATTACTGTTTAGTCTAACTTCCTTAATAGGCGTCTACTATTTCACCGGGCCGTCTTCAGAATCGTTAGCCGGCCATACATGATTCACACGAGCAGACAAGTTGCGATTTTCTGCGCAAATCATCGTTCGTACTGAAAGCGACGATAGCACTGAAATTCGCTCTTCTGTCACGTCACATGTATGACTTTTGACCCCGCACTGTGATTGGCTAATGAAAATCGTTCGTGCGAACTGTTCCCAAAAATTCGCTCTTGAAGCAATCTGCGGTTTTCCGCTTGAACAAAAATTGAACCGTGTTCGCGTTCGCCGCCAGTAAAAACGGCTTCATTGAAATAGCAGTTAAGCATTCAAATGCGGTCTCCGCGTTCGCGGTCGTGTTCACATTCAGTATAAACGGACCTTCAGAGACACCTCTGTTTTCTCCAGTGGGCGCCCCATTGGTGTTTTTCAGTGAATCCAGTATTTTTCTATTAAAAGTGAGTATCTCTACTTTCCATATAGGCCTCTACCAAATATGCCTCACTACCCTATACTTTCGTGGGAATGTTTTTAACTACCAAGCCAATGAAGGAATAGACTTGGTTGTGAAATACGTCAGCCAATGATGGTATAAACTTAGTTGTCGAATACGGAAGTGAAATGGTCACGTGAAGAATAACTGAGGGTGGATTGGATATTCAAGTCAGCTAACTGCCAAGGTACCAAAAGATCAAATAAAAGTGTCAGAGAGAATGTGCGCGCGTTCTTCCTGAACTATGGAATTATGTTAAGAAAGTGAAATCGTCACGTGAAGAATAACTGCGGGTGGATTGGATAATCAAGTCAGCTAACTGCCAAGGTACCAAAAGATCAAATAAAAGTGTCAGAGAGAATGTGCGCGCGTTCTTCCTGAACTATGGAATTATGTTAAGAAAGTTGTGCTTTTATCTTTCAATGTTATTGAAGAATAAAAAAAGGGATTTCTATTTTGTGAATTTCGTGTTATTTTAGGATAGCTGACATATGAGTGACGTAGTTTTGTGTTTTGATTTTTCAATTGATAGAATACTTCATGGTTTTTACATCTGGTCATCACGTCTTGATAACAGGTTGGTGAAACTGGGTGACTAGAACATGGACCCATTAGATTAAAAGATAGCTCCTTTCGGGTGACAAAATATTTTGGGATAAAGAAAATACCCTGGCGGACTAGATGAAAAATTTCACGAAGAAGGCAATGTAGTGTAACGACATCTGCCCGATTCTAGAATTTAAAAAAACCAGAAACCTTTGTTTTCAGAAGGTTGTGTGTTCTGTTCACCTCTAGCAGACGTACACAATGGTAAACACGGAAGGATCCAAACCTCGAACTCAGATAATTGTCAATGGAGTTTTGGGCATATTAATTTTTCTGTTAAACAGTCTATCATTAGTGTCCATTCTTCAGAGTAGATCGTTTCCTAAACGACAGAAGGTTGTGCTCTTTTCGCTGCTGATCTCCAATATGATTCTTGGAATGCACGTTTTGTTAGTTAGATTGATGCATATCGACTCTATCAGCGAGCATGTTCTTTGTCAATCTCGTTTATTTGCTGGCATTACTCTTATATTTGCGACCATTTTATCCAATCTACTTATTACTACTGAGCGATTTCTTTGCATAATCTTACCCATGAACTTATACCAGAAAATAACTTGGAAAAAACTTACGGTAGTCGTCATCTTTTTGTGGAGCTTGGCCGGTTTGTTAACGTTTTCGTTTTTCTCCGATGGCTTTGGTGGGCCTATTTGTCAATTTATAGTTTCTGGAAATCCAAATGGCTTTGACGTGCCTGTTTGTCAATTGATAGTTACTGCAAATTCAAATGGCCATGTTTTCCTCGGTTCGTTCATCTTTGTTGCATTTTTGATTAACGTTATAATGTATACGTACATTGTTAAAGTAGCAAGACGTCACATCCGGCAAATTTCCACCACAATAGTTGGAAATACTCCAGTAATTGACGAGAGAAGGTCTTTCCAGAGCAAAGCTGAATTACGTATGACAGTGACTGTGGGTATTATTGTTGGTATGTTCGGGGCGTCCTATTGCCCAGCTGCCGTTTATATAACGTATTGTGGACATATTGTTTCTGATGTGTTCGCCGTTGACGCAAACGACAAAACTGTCTTCACAACCATGGTAACGTTCTTTATAATCAACAGTGTTATCAATCCTCTTATATATATTTTACGACTCAAGAACTGTCGACAGGAAATGGTAGCAAGAATATTATGTCGGCCCCAACCCCAATTTGAAAACCAGAGCCAGAACTTTTAAAAGTGGATTATCGTTTAGAAGATCTGCTTCGGTCCACGAAAAAAAACAATCATTTTCGATTGGACTATACCGTTCTTCAGGGCATGTTCGAATTTAGATTGTGTGAAACATTAGACAAGCCACCGTTTAGATATTATAGATGTTTTAACGTTAGATTTAAGATATTGTTTTAGAATATATCAATTTAATACTATTTGGGTTGTATTATAATAGGCTATGAAATGAAATTGCTGATCTTATATGAGAAGGCTATAGGGATGCTTGCTAAGAGTATGCGTGTTCAGATGTTTTAACTTTTAATTTAAGAGATAAGCACATTTTTAGTGGTTTTCGATCAGATTAATCGACGCCAATAAAACATCCTCAGCCCCGGAACCTTTAAAGTCACATTATCGTTTGGTTGAGCTTCCACTTCTGAAAAGACATTTGTGTTGATATAGTGTGAGACGTATGTGTAAACAATGTTCTCGTGGAACTCAGGCTATCATCTGGAGTTACCATACTGTATTATTAAGACACCGTTCCGACTGGGAGACAGGCATCATTCGGCGATCCTAGAAAAGCATAATTCAGAGTTTCTGGACACATCATACACCTCCTTGGGATGTAGCGTTGGCTCTTACAGTCTGTAAGGGCTGAGTGCGAGGCTTATGGACTTCAGACTATAGATTACAAGCTATTATATAACAGCATATCTGTTGTTATTTCTTGTATACTGTTATATAATCAAGGATTTAATAGATGTTATAGCTGTTTTAATTTTTTCAATTTAAGATTTGCGCATATTTTTAACAGTTTAATCGACATCAATGTAACACAAATTGCCGTCTGATTAGCCGTCGCTCAGGGTTCAGGTGTTTTTTTAAGAAGTTTAATAGGTGAGTCTAGGATACTTTTGAATATATATTTAACAAGTGTCTACGCTTAATCAATGATAAATGGCGTTGACAAGATTCTATAATGCAACCAAGGATAAATGGGTACTTATGAGAACAATGCATATAATTTTCAAGCAGATCGACGGATCGATAACTAGTGTTTAGAGCGTTCATAAAATCATACGAAGTGAACAAGGGCAATAAACCTAACAGTAATTAATTTGAAATATTTGCTAACCGATAGGCTTCTTCATTTCATTGCATATATATTTTAAGCATACCAATGGTAACGCGTGTCGCACCAATTTTTCTATGGTTCTGCAAAATCATCAAAATGAACGGAAATTGTTGAAATTTGATACAATGACAGTTTTTCTTGTTAGGGCATTCACAGACTTCTACAAGGTGAGCAAGAATTATAACTTTGGGAGTGATTATCAGAAATTCCCGAATTTCATTAGACTGTATCGCAACACCAACAAGGCAGACATTATTAAAGACCACGTAAGATCAAAAATCTAAATTGCATCTATGTATAGCCCATGGTTTCTATATGAACTTTACGGCAAGTTCACACCAATCTGATTAAAATTAAGTCCGCTGTTAATGTTTAAGTATCCGAAACGCCAAAACGCTTTTCGAATTATCAATTACGACCTTAATCCGGTTGATTGGCTGGTGACGTCACAGGCACTACACATGGGATATACATTATCTATACAATATCTCACTGTCCGTACAATATAGCACTATCAATACACACGGCAACTGGACAAGCGTCTATTGACGGTCCAATTACCACGTGACTGGCCTAATCATAATCACCGAATTATCGTCTTTCATTGGTATAGATTAGACATTTGTGATTGGAATATTTTAGAGTGAATTTAAAATGCCATATCATGCCGTAGATCAATTTAAGCTGCCTTTGTTTAAATAGGTCACGTGTCAAATGAAGATGACTCAAGAAATTAGCGCATTTACCGGTAATTTGGATAACCCCGTAATACTTGATATCCCAAACTTAAGTACAGAAATACAAATGGTGCCAGTCATTTTCCGATATATTCATTATTCGCTATATATAATAATAATAACCATTTCTATACATAAAGAACAGTGAATATGGAATTTTCCGATGACTATGCAAAACATGTACAATAGATCGCACTCATTTCTCTGCCAATCAACGCTTGGTATCTTATTATCATGTACCGTTCCATGTACTACGGGTGTAGTAAATGAGGTTAAACTTCGCCGCGAAAATTGCACGGGATCATTCGTGGAGTTCCTGGTGCCGTTTGGTGAGTGATTAAACTGTCAATGCAATTGTAAAATACTTTTATTATAAAGATGACCGATGTTAGACATTATAACCTAATCGTATCAAAAACATTAATCCATCCATCAATTAAATGTTGTTTAAACGCCAATCAACAAATAATACGAGGCTACTCGATTACAAAAACACCGGTGAGCAATAATTATTGGGTATATAGTAATTTTAAAAAAAACTTATTAGTAAAACTTAATTATTTTATACAATTAATGTGTGTATGATTCTACCATTAGTTCATACGGGTGTCGTAAATGAGGTTAAACTTCGCCGCGAAAATTGCACGGGATCATTCGTGGAGTTCCTGGTGCCGTTTGGTGAGTGATTAAACTGTCAATGCAATTGTAAAATATATACTTTTATTATAAAGAAGATAACCGATGTTAGACATTATAACCTAATCGTATCAAAAACGTTAATCCATCCATCACTTAAATATTGTTTAAACGCCAATCAACAAATAATACGAGGCCACTTGATTACAAAAACACCGGTGAGCAATAACTATTGGGTATATAGTAATTTTAAACAAACTTATTAGTAAAACTTAATTATTTTATACAATTAATATGACGTGTGTGTGTACGATTCTACCATTAGTTCATTTGTGGGTACTACGCACACATTCCACCTAGAGTGATGTCTTTGAAGATAATTACCTAATCAGCATTCTGAATCCCACTAACAATCACTGATAACACCGAGATGTAAATTAATTAATGACCCCCAAGTCTGTCTTTGATCTGGCCGGCGTAAAAAAGATAATTACCTAATCAGCATTCTTAATCCCACTAACAATCACTGATAACACCGAGATGTAAATTAATTAATGACCCCCAAGTCTGTATAAGTTTAGTCGCATTGATTAATTAATGACAGATATTAACAACACTACTTATCATATTATTATCAATACACAAAGATAGTTAGATGACACTTCTCAATCTGTCTGTTATTCCATTTAGATGGTTACCCTCAAAATTTATTTGTACTATATATTGAGATATTTTTTCGCATTTCATATTTACGGTCTATTTCAGAGTAATGAAGTCAAATCCCTCGTACGATGATAACGGATCGTCATTTACAAATCGCTTTTCAATCATGTTTGACTTTTATGATACAATTTGCAAGACCACATCTTTTTAACACTGTACTTTTTTACTCGCGCAAATTAGAACCACAATACTCTTTTGACGAAAATGTATCTCTAATCAATTGGACTGCACACGATGTTAGAGGGTATTAAATTCCTGTCATGAGAAACAAATTCTAAATTGAATCATAAATTAAAATGAATTACAAAACAAATTATTCCGTAGTCAATTGTTTTATTTAATTAAGGAACTAAGGGGGATTAAGGAACCAGTCAGGCGTTAATGAGTACACACGCCGGTTGTATATAGGTAATTAAGGAATAAACATTCCGAATATGTATTCGGTCACTGTGATGTCACTGGCGTCCGAGGGGATTAAGAGTGTTTTCGATAATTGGCAAAGTCGTTTTTAAGGGAGGTCTATTTTTACGACTTTGAGTGAAGATAACTGAATTAATTTCAATCAGATTGGTGTGAACTTGCCGTAAAGTTGATATAGTAACCATTGGCTACACATATCCAAAAGTTTCCAAGCCCATCTTATGTGCACTTTAATAATAATACCATAAAGAATATTTATTCATGTTTATTGACAACCATGTATCACATTTATTATAAACATTTAATAATAAGGCACATGACAAAAATATACAGCTGTATGGATTTCTACAATCATATGATATAGGACACTTTGGTGAAATAGGCCATGGTATCGGCATCGGGAATAAGACCAGTAATTCTCTAATGGCTGACGTCAATTAAATCCATGTCATCCCGTGGTCTATAAAATATTTTTATCATTCTAATGATGTTAATCTTTATAACCTCAAAGATGCCAAGATGATAATCACTAAAACCTGGAACCCTTCTTTGATTCCAGATCAAAAACTGCCTGAGTATCAAATTATGTATGGAACATCTATTCATCATTTTACTATCCGAAATTTCAGGATATAAATTATTATAATGATTATAATGATTATTCAATAATCAGAAATAAGTGCAAATGCAAAAATCAACATATAGTGAGATATCTTAGGCAGTTAAAATATTTGTAGGATTGAATACATAAGTAACTAACAAAACGAAAGTAGTCGAGAAAATAATAGATATAAATCCAGTCATGGATAAACATATCAGATGACTCATGTATGAGGCCCGATTTGCTGCGATCTCTTTCTTGCGAATGCGGTCTACCCTAACAATTAATACATATAACAAATTAATACAAATATCACGTGTAATAATCACATAATTAATACAAATATCACATGCGTTACATTTGAATACAATTATAAAAATATAGATGAAAATAAATATTTATCAACTTCCTGGAATGTTTAAATGTACAAGAGTCACTATTGAACTAATGATAATATACAGCACTGTAGATTTTTTAAATTCTTGGTGGAAGTAATAAAAGCTCTTTAAAGAAGCTAAACCTATTACATGTACATACAGAATTTGGTTCACTGTAAGGCCCGTTTTCCTTTTTCGCCGATGTAAATTCGATCTAATGCCAATGTGATGGGACTATTTCCACCGCGTACATGGAAAACGGGCTTAAGACGAACTTTTTACGTTCACTTGGTTAAACGTACTCAATATCTAGCTTGAGTCTATATATCAACAAACTTTTAAGGTAAACTTTTAACAACTAAACCTCTGAAAACGCTAGTAGTTGGCTTGATTGTAGACATTTTGAAAAAACGATACACAATAGGATAGTTTTAAATGAAGGTATTAACATAGCAATATTATTATTAATTCATAAAAACAAAGCACATTCATTCGTGGGGTTAAAATATAATATATTATGGTCATCTACAAATGTATAGAATCTTACCACCTTCACATTTCCCAAATATAACGTTTGAAAACTCTAACGTAAATGACGTTATGGAGTAATACATTGCAATATTGTTTTTAATTCGTAAAAAAACAAAGCACATCCATTCATGGGGTTAAAATATAATATATTATGATCATCTACAAATGTATAGAATCTTACCACCTTCACATTTCTCAAATATAACGTTTGAAAACTCTAACGTAAATGACGTTATGGAGTGATAAACAACGGACATGACTCAACACTAATATACTGTTAGAATTTCTTTATTAATATGCATATTCAACAATTAATATGATTAAAGGGCTGACTAATGAATTACTTATAGTTTGAATTCCTTAATTAATATGCATATTCAACATGAGTAAAAGCTGATCAAATTACCCAAGACGTCGGGGATTACCCAACAATATTAAAAATACGGTAACTAAGACAAATTTCTTTAAAGAAAATTAATATGCATATTCAACAATTACTTTGATTAAAGGTCGATCAATGACCACAGATTATTGATACACTGCCACGTGAAGATTAAGGAACAGCTAAACCAACACTGTTAGAATTTTTTAATTGATATTCATTACAGTCAACCATTAGTATGATTAGAGACTGATAAACTAGAGATAAACAACGGGGATTCCCCGACAATATCACAAATACGAGAGCGAACACTCTTTGAATTTCTTAATTAATATACATGCATGTTGAACCATTAGTATAATTAAAGGCAGATTAAAGGTTGTTTGATGATGACAGATTATTCAGACTAGACTTTAAGATGAAGGAACAGCTAAACCAATAAATATACTAGTTGGTTCAATAGACATGATAAACATATCGGTAGATGTATAAACTCCTAATGGTTTATTTTCAAATACATCTGATATATTATAGCTTGGTCCTGGTAATCCTAGTTGATTTAGTTGTAACTTGACTGTATTCGGCATACCCTGATTATCACGGTTGACAATACCTATCGCGTAACTCCCTGTTTTAGCTAATGGTTTTAACCATACTCCAAGGCTACTTATCTGAAATAGAAAGAAATTGTAATAAATATTGATTGATTCCACAGGGAACGTAACGTAGGAGATAGGAGCTAAAATTTTACAGAAAATGTATCTAACAATTTATTTTCCATTTTCGGTTGAGGTTGAGATTTCCTTTTTTGGGGTGTGGATGTTTGAAATCAAGTATTCGCGATTCTGCTAGTATAGAAAAACCATTTGACTTTTGATAGAAATTCGGTAGAGAAGAGCCGAAACCAGCGGTTGCCAGGCAAGATACGCCCACATTTTGCAAGAGATGGATAGAGAACAAGCTAAAAAAAAAAATGCGATTTTTCGTACAATCAGGGGCCATAATCCGGGAAGTTATGGTCTGAAATGCGCGAATATCGAAATGGACTGAGATATTTGGGATAAAGATATATTTTAAGTTTCATCAAAATCGGATAAAAATTGTTACTTCTAAGAGTCCACAACCTTGGTATTACATAGGGTGTAACGGTGGTATATTCAAACGTTTTTTTTAAATCGGATAAAAATTGTGACCTCTAGCGGGACCACAATCTAAAAACACGATTTTTTGTACAATCAAGTTTTATAATTCAGGAAGTAACGATCCGATATGCGCGAATATCGAAAGGAACCAAAATCGTCGGGTTATAAACATGTATTTCAAGATCCACATATATTTACACTATTTGAGTACGAGAGGCGGCCATTTTGACCGGCAGTTTTGGTCCGATTTTCATTAGGGTGTAACGGTGATATATTCAAACGGTTTTTCAAATCGTATAAAAATTGTTAACTCTAGAGGGACCACAAGCTAAAAACGTGATTTTTCGTACAATCTGGGGCCATAATCCATGAAGTTTCGATCCGATACATGCCAAGAAACCGAGATCTTTTTGAGATACACCTATATTTCAAGTTTTGTCAAAATCGGATAAGATTTGTGACTTTAGAGAGTTCACAAACAAATTGTGGACGGACGGGCTGGGGCGACGACAATTACACGTCCACGTGAAAATGTGGTCGTATAAAAATGGAAACCCTTTGACTTTTTAAATTTATACTTATCGCTCTATATCGCATTTTAATCCGATACCCGTCCCTAGCATAATATCAAAACTTGGGTATAGAGCTTTATCGAATCAATCTTATTTGAAAACCAAATGCCTCTTCCCCATGCCCGTGGAATTTTAATCTTAGATCTATGAATTTATGTATTTGTGCTATATTACCTGATAAAGTCTAACAGCCTGTGCTCCTAGTGGATCCTGATTAATGGCTATTAGCCCCGGATGTTGTAATAATGCTTTAGATGCGCTGTCTATTGTACGCAAATCTGTTGACATAAATAATGGTGCTGACCATAAGGACCACAGCGCCATCTGGGTCTTCTGCTGATTATAACTTAATCCAAAATCCCCAACAACCAACTGAAATATATAAATACATATTTAATAGTCGTCAAGTAACGGCATCTAGTTTTTCGGATGGGGCGCAAAATCTGGATCCCGTGTGCTCGTTGGCATTTGGGATTTGATGAAGAGTAGGCGGACATGTCTCTGGGTTGGCAAATTCCTGTATCCACATCTTCATTATCCCGGTTGGTGCAGAAATCTTGGATGTTAAACCCTATTTCATTGCATTTGAGTTTATTTGATCTCACTTACATCTGGCTTTAAACCCGCTTTATCTCTTAAAGCCATTGAAATATTGAGATTGTGACTATTTACTAGTTTAGCGAACGACGGATTCGACATTGATCATAGAAATCTGTTCCAGATTCAAAAGAACCATATTAAAAGGCCAAACTTGGGATAAAACCATTCACAAAGATGCCAATTAATGGACAGTCTGAACAAGTACGGGGGTACTATGGACCTATTAACTGAGCATGACATCACCCCAATCATACACGCATGCCATGTTTTATGTCTATCATACATGAATTGGTGGAGCCTCAGGCTTTTTTCCAAGAGCAGCGTCCCCGAGAACAAGTTAAGTAGCACCTGGGGTCCAGATCTTGGCCCAAAAATTCTGAGCAGGAGCAAAACTTACTGTAGTCATGGATACATCAAACCTTTTGTTAATTATTGAGATAAAAGCAAATGTTCATGAATCAAAAGTGTATAAGTTTTTAAATCTTTTCTTTTCATAAAATATTTCTAGATAGGGCAGGGGCCGATTCCACGTCACCCAGAACTCAAAGTTAAATCGTCATCTGAATACAACCCATCTTACCATATCTGGATCATTCCAACCTCCAGGTCCAGCAAAACCGCTAAAATTTCCCTCATCTTTACCATAAAAATCTATGATACTGACAATGCTATCCCATCCATCTTGTACATCTCTATAGTTACGCCATAAATTACATGCAGTGCGAATGGCGGCGTAATTTGGCTAAATAATTCAATTTGAAGAGAAGCGGTCAACTGGGTTTTAAGTGACTCCCATGAATGCTGCCGGTAGGGAGGATATGGAAAGACTCTACATGGATGTACATTTGTAATCTTTTGTAAATGATTACCAATTTTGATCACAACCAAATAAAAGTCGAGTTAGATTAAGTCAGATGGGTACATAAATAGCAGATCAGTTTCCAAGAAGTATTTAGTGGAAGACTGGAATTGGTAGATCAGTGTTCGACTGAACTTGGCTTTTAACGTCTCCGATTTCAGACGATCTTCTGAGTCAATGGAAAACCTCCAACAACTTCCAGAACAGATGTTCTTATACTGATGGGAAGTAAGACCATCTCGTCTTGGAAGTAAAAATAACAAGATTAAATGAACCAAATGTTAGAGAAGAATACTGAAGATATTTCACGCCATCCAACTTATTCTAAAACAGCTTGGTCTCAACGCCAAAAGGTTCTAAAAAATGTTGACCTTTCGATGCTATGTGACCTTTAACCTACCATATCTGGATCACTGAAACCTCCTGGCCCTGTGAAGTTTGTGAACCCCGAATCATCTGTTCCGTAAACATCGATTATATGTTGAACATTAACCCAATCGTCCTGGACGTCCCTAGCTACTCTCCAAACATTACAGTGTTCTCTTACTGCTTTATAATCAGGCTGGAAGTAAGAGTCAAACTTTATTTTGACTAATTTAATATGGAAGATTCTTTAACTGTTTGTTAGGTTATTAATATTAATAATCCGTAATTATATGCCAAAATTCCTTCCATAGTTTAAATCTAATTACAGAATTTGATAGGAAATTTCTGATATCTGATTGTTTGTTAAGTTTTCAAATGTAAAATCGAGTTTCTTTTGCAAATATAATTTCATTGATGCACAAACAATATCATTAATATTGCATGCCCCGTTTCCCTGTTTATTAGGTTACTTTGCAACTTTCCTGCATTGTCTATTACTTCATGGATTTGTTATTCAGTCTAGTTTCGTTTCAGTGAATACTAATTAGCCAGAAGGTTCCAGTCTTCAGATATGAGGAATGGCCCATTTTTTTAATTTTCATTTTTAAAACCATTCCATGTACATTCTGTGTTTCTATCCTCCCTATATAACATGTTCAATCAGTCTACATTCTGAAATATTTTATGTCAAAATTAATTCAAAGAATATATTTTTTATTTAATTCATTAACATGGTCATCTCCCGGTTTCAGTAAAAAAAGAATACCAAAGGGTTTTTAATAAGAAAGGTTAAATGAAAGGGTTATTTTTTAAAATTAATGGAAAAAGCAAAGAACATGCATCAATAGCCACAACGGGTTAAAAAGGGTCAGTAGGGATACTTACTAAAAGGAACTGTACTCAAATTACTTACTGATCCTGTCACTCGAATCTAAACCTTGCATTGAATGCACTAAATGGACATTTTTTACTGAAATTACTTGCAAAATTGTCACTGAAGTTACTACCGAAGCTGTAAATAATAATTAATTGGTTAGACTTTATTAGTTTATTAGAATTATCTAAATGAATTTTACTTTACATCACTGACTGAACTTTCAGACTACTGACTTTCAGACTACTGACTGAACTTTTCAATTACGGAATTTTTAGTTCACTGGCTGAACCTTTATTGAGGTTACTGACTGAACTGTTATTGAAATGACTGACTGAATCTTATCTGAGATTATGGACTTAACCTTTATTGAGATTGCTGACTGAGTCTTTAACAGGATTACTGACTGAACCGTTATTGAGATTGCTGATTCGACCTGTCTGAGATTACCGACTGAACCTTTATTGAGATTACTGACTGAACCTTTATTGAGAATACTGACTGAACCTCTATTTAGATTACTGACTGAACCTTTATTGAGATTACTGACTGGGCTTTATTGAGATTACAGACTGAGCTTTTATTGAAATTACTGACTGTGATTTATTGAGATTACTGACTGAGCTTTGCTTCAAATTACCAACTAAGCTTTCATTGAAATAACTGAATGAGTGTTCATTGAGATTATTGACTGAGATTACTAGGTGAACCTTTATTGAGATCACTGACTGAGTCATATTTCAGAATACTGACTGAACCTTTATTGAGATTACTGACTGAACCTTATTGAGATTACTGACTGAACCTTATTGAGATTACTGACTCAGCTTTTACTGAAATTTCTGACTGATTTATCAAGATTACTGAGTTTTTGTTGAAATTACCGACTGAGCTTTCATTGAAATTACCGACGGAGCTTTCATTGAAATTACCGAGTGTACATCGAGATGACTGGCTGAACATTTATTGTGATCACTGACTGAGCCTTTATTGAGATTACCGACTGAGCCTTTATTGAGATTACCGACTGGACTTATTTGATATTACTGACTGAGATTGTATTACTGAATTTACTGGCTGAACTTTTACTAAAATTGATCACTGAATGTTTACTGAAATTACAGCCTTTGTTACCGAATTTGCTTAATGAGCTTTAACTGAAATTATCGACTGAACGTTTACTGAAATTACTGATTGGGCTTTTACTGAAATTTTTGATTGAGCTTTTACTGAACTGAGATTCTTGATATAAACTTTAAATGAGATTACTGACTGAATATTGTTGTTATTATTAACTAGACATTCATTGAGATTTCTGACAGAACATTTAGTGTGATTTCTTTTCTTGAATGACATTACTGAACAGGCTTTTATTTGAGAATACTGATGGGACAGAAATCAAGATAACGGATTGAACTTTCTATTTAGATCACCGATATTGACATTCAACAAAATTGTAAACAAATTTATTGACATTTCTAAATGATTAGAGATTTTTCTTTAATGAACAATCAGATACCAGAATCATTCTTTTGATAAAAATATGTTAATTTTAAACTGTTCATCAACTTAGACATGTAATTAATCTTATATTTCATGTAGTAAAAATTGAGAACATTAATTCTTGAAAAGCATAGTTTTAGTATATTTCTTCATTAACTTGTAGGTTATATATGGGTAAATGTAGTATATGTTTTATAAACAAACCTTAATATGAGCAATAACCCACTGAGCCGAAGGCCAACTACATTCATATACAATAGGTCTCCCTGTTTGATTTAAAAACTGACCCATGATAGGATAACCTAACAAATATAGAAAATAAACTCTAATAATTCACACATGTGTATCAAGATTCAAGTACTTGAGGTGACTGGCATAAAATAGTCGAAATAAAACAGATTCGAGTCATCCACTATAAATGTAGGGGGCTTCAGCACCTGAAATTTCTAATAGCGAAAACTAACCACGCAACTGTAACAGGGAGATGACCAATATGATGTTCAGGTAGTTTGTTAATACATTTGAAACCGTGAAAGAAAAACTCAATTTTTAAATTTTCAAAAATTTTAATTTTTTTATTAATTCTTGAAATCAGAAACAGAAAAAATATTATTTTAACTCTTAAATTTTAAATGTTTGGTAATAATTTTACCACTCTACAGTAACAATTGTATTTTGTCAGACCATCTGAACACTTTATTATAGAATATATAACTGGGTTTGGGCAAGGAATGGATCAGAACATACACTGGCATCATATGGATGAGTGGCATGCAATCGAAAATCTTCGGTACCCTTTTTTTCAAATGAGATATCAATTGTCCAGTTAGCTCATAAGACTTTAGTGGCTTCATTACTAGTTGAACTTTTTTATTTGTTCAACTGTTTTCATATTTTCTAATGTAAAGTCTGTAAAGCCCATTGTGGAAATATAAAAGTACAACCAACAAAAAATAATACTGGGAAGATTGGGCAGGAATCCTTTCACCCTTGTCCATCACCAGAATATTTCAACTAATATGAAAACAACTCTGACCTTTATTTTGTTTATAACTTGATATACTGGCCATTCACATGAAAATATTATTCTACGGTCCGTTAGATTTAAGTATTTAGACATCACTGGGTAGCCTAGCAACATTAAACGGAACAAAGAATATACTAAATAAAATTTATTTTAATAGAAAAGGAATTGAATAAAGTCAGAATTCCTAAAATACTGCTATTTTCAGGGGTCACACTTCTTCTAGTAAGGTATGTATCAGTTTGAAACAAGACAGCTTGTTTATAGTGCTGCCAAGACAGCTTGTTTATAGTGCTGCCAAGATAGCTTGCTAACAGTGCTGCCAGCTTGTTTATAGTGCTGCCAAGACAGGTTTTTTTTTATAGTGCTGCCAAGACAGGTTTTTTTTTATAGTGCTGCCAAGACAGCTTGTTTACAGTGCTGCCAAGACAGCTTGTTTACAGTGCTGCCAAGACAGGGTTTTTTTTACAGCTTGTTTATAATGTTGACAAGACAGCTTTGATGGCTCTGTGAGTAATGCTCTGGCTCATTAACCAGAGGGTTTGGGGTTTGTTCCTACTGTTGGCCGCAAATCTTCCTCGAGAGGAGTTTGTTCCTACTGTTGGCCACCAATCTTTCTCGAGATTATCCAGGCTGCTTTCATTCAGATGGCACGAAAAGAATATGGTCATTAAAGATCCCCTTACAGTTTGAAATCGAAATATGAGTAACAAAAATGTCCTTCATAACACACTGCATTAGCCCAGTTAATGAAGAAAAGTAAGCCATTGAACTAAAGGTTGCATTAACTACAATAGTTTTATAATGTCAATAAATACCCTATCAAAAAATGAGCACAGATAATTCTGAAGTAGAATAAACCAATAGATCTAATGATCCTGATTCCATCTTTCATGTAATAAATTTAATTTCAGTTTTTAAGTTGTCTGATTTCTATGCCCATGTATGCCTGTATCCAATTCTAATCCCAAATCCCAGTCATTTTAATTTAAAAAATCAACAAAAACAAAATCTGTCAGCCTCAAACCTTCTGTTTTGTTACAACTTGATAAAGAGGCCATTCACATGAAAAGACCATTTTATGGCCAGTAAGATTTAAAAACTGAGACATCACTGGGTAGCCTGATAATAAAAGTGGAGAAATAATACATACATATATATAAAGTTGACAGGCAAAGAAACGACCTACCAGTAGCTTTGTCAGGGCGTGATGAAAAGTTGTAGTGAAACAATAAATAGTAAGCATGCTTTATTTAAGTAATTTTAGATGTGGAGCTATGGTATGGTAGATAATGTACCTGTCTAAAAGGGCTGCCTGGTCGATGAGAATGTCCTGGGTTCCAATCCCGATGTGGGATGAGAAGAACATTCAGGAATTTTAAGTCTGATTCTCACTTTTCATTGACTGAAAATGTGCCTAATCATTCGCATGGAATTAAATTAAGCATAGGTGAAAATGTCACAGTCTGAGCAAAATTATTCCCCAGCACACTTAACGATTGAAATGGCCTTTACTAGTTACATACTGGTCATCAAGTATCCATAACCTGACCGTGTAATACTTTTAATGAGTATGACAAAATCATAGCCATGTCAAATCATTTACCATGTCTGGGTTTAACTGATTATACCATGCCAGACATTTGACGTCAACAATGGAAGGATGTCTCCAACTATTTAGTGACTGAATTTACCATGTAAATGACCGATGGACCCCAAATGATTAGAAATATAATCCAGTTGTATTATTCATGAAATTTGTGCAGAAAAGTCCCATTAAAACGAAAGTAGAAGTTTAGAAATTTATTACATCTGAATCCTTTGCCATAAGACTTCAAAATTTGATGGAACGGGTAAAATAAGACTTTGAAATTTGATGGGACTGGTAAAATAAGACAATACATCACCTGTGTCCATATCTTTAGGATCTGAATTACATCCATCAAACTTCAACATGTCCACATCCCATTCAGCAAAACTATTTGCATCTGACTGCATGTAAAATTCACTACCAGGATATCCACCACATGTCTCGGTGCCAAAATCTTCATATATACCTAACTTTAATCCTTTACTGTGAATCTATTGTAAAAAAAAAATACTGAAATTGTATAAGTTGGAAGAAAAAATGGATAAGTTTGGGACTGACTGCAGTGGCAGTTGATTTTGAAAAATTCTAATATTTTAACCATTTACCATAAGTCAATGGTTCCTGGCCTCAAGTCATTCATTTTCAAAGTAGCAGTTTCAATGAGCATCAAGCACATGCAGATACTGAGCTATGTTGAATCCATCTTCACCATTTTAATAAATTATGACATTTGTTGGATACTTTGATTGCTTGAATGGTGTGCCTTGTGAGCAAAGTAGGTACTCAAATGGACACAGGCCACCATTAATTCAGAGAGATAAGAATTTCCCAGTGTTGGTCGAGAAAGGTCCTCTAGATTTTCTGGTGTGGTTTCATCTTGTCAGTGGTGAAGGAAGGAGGGCCTAACAAGGACAGTGTTTAGTACTTCAGAAGGGATGGAAAATGGACTTCGGGTCCACAAATTGGCTTGCACGTAAAAGAACCTATGAAAGTTGGAATTTGATATAAGAGTAGACTGTTGTGCCGCTGCCCGGGCAAAAGTTCTCTCAAAGCTTACTTTATGGCGTATGCCCATCTTCATTAGCTCAATGGATATATAATATAACTTACATAATCAGCCAGAGCTTTAATACCATGTGGAAATCTGTCTGGATCAGCTTGTAGACGTCCTTTACTGTCTCGTTCTCTAGCCATCCAACAATCATCTATATTAACAAACTGATAGCCAGCATCTTTAAACCCTTCTGATACCATTAAATCAGCCATCTTCATGTACAGATTCTCACTATAATAAAACAATGTGTTAGCTACATGACTTTCTCAAACAAATGAAATGAAATGGGGTTTAACACCCTACTTTTCTGCACTAAACAGGCTAATGAGACAGGTATAAACCATGCATTGTACTATGATGGAAATTGTGCCCAGTAGTCGGTATTTCCGACTATTCTTTAACGAATTTGAAGTATGTGCACGAAAACAGGCACACGGATGGAGCTCTTTTTTTTGTCCCATCTAAATGTCTGGATGATTTGATGCTAGAAAGACCATGTAAGACTTACAGTTTGTGTAAATTGGGAATTTTACTATACAACTCTATTGCAATTAGTATCACGTTAAAGATCCCCTGACAGTTGGAAATAGAAATAAAGAGTAAATGTAGCACTACTGTAGGGACACAATTTCTCTCACAGCACAAAATATGATGTATGTATGCCTTCATCAGCCCAGTTGGTTATATTGAGACTAACATTGTATGGATATGTAGTCGATGTGATAAAAGAGCATTTCTTAAGCCGATTTCTCTCCAAATTCAAATTGTCAATGATTTTTTTACGCTTACTAAAACTTGCATGCTAATTCTGATCTTGGTTTTTATATCATTCAACCAAAAACGACTTAAGGCTACAATAACGCTATAGTATTTTTTATGATCTATACCCCAGCAAAATTGTTTCATAATTGTTTTACCTGATGCAATTGTCAGGGTCATTCTTGCAATCAATATTACATCTAAATCGTTCCCATGACAACCATCCCATAGGTGGAGTCCGTGCCAGACCATTATCCAGAGAATGCACTGTTACTACCTGAAGCAGGCTGATTATTGTTAAAATCATCCACATTTTCTAACTCAAATCTGAAAAATTATAAAAAAAACACAATATAACATACACCATTAAAAAGCTTCAGAGTGGCATTTTAGTAATTAAACAGTTACAGACTAGCAAATGTTTGATTAAAAAATAAAATATCTTAGTTGAAACATTGCATATTAATAAATAATTAAAAAGGTGTAGTGAAACAGAATCCATCCAGGAACATGATCAACATTCAAGAAATAGAAACACATCATCCGACCCTGTTGATCTTTTCGCATGGAAGCAGGAACTGTGTCAACAATCGCTACTCGTCTTGATGTTCTTCTTCTTGGTGGACTTTTCCGATTTCTTAGGACGTCACATGCTGCGATGACATATAAAAAAAATGGTATGCTTGATGCCTTGAACATGACATCCAATTTTTTATGAGTCGCAATTACAGATTATAACAAAGCCTCTATCTCGATAATATATTGGCCTCAAAATTTGTACTAAATCTAACATGATTATAATTCCATCCATATTGTAGTCAGGTTTGAGCTAAAACGTAAGAGTCATAAACCAACCATGTTTGAGTCATGTGTTGATTATTAATAAATAAAAACATTTGACAACATCTGTTTGTGGTAAACGCAATCAATAACAACAAAAATACACTGTGTAATAAAAATCACCAGCTTGAAGGAAAACAACCGGATATCGACGTTAACAGGAGATGATCTTATTTGATATATACATGTAGTTATTTAAAGTGTTTTCAATCCCTTGCAAACAACAATATTGCGAACGTTGAATCTCTGTGGATCAGGTGGCTAAGTGGGTAAGACGCTAGCTCGCTAGCCTGGAGGTCGGGTGTTCGATCCCTGCATTGGCCGAGAAAGTTCATCCAGATTTTCCTGCATGGTTCTCCCTTGTCAGTGATGCAGGACGGAGAGCCTGACAAGGAAAGCTGTCTAGTCGTTCGGATGGGACGAAAAACCGAGGTCCCGTGTACACATTGGCGTGCACGTAAAAGATCCCTTGGCAGTTGGAATTCGATATAAGAGTAGGCCGTAGTGCCGCTGTCCGGGCAAAATTTCCCTCATAGCACACTGTATGGCGTATGCCTGTCTTCATTAGCCCAGGTTAGGAGCAGAACAGTAGGACGTTAAACCCCATTTCATTTCATTTTCATTTCATTTCTGAAGGAATCTCTGTCCACAAATGGTTCAGTTCTGCTCAGTATATACATTGAATCAATGGAATTGCATTTAAAATAACAAATATGGTCGTTTTGACTATGGCACTTTTTAAAAATCTGGTATGGCACTTTTTAAAAATCTGGTACCGTGTATGTCAGCTCTTTATCTATAGTCTTACATATCCCTTTAAGCGAGTTATGTATAATTTAGAGTTATTGTATTATAAAATCCATTTTTACGACGTGTTTGGGAGGGTAAATGGATAGCCCACCAATCCAAGCTACATTGCATCCAAGCTACATTGCATGAACAACAGAACATGTGAACTTTTTCTTGTCCAAAAATCATGATTCACTTCTAATTCTTTTAACTTCTAGTAGTTCTACCAGTACCAGATACTGATAGTCACGTAGTGTCCACAATCATGGTTGATCATTTTGGAGCCTTCAAAAGGATGCTTTGACTATGTTATTAAAACAAAACATGAAACATATCTATTTACCCAAATTGCAACCATGAACTGAACTTGTCAGTAGCGGCTAGTTCCTAACTAAAAAAGCGAAAATTTCTTCCACTAGGCAAAGCTTTCTCGCGATAAACAAATATCATGTGATAATTTTTGTACATCACATGATTTCCTAACTTCCGGTACAGATAGTCTTCTTTGTCCAGTTGTGTAGTTCAACTCAATGACGTCTATACAGACGTCATTAGTTCAACTCATTAGAATCGAAACTGTATACTGTCAGCTGACTTTGTTCCGTATTGATGTCAACAAATTGTTTACTATTTTTAGACTTTTTTTTTTGCAGAAGGCAAAGACCCTGTTAGCTGGTTTCTGAATTCGTTTCCACTTGTGCTTCACTACTTGAAGAAGAAATGAATCCGATAGAAAATTATCTGAAGGGTAATTTTAAAGATGATGTGATTACAATTCAAGAAGTTTTTCGGGTTTATGACCAAAATAAGTAAGTAGTCCGACTCCCCATCCAATTCGTATCCAGATTCTACAAGCCAAGGAGAGATAGTCATTTTCTAGTTATTAGTCATTGTCAAAACATTGACAATAGAGTCTGATAAATTTATAGATGAATTGTTCTGTTTAGACATGTTAAAAATTGAATTAAAATTAAGGGATTTTAGAAGTTGGTCTTTTCACATATTCATGTTAAAGGAGCTAAATCGCTAACATTTGGGACCTAGAAATTCACAAAAGTGGGTCGCAACGCATATAATACTGTAATATGAATATATATAAACTGATTTACATTTAATTTCAAATCAGTTATGTTTGGCGAAATAAGTCAGCAATCTCAATCGAGTGCAAATTTCTAGCGTCTAGTTATTCTAGTCTACATAACTCCATTTGATTTGGTGCAATGTGTCTAGCCTCGTCCCTCGAGTCTCTCAATACAACTGGGGCTGAAGCGCATTATGGTACACGATTCGTGTACCAATGTTAAAAAAATTATTTTATCTTAAATATCGGATATCAGAAGCTCATCTTTTCCCGGTAAGTTTACATCATCAATGTTGATTTAAATTGACCAATAATTCGTGTTTTCGATGTCAAAGATTTTGGAGGATTTTGAGTTACGGACTTAGGTCCTTTAATTATCTCTATATCAGTTTAATTGATGTTATTGGAATAGATCTATTTTTAGTGCCCTATGGTATGCCCACTGTAAATGTACCATAGCCATAGGTATATATATTCACCTGTATTTTTTTTTTTAAATAGAATTTAAATAAATATATTAATTAAAATATTCCAGTATTGGCATAATTAATTAGAGGGGCAGCACTTTTATTGGCTTCTTAAAAAAAGGAACTTTTTAACAGATCTTGTTGTTTTTCAATGCTTCAAATTTAATTTATTTAACATTTTAATTTTTTTTCCTCGTAATCAAACAATATCAAACAAGAATGTGAGACATAAGAAATTTATACAAATAAGAAATAAATACTTGTACCGTACATACATATCGCGAATTACATACATTCACAACATACTGCAACAATAAAATGGATAATCTTTTCTAAAATCTTTTGATGGACTTCTTTTGAATCTGATTGAATCTAACTAAGCTGGAAGATTATCAACACTTGATATTTTGATTTTTTTAGTACCGTAATCAATTTGGGGACATTTCAACATGGATTAAAGACGCTAAATTGCAAATATGTGGGACCTAGAAATTGAAAAAAAAATGAGTTTCAACGCATATAATAATGTAATATGAATGTATATAAACTGATTTACATTCAATGGTTTCAGATTTTACTGCAATTTCTAATCAGTTATGTTCGGTGAAATACGCCAAAAGTCTCAATTGAATGGCAATCTCTAGCATCTGTTTATTCCAGTCAACATAGTATTTACATGTATTGCGCATGCTCTACAGATAATAATATGGCTTCACCGTTTGACATGACTTGTGGAATATGTCTAGCTTCGTTCTTCAAGTCCCTTGTTACAAATGACACTGAAACGCATTATGGTACACGATTCGTGTACCAATAGTAGAATGTTTGTCTTAAATATTGGATATCAGAAGCCCATCTTTTCCCGGTCAGATCACAACATCAATGTTGATTAATTGACAAATAGTTTGAGTTTTCAATGTCGAAGATATTGGATGATATTGAATTAGAGACTTTGCTACTTTAAGCAGTTGAATATTAGATAATGCATTATCCAATAAATACAGCAATTAGTAACTGGATAGAGCAAAACTATATCACATATCTATTGTAGAACAGGTATCGGTATATATTTACTTAGACAATCAAGTTATATCAAGGTTATGTATAGACAGGCATCCTTAATCCTTACCATGTACAAGTACTGTATGAGTCGAAAGCATGCCACATGACTCAATAACAGAGCTTATGATCTAAAGCACACATATTAGATCATTCTCATGCCCACCCTGTCAATGGTCATTATTAATTACGGTAGTCAGTGTCATTGATTGCATAATAAAACAAAGCTAAAATTATGTGGAAAATAATGTCTTATTTTATTTGTTATAATCACATAAATCCGGGATTAAAATACCGGTACAGCAAGTTACTAATTTCTGTTGCCCCCTTCAGGTGAAAATAGTCATATTCAGACTGATCTGTCTGAGCTTTTTTCTTTGTTTGTATAAAGTCAAAGTAGGACAAGGATTTGAATACAATACAAACACTATTGGTCTACATACAATGTAACTGAATGCCACAGGGCATTGTGAACAACATAATACAGGGCATTCTGAACAACATTATAAAACAGTACACATCTATTCAACTGTTTTAACAGTGACAACAGAGTCAACAGACAATAATACTTTGTGGAGTAAACCAGCTATTGAAGTTATATAATAAATGCCCCAGCAGCAATATCTTTATAGTCATTTTATTTTACTGAGTTCAATGAATGGCTGTCACTTGACTTAGCACTTAAGTGCACAATGCACAATGCATAATAAGGCCCATCATTGAGTCAAGTGCCGTGGTTTTGATTCTCTACATGGACGTGACAAGGAATAGACTCGCCTGTTTAACCTTGTGTGTTTTCTGTGGGTCCTCCGAGTTCCTCCCACTGCTAAAGACCCCAACTTGTAAGCAATTGATTGAAATTGAACCATATTGACCTAGTTTGTGTCATGGACATTAGACCCCCTTTCTCTCTCTCCCTAGATATAACCTATGTCATTATAACCTGTTATACAGGTTGGAGGAAGGGTCATTCATTAGTCAGTTGACTGGATATACAGAAATCATACCATTCTTCTGAGATGTTCTTGCTGATTAATAGTAAGTGTAGGAGGACAAACCTATGGACAGGACACAATATACACACAGACACCACAAACACACACATAAGGTCAAGTGAATGGACTCAGTAGCACGGGACAAGGATCGCCTGCTTAACTTCATGAATTTCTCTAGGTCCTTTGCTTTCCTCCAAATTCCTACTCAGTGGTGCCTTCATTTTCGGGCATACCTCAGATCCATACGCTTTATTTGTAATAAGATAAGATAACACATTAATAACAACAAGATATAGATTGATATGATATACACCAGCAACAATAACAAGATGTCACATGGATAACACATTGATAACAAAAGGATATGATATGATATACACCAGCACCAGTAATAAGATGTGACATGGATAACACATTGATGATATACACCAGCACTGGTAATTATATGTGACATGGATAACACATTGAAAAGCATTTAATCTGGTCAGTCATGATATTTTATTGACGAAATGCAGATATTTTATTGACGAAATGCAGATATTTTATTGACGAAATGCAGATATTTTATTGATGAAATGCAGATATTTTATTGACGAAATGCAGATATTTTAAATTTTCTTAAAATTCATTATAATTCTTAGAATCCTACTTAAAAAACAGAGATCAATGTACTTTTGTTAATGGTGAACTATGTGCTCTAAGCCTACTCATTACGGTGTACCCCATGGATCGATAATAGGCCCCCTCTAGAATGTTTTTCTAGATGACATCATGGCTTTTAAAGTAATGATTAATGTCGATCATACCGCTGAACTGTAGCCTACCCAACAATAAACACTTTGAAAATTTTAACAATAAAAAAACATCATGCCTACAATTTATGTAACTTTATCTCCGAAATTTTATCTAAGCATTGTCCTCTATTCGATCTTTTGTCTTTCTATGAAACTCCCTACATAAATATTAACTAACAAACTATTTTCTCTGCGATCAAAACTTAATATTGTACATTTTGTAAGTTGTATGTATCTCTCTTTTTTTTGGTGCTGTCATCTCATGTATTATACTTTCATCCTGTTTGTTTTATAGGGGGGTTGGATGGCGGAATAGTTAGCATGTGCACGCTGTATCCTAAGGTCTGTCATTGAGTCAACTGGCATGGACTCGATTCCTCGGTTGTACGTGACAAGGAGTAGGGTCACCAGTCCAACCTCGTGGGTTTTCTCCGGGTCCCCTGGTTTCCTCCCACTGCTAAAGACCCCTAGTCGCCAGTGAATTATTGAAATAAAATTGAACCATGTGTTAATCCAGAAATGACCTAGTTTGTGTCGAGTGGACATTAAACCCCATTTCTCTCTCTCTCTCTCTGTTTGTTTTATACCCATTATACATCCTTCTCTTTATATTAGCTTTTGTATTATACTATTCATGAAGGGCAGGATGATAGAGAGGCTTCTGCAGCCTAATCCTTTACCCTTCTCAAATAAAGTTATTAATATAACAACAGGATATGATATACACCCTCACAGTAATTACATGTGACATAGATAACACCAGTAATATATCATGTAAACAGTTATAATATTTAAAAACCTTTCATGAATAACAATACTAAATACAAAGCAATCATTGCCTGGGGCCCAGACACTTAAGAAAATGTCTGAGGACATTAAATTTAAGGCAAGATTGAAACTGAATTACAATGTAGGATTATAATATTGTTTTGTTTTTTATTTTTAGTGATGCATTTTTGGACTTTGAAGAGTTCTTTGCTTTAGTTAAAGATGTTTTTAAAAAAGGTCAAAATACCACCAAATCTGAGGAGATATCCACAGAATTAGTGGAGGCTTTATTAAAGATATTTGATACAGATAAGGTTTGTCATTTTTTGTTGTTTTTTTTTTTCATTTCAATATCTAGTACAACGAAAAATCATAATGTACCACAGATGTGAGTGAGATGCAATATAAATTGTATGTCCTAGTTTACCGAATGTTTTTACTACATTTACTTGATTTTACCACAGTGTGGGAGTAAGATCTATGTGGGAGTATTATGTTGTCACCCCTGTTGGTCCATCCATGGATTGGTCTACAGGTGAGAGGCTTGTGTATCTAGTGTAAGGAGGAACCCTTTCTAAATTTTTTATAGAGTTACCCCCCCCTATCATCGAAACCTTGTCAACACTAGGAAAGAGAGAAATAGGGTTTAAGGCCACTCGACACAAACTAGGTCATTTCTGGACTAACATGTTTCAATTTTATTTCAATAATTCGCTTGCACATGGGTGTTTTTAATAGTGGGAGGGAGGAAACCGGAGAACCTGCAGAAAATCCACAAGGTTGAACAGGCGACCCTACTCCTTATCACGTACAAGCGGGGAATCAAAACCACGCCACTTGATGATTAGAAGGAGTGAATGAAAAATGTAATATTGTTTATGTTTGTTATAGGACAAAAAGATAAATCTCAGAGAATTCGCTGATGTGTGGAGATATTGGTTAAAACAGGTTCGTATGTAGTAGTTATTAGCACACTTTCCGAGGTGTATCGGTGAAGATCAGGACAGTTTTGGTCGAGGGGCCCAGCCGAGGCGTTGGGAGGATACGGAAATAAGTAGAACACATAAGCATGGTCGACCCAAACTTATAAATGGTTGAAGTATTTTGTTGACAAGATGTTAACCCCCATTCCATTTATTTCCCCAGCAAGCAGTCAGTCTAATGCGGGTAAGCAAAGCAAATCATGGAAAATCAGAATTGACATATTTTTTTATTACAAAATTACCTGGCTCTGTGGAGTGGATATTAAAGCCCATTTCCTGTCCAATAATCTGGAGGTCCTGGCCAAGAAATTTCCCACTTGTCAGTGGTGTAGGATGAAGGGCTTGGCATGGACAAGGTACAGCTGTCGTCGTTTAGATGGGATGGAAAACCGAGATCTCATGTTGGTGTGCATGTAAAAGAACCCTTGACTATTGGAATTCAATATAGACCACTGCATGTCAGTAGTGTAGGATGAAGGGCTTGGCAAGGGACAAGGAAAAGTTGTTTGGTTGGGATGAAAAAAAAACCGAGATCCCATGTACACATTGATTTGCAAGTAAAAGAACCCTTGACAGTTGGATTTGGAATTCGAAATAGATCACTGCATGGTGTATGGCATGCTCGTCTTCATTAGCCCAGTCGGATCAGAAAAGTAGGACATTAAACCTCATTTCATTATATTTCTATACAATATGTATTAACCTTTTATCATAAGTAGATGATAATTGATATTATTTGACTTTTACTTACAGATATTAAAACCAGTGACAGCTCTAATTATAGTGGATGTACAGAATGATTTTATTACGGGAAGTCTGGCGTTAAAATGTTGTCCTGCTCAACAAGATGGTGCCTCAGTTATCTCCCCTATCAACAACTTACTAGACACCGTGCCTTTTGATGTAGTGATATATTCGTTAGATTGGCATCCGGAGAACCACATATCTTTTTATGATAACAGATCGTTACGTCCTTTCACACCTTTAAATAAAGAGGTACTGTAAATATATTTAACATTGGACGACAAATCCTCCAGTATTTTCGTCATTCTGAATTCCAAGTCAAAAGTATCATACTTTTTAATTAACCATACATGTCCACTTCTGAATTTAAAGTCATTTATCAAACTGCTGAAAATCACATATATTCCCTCCATGAGTAATGTCCACTTCTGAATTCCAAATTGAAACTATGACCCTGTTTAACCATACATGTACATGTAAGTAGTGATGTATTTTGCATTAGACAGGATATGTTTACTTCATCTAGAACATGTCATCGTACATAACTAACGTACGAAAATTAAATGGTAGCTGGCTTTTTTTTTTTCGCACGTATACAGTGAATGGTCATTTTGCTCAGAAATCCCAGCCAGAATTTGGCTATTTTTTTAAAGTTGCGTTAAAGTTTTAAATTTTTGTTTAGAACTGAAATAAATTAACTTTTAGTCAATCCCCACACTAAAAACATTAACAGAATTGATTGTGTATATCTGAAATAGACACGACCGAAGCAAAAAAATAGTGACAATATGCCGACGTCAAATCTAGAGTTGTAGATGATGTTATTTTTGTGAAAAATCATTGGAAGAAGCGATAAGACGTTCTGTACGGATTATACAATGTAACATTATGTCTTGTAATGTTGATAATGATCATAATGATGGTGTTTACATTTGTTTGTTGATGTGACCTGATGACCTGTGACGTTTAGATAACGTCATATGGATATCATGGCTATTCACTGTGTCCGAGTCACTTCTCTGCAGGTAGGGGTGAGTCTGTCGTTCAGATTGAACATGTCATATGACTATACACTATAGAATTTGTAAAAACTATATTTCATTTCATCTTTATGATTCTGATTTTCTATAAACTATTTTTTTTTTTGTTACAGAAATCAGAAGTAGATGTAATGGATGCAGTAGAATTTTCAGGTCCACCAAAAACTGAACAAGTTTTATGGCCCCGACATTGCGTTCAAGATACAGAAGGCTCACAACTCCATCCAGATCTGAAGGTTGGTGTATTGTAGTAACTAAGTACCATAGTCTTAAAATATTTCTCATCACATCTGAATGACTAGACAGCTATCCTTGTCAGACCCGCCATCCTGCACCAGTTACATGAGAAACCATGCCGAAAAATCCTGTGGAGCTTTCTCGGCCAACATTGAGAGCTAACCTGAGACCTCCAGGGTAGCGGGCCAGCCACCTTGGCTCCCCAAATAATTAGAGGAGATTTCTAGTTCGGGTAACTAATAATACCATTATTTGGCTGATTGTTTCAATCTTGAGAATTTATCTTGACCAAGACTGGGATAAAACCATGGACCTGCTTGTTAGTGAGCCAGCGCTACATTCACTGAGCCACTATGATACGCACATTCTAAAGGACAATTTACCTTTAAATAAGAACAAACTTGCTTTCCTTATTGATGATAATTGAACATGGCTGCATGGCTGTGTAATTTAAGCGGTGGACACATTAGCCAAATCATTCAGCCGAATCAAACGGCGCGGAATATTGCATATCCTTTCACGTCACATGATCAAACATGGCGCCGACCATGTCTTCAAACAATCACGTGACGTCTCGATATGAGTGGTGATTGGCTAATGAATTCTACATTCGCCAGAATGCTTTGGCGAAGCGGACACACTAGGCGAATATAATTCATCCGAATGATGTTGGACACACTGGGTGAATTTCAACCTCGATTGACTGTGTATTTTAACATCAATGTGTATTTTAACAGGTTGTAAATAAAGGTTTTATGGTACATAAAGGAACGAACCCCGATATAGATAGTTACTCAGCATTCTGGGATAATGGTAAACTATCGCAAACAGAGTTGGTTAATATTTTAGTCGAGCATCATGTGACTGATGTTTATATTTGTGGCCTGGCTTATGATGTCTGTGTTGGTGAGTATAAAGTTAGATTTATTGATTCATTATTGCTTTAGTCTGTCATGAACAGAATGTCCCAGGTTCAAATCCCAGGATGGGTTTAGAAGTACCTCACAAGATTGTTCAAGCCAGGTTTACACTTGTCAGATGTGGATCTTCTAGGACTGACCAGGAAAGTGTGAGTCTAGAAGAACCTAACAAGATTGTTCAAGTCAGGAGTACACTTGTCAGATGTAGATCTTCTTCTAGGGCTGACCAGGCATGTGTGGCAAGTTGTTCAAAAACAAAAAGGGGGACAAAAAATGATGTCCCATGAACAAATTAGTAGTGCACCTAACAGATCCATTGTCAGGTGCAAATCAGTAAAGGTTGAGCCACAGTGGTGCCAAGAGATCCTGGGGTGAAAGTGAAAACCAACCATTCTCCATGTTAGAATTCCAATCTCTCTCTTTATTACTCAAAAAGGCAGAAGAAATGAAATGAAATGAAATGGGGTTTAACGTCCTACTGTTTTGCTCCGAACTGGGCTAATGAAGACGGGCATACGCCATACAGTGTGCTATGAGGGTAATTTTGCCCGGACAGCGGCACTACGGCCTACTCTTATAACGAATTCTAACTGTCAAGGGATCTTTTACGTGCACGCCAATGTGTACACGGGACCTCGGTTTTTCGTCTCATCCGAATGACTAGACAGCTGTCCCTGTCAGGCCCTCCGTCCTGCATCACTGACAAGGGGGAACCACGCCGGAAAATCTGGATGAACTTTCTCGGCCAATGCAGGGATCGAACACCCGACCTCCAGGCTAGCGAGCCAGCGCCTTACCCACTTAGCCACCGTGATCCCCAAAAAAGGCAGAAGAACTACCACATTAGGGAGACAACTTGTGTCTGCTTAAACATAAGGTTTCAGACCACAATGATATCCAAGATATGACAATATGACACTAAGCAGGAGATCAACAGTTCAATCCCGGTGTTGGTCGAGAAAGCTTCTCAGGATTTTTCATCCTGGAAGGCCTACAGAAAAGAGTCTAGTCATTTGGATAGGAAGAACAAATTTAAGATCATGTATATGCCATTGGCAGCTCATTAAAGATCCTCAAACACTTGGAAATCTAAACAAGAGTAGGCCATAGTGCTGCTGTCGGAGCATTTACATTAAACCTCATTCCTTTTGTCAAAATTTAAATGTTTAGCTGAATGAAGCCAAAGTGTTAGTATGATTTTAATTTGACTTTGGAGTTGAAGATGCACTATGTAAGTTTAGTCTCTAATGTTATATAAATCATTTATTAGACATTTAATCACATGCTGAGCCAATAATCAACTCTCAAGACCATCAGATGGTTTTCATCTTCAATGGAATTAAACACAATTGCCAGTTAATTATTTGATTAAAAAATTGGATAATCAAGACTTTGTTTATTATTGTAACAACAGTAGCAATGACAATAGAGACTACTCTGCTCAGAATGAGATCAATTCCTTTTTTATTATATATTTTGTAACTATTATAGCGAGAACTGTCAGCTTTTTATCTAAATTTTACATAAAGCATCTTTAAGAATTCAGATTAAAATCTATGATGTTGTCAGGTTTTACAGCAACACATGCAACACAACATGGTTTCCGTACAACATTCATAGAAGATGCTAGTAAAGGTGTAATAATGGAGGATATGAAGAAAACACGAAATAAACTGATGAACATGGGAGTTGTAATGGCCAATTCTCATCAGGTATAGTAATCATATTCAGGTGGTCTAAGGAACAGGTGTGTTGGGTGGCCAAATGGTTAACACATTGCATCATAAGGTCTGTCATTGAGTCAAGTGGCTTGGTTTCGATTCCCCGCTAATCCTAAGTCCTATATTTCAATTGTGTCAGTTGAGAAATTGGCAAATATATCATTTTCTTTTTAAATCCAGCGTCGACTTTTACGGTGTTATTATCATGTGTGCCGGTTAGACAATCAAGTCAACTCTCTCCTTCATTGTTGCAACTTAGTTATCCATTGAGAAGAAATGATAGAAATTCCAAATACCGAGTAGAAATTATTTCAAATTTTTACGTGAATGTCTTTTTAAAGGGATAGAATGATTCCTATGATTGTATAGTAGTAATTTGACAACCTATTAAGTAATAGATATAGAAATAATTATGTTTTGACTTTCTTAGAAAATAGGGTGTCACGGTGGCTAAGTGAGTAAGACGCTGGCTTGCTAGCCTGGAGGTTGGGTGTTCGATCCCTGCATTGGCCATGAAAGTTCATCCAGATTTTCCGGCTTGGTTCCCGCTTGTCAGTAATGCAGGATGGAGGGCCTGAAAAGGGCAGCTGTTTAGTCGTTCGGATGGGACAAAAAAAAAAACCTGAGGTCCCTTGTATACATTCGCATGCACATAAAAGATCCCTTGGCAGTTGGAATTCGATATAAGAATAGGCCGTATTGCCGCTGTCCAGGCAAAATTTCCCTCATAGCACACTGTATGGCATATGCCTGTCTTCATTAGTCTCGTTCGGAGCAGAACAGTAGGACGTTAAACCCCAATTCATTTCATTTCATTTCTAAGAAAATATGGAGTTTTCGGTTTAATGTAATGTAATATTTTTATTTTAGGTGGAAGATATGGTTTTAGCAAAGGAAAGATGTTTAAAACATGGTATCAAAGCAGCAGCTAATTATTTCATAGCCAGAAATATCGTTCAAACTAAACCAAAACAAAATCTCTTATAAGCACCTTTAATGTCCTAGATTTAATCAAAATTGACCAGTCAAAAGAGATATTAGATTCACTTATCATGAGCATTGATCAGTCAATCATTCATCACCTTTTATAAACCGCCCTCTCATAAAGTTCAAGCACCCCCTACTGAATTACCTTCATTTGTTTTATTCTTCCGAAAATAAGATTGGATAGCCTTTTGGAGATTCGCACTTTCAGTGGCAGCCCCCCCCCCCCCCCCCTGCATGCCACTGCTCACTTTATTTATAATGGAAAACGCTAAATTGTGATATTGTGATATAAATGCTGATATGTAAATGGTGATCTTTATATTTGATTGTTATTTTGTTTTACAGTAGAAAAGTAATATCATAATTTAATCTATAATGTTAATGTACAATGTAATTTGTGTTTTTTATAGGTAGACTTTCTCATTTCGTATTCTCATAGAAGTGATTAATAACTAATTTCCAAAACATGTACACATCACCATAGGCATAGGGGGGCAATCTCAGTTTTGGGGACGGGCTGAGACTATTTGCCTGAAAATTTTCTTTGTCTCCCAAATTTACAGAATGAATGAATCATTAACTAAAACGAGTTTTCCACAAATGTAATTCCACGAGGTCTAAAGTATTATAGTATTCTAAACTTAAACTGCGAGCGACATTTTCCAATTATACACAATTAATTTCTATGATATATGATCTTATTCTCTTATGTTTGTGCCCAAAAAACATAAATACATTGCCTGAAAAATAGATTGTCCCCCCCCCCCCCAGCTCCTATGCCTTTGCCCTTGGCAGTTTGTAATCAAAGAAGAATAGTCACAAACGCCTCTGTCCTGGCGAGCTTCTCTCACGTCACATCACATCGCATACATAGCCGTAGAAATTAAAATTATCATATTTGTCTTCAATTGATAATAGTAGGCTATTGTCCATTCCATATGATTAGCAAGAAAGGAGATTTAAAATACAAATTTAAGAGATGTTATTGAATTTCATTATTTTATCATTAAATTTAGTTGCACATTATGATTGTTAAATTACAATAAAGATCTGAATACAAGGTTTAGCACAATACTCAATGTTCCTAATAGACCTAATAAGTGTTCTCTACAAGGTTTAGTATAGTGCTAGACCCAATTCTCTGCAAGGTTTAGTACAATACTAGACCCAGTTCTCTACAAGGTTTAGTATAGTGCTAGACCCAATTCTCTGCAAGGTTTAGTACAATACTAGACCCAATTCTCCATAAGGTTATACAATACTGGACTCAATTCTCTGCAAGGTTTAGTACAATACTAGACACATTTATCCACAAGGTTTAGTACAATACTGGACTCAATTCTCTACACCGTTTAATACAATACTAGACCCAATAAGTGGTCTTTACAAGGTTTTGTACAATTCTTCTCTTAAAGGTTTAGTACTTGAATATATTCAATTCTTCTACCCCAGACCCAATAGTTGTTCCATGCAAGGTTAAGTACAATACCTCAGTATATTCAATACTGCATTCCTAATATTGTTCTCTATAAATAGGATGTTCTTGCTATACCACAACTTGATAAACATTGTCTCATATTGCTAGTCTTCTTGTTTCATTGTGTATTAGGATTGACTTGTGATAACCAACAAGGTCTTCATAATTTAAACCTGAAACTTACCAAGACAGCAAGCCAGTAGTTAAACATGGCAGCACTTTATTAAATATTAGTTAAAAGATCAATCAACTGTGATTAAACAATTACTAAGTCATTTTGATATATTTCTACAATATATCCATCCACTGTATATATACGATATTCCAACTACTAGGGGAAAATATATCTTATGAACTATGTAGTGAAGCATGTAGGACATGTCATATTATATTGAAAAAAAACCCACCTAGTTTTATATTCTTATATATATACATATGTATTGACCTAATTATATTCATGTATTGTATACATGTATTGACCTAACTATATATGTATTGACCTAATTGTATATATGTATTGACCTCATTATACACAGTATTGGTCTATATAAATGTATTGACCTCATTATATACCTGCATTGACCTAATTATATATTATGTGCATATATTAACCTAATTATTTATTATATGCATATATTGACCTAATTATATGTATTGACATAATTATATACATATACTTTGACATAATTCTGCTTGAAGGAATATATCTTTAAATGCGACTTGGATGTTGCAATCAAGTCACTGACATTCCTACCTTAAATGAAATGAAATGGGGTTTACCTTGTTTTTTTTCGTCCCATCTGAACAACTTCCTACCTTAATAATCCTATTAGTATGCAATCTGAGCATTCTTCCATAGAGTGATTCTTGCCCTCCTTCTATTACACCAAGACAGTAAGTTGCATCGTGCTTTTATATAGACTCCATGTACAAACGTATAGTAGTGTAGTCAAATCCTAATCCTTGTCAGAGGAATGCAACTAAATATGTTTTGGCTTGAATATATTTTTTATGGTACTGGTATATCAAAGATTTTTTTAAAATGTTAATAACTGTGATATTTTGGTGTTCTCTTATTGTTCATGTTTTACTAGACTGTACAGAATACTTACATAGATCTTATTAATACTTCAGTTTGTTTTATTTTATTTTATCATACAATTTTAAAGACTGTAGTGGGATTTACTTCCAGATTTGGTCAAAATTATCCCATTGGTTGATTTTGTATTTCTGACACTGGCTTAATAAGTGACAGGTTTTAGGTATCAATCAATATGGAAAATTAACAGAAAATCTGATTTTTGTCCAAATATGTAGTATTTGTATAAACTGGAGGTCAGTCTAGTCTTAAAATACATGTTGTAATTTTACTATTAAATACCCTGAAATGCTACTAAAAATGGATAGGTTTACCAGTAATGCTGCTAGCAGTATATTGCACTCACTAGTTCTGTGACAGGAAGTGGCATATATTTGCTTCTATTGCTACTAGCAGTAGATTGCACTTATTTGCTTGACATATGCTACTAGCAGTAGGTTGCACTTACTTGTAATGCCACATGAAGTACATGTAAATGTGTTTACTTTTAATACTACTAGCAGTAGGTTACACTTTCTAGAAATGCTACATGACGTGATGCTACTAGCAGTAGGTTGCACTTACTAGTAATGCCACTAGAAGTGATATATATTTGCCTGTAATGCTACTAACAGTAGGTTGCACTTATTAGTAATGCCACATGGAGTTGCATAATTATGGATACTAGTAATGCTTCTAGCAGTAGGTTGCACTTACTAGTATTAGTAATGTCACAGGAAGTTGCATACATGTATGTTTGCTTGTAATGATACTAACAGTTGGTGCACTTACTACTAGTAATGCCACAGGAAATGGCTACATATGCTTGTACACCAATGCTGCTAACAGTAATTTGCACTTACTAGTAATGCCACATGAAGTGGCATATGTTCACTAGCAGTAGGTTGCACTTAATAGAAATGCCACGTGAAGTGGCATGTGTTTTCTTGTAATGCTACTAGCAGTAGGTTGCACTTGTAATGTTGCTAGAAATGGGTTGTATTTACAAATAATGCAACAAGGAACGGGTCACATTTTCCAGTATTTCTGCTACAAATGGATACTAGTTAAGATATTAAGAAATGTGTATTGAAATTAATACATTAGTAATGCTGTACTGTTATATATATATATATATATATATATATATATATATATATATATATATATATATATATATAATATATGTTTATATTATATGTTTTGTTCTATTTAAGTATGCATACACCAGGACCTGTAAACTTATTTTACCTTCAAAATTACATGTTAAATTTTCATTATATGTTATTTGCTCATTATTGTCATATATATTTAATATTATGCCATGTCATAGTATCAACGAAAATAATAGGATAAAGCACTACTGAAAATTGAGATAAAAGTCCACTACAGATTATAACAAATAGTTGTTATAAACAATATTTAATTTGTATTAATATTCCAATCCAGTAAATGAATGTATAATACAAATACAGTAATTGTTCCTGTCAAATACTTCTATTGCCCACATCAAATAACAGTAAAATCTTTTCTGGAATACAATTAATTACTGGATTTGAAAGAAGAATATTTTCAATTGATCATATTATCCATAAAAGTTGTTTTTTTTATTAACTGATATAAATATTTTTTTTATTATATAAAATCTCGTATCAATCAAATTGACTGGCAATAATATTTTTCTGCCATTTATTCCATAAATGTATGTATTTTAAGAATTAAATTTTAAAACACTATTCCTACAATAAAACGTGTTTCTTGTCTGTTTGGATACTATAGAAAATTAGCTGATTGAGGAACAATTAGAACCAGTACAAAATTTCAGACTTATCTGATCTATAATAAATACAGTATTCAACAAAGTCGGTTATATTTTATTACAGTGCACACCAATTAACATTTAAAAAATGGGATCAAATCATTCAAATGGTTCGGGTTGAACTGTGATACGGCTTGGTTGTACTGATAAACTTTGTCTTTTTATTAATAAATTAAGCAGGAAAAGAAACGTCAGGTTGGTATGTTACTCTGAATAGACGCATTGCATAAAACTTACCAAATGTTTTTATTGTATATTTGTGACCACATCTCCAACTTTAACCGAGCAATAAGGCTCCTTCCCAAACACAGAATTGAACCCAGGAAACGTTCTCAAAATCGCGCCAGACTTCTGAGATGGTAATGTGTTCTCCATGATTTTTATGTAACTCATGCTGCACCTGCTGTTTACCGGGACCAGCCCTATAAAATGCACCCCCATACCTGGTTGAATTATTCACACTTCAACATCGACAGCATGCCATGACTCATGAGATAGAATGTTCATACTTGGCGTAGGTGATTGCCTTGATGGAGTCAGATGATGAGAATTTTCTGCTTAGGGTAAGCAGAGATAAGCAACTTGATTGGTTGATGCTTTCGGACACGATAACTAAGTTCTAATTTAGTGAGTGTGAGGACACTCTATAACAACGCAAGACGAAAATTCGGTGATTATGATTAAGCCAGTCACATGTTAACTGGACCGTCAATACACACTTGTCAACTGGTGGTGTGTATAGACAGTGATATATTGTACAGTGATATGTTGTATATCTATTTGCTATGTGTAGTCCCTGTGACGTCACCAGCCAATCAATTTCTTTCCATGGAAACAAAACCAGCGGGTGCCAGGCAGGACACTCCCACATTTTGCAAGAGATAGAGAACAAGCCCAAAACAAATGCAATTTTTTGTACAATCAGGGGCAATAATCAAGAAAGTTATGGTCTGAAATCCGCACATATCAAAACGGACTGAAATCTTTGGGACATAAAGAAATGTTTTAAGTTTCATCAAAATTGGATAGGGGATCACGTGGCTAAGTGGGTAAGAAGCTGGCTCGCTAGCCTGGAGGTCGGGTGTTCGATCCCTGCATTTGCCGAGAAAGTTCATTCAGATTTTCCGGGGTTGTTTCCCCTTGTCAGTGATGCAGGATGGAGGGCCTGACAAGGACAGCTGTCTAGTCATTCGGATGGGACGAAAAACCAAGGTCCTGTGTACACATTGGCGTGCACGTAAAAGATCCCTTGGCAGTTGGAATTCGATATAAGAGTAGGCCGTAGCGCCGCTGCCCGGGCAAAATTTCCCTCATAGCACACTGTATGGCGTATGCCCGTCTTCATTAGCCCAGGTTAGGTGCAGAACAGTAGGACGTTAAACCCCATTTCATTTCATTTCATTTCAAAATTGGATAAAAATTGTGACCTCTTACATAACCTCTTTTATCACTAAATCAGATAAAAATTGTGACCTCTAGAGGGTCCATAACCTTTGTATTACTTATTATTACACAATTTGCGTAAAAAGAGCGGTTAATTTGTTGGGCAGTTTCATTTCAATTTTCACGAAATTCAACTTTAACCTTCATTATGGTGGAATGTTGATATATTTAAACGTTTTTTAAAATCATAAAAAAAATTAAATTGTGACCTCTAGAGAATCTGCAAGCTAAAAATGCGATTTTTCCAACAATCAGGGGCCATAATCCAGGAAGTTACTTTCGGATATGCGCATTATCAAAAGGTACCAAGATCTTAGTGTGTAACGGTGATATATTCACACATTGTTTTTTTTTTTAAATCAGATAAAAATTGGGACTTCTAAATGGACCACAAGCTAAAAACACGATTTTTTGTACAAGGGGCCATAATTCAAGAAGTTCCGATACGATATGTGCAAATATCGAAAGGAACCAAGATCTTTGTGTTATAAACATGCATTTCAAGTTTCATCAAAATCAGGTGAAAATTGTGACCTCTATCGTGTCCACAAGCTAAAACCATGATTTTTCGTACAATCAGGGGGCCATAATCCATGATGTTATGGTCTGATACATGCCAATATCGAAAGGAACCGAGATCTTTGGGAGAGAGAAATGGGGTTTATAATTAATGTCCACTCGACACAGACTAGGTCATTTAGGGACTAATATATGGTTTTAATTTTATTTCAATAATTCGCTTGCGCGTAGGGGTCTTTAGCAGTGGGAGGAAACCGGAGGACCCGAAGAAAACCCACGAGGTTGGACAGGCAACCCTACTTCTTGTCACGTACAACCGGGGAATCGAAACCCCTCCAGTTGACTCAATGACAGACTGTATGATACAGCGTGCACGTGCAAACCATTCAGCCATCCAACCCCTACAGACGGTTGAACAGGGGCGACGGCATAATACGTCTACATGAAAATGTGGGCGTATAAAACTGATTGTATCCGAGAAATTGTAAATTAGCAAAAAGCAAAACTACTTTAATAGGTTAATGTTTGTACAAATTTTCATGAAAATATTTCCAATGGTTTATGAGATATGCTTCGGAAACAAAATTGAACACCAAAAACTAAGTCAAATTTTTTTTCTATGGAAACACAAAAAATATCAATCCCAGAAATTCCTAAATAGCAAAAGGCACAACTACTGTAACAGGTTGGTATGTGTATAAAGTTTCAGAAAGATATCTTGAACTGTTTGGTTTATGAGATATGCTTGAAAAGAAATCGGGATTGACGGACCCCATTTCAATATCCCTCCCTAACTTCGTTCCGCGCCGGATAACAACCAAATTGAAGAAGTTTCATTCATTTTTATTAACAAATCAACAAACATAACAAATTAAATACTTTTATAAAATTATCCTGTGGGAAATATATAAATTATATTATTTCCATTTGAATTCATCAATTAATGCCACATTTTAAAAATAACCAGTATGTTATATAATTATATTGTATTCATGTATACAGCAAAACAAAAATCCAGTCAATAGCTGCTTTAAGGTCTCCATTAGTAAGTACATGAGGACCACGCTACAGGATAAGACAAACCTGTGGACAAGGCACAAATTACACAGACATTAAACAACAAATAACAAATCAAATATATTATTTAGCATTAAATATTATTTCTGATGTAGATAATAACCCAATCTGATTAAAACACAGATCCTATTTCGTTTCGTTTTTTATAGTTCAAAATTTCGTTTTACTTGGCTTTACTACACTAGGATCTGGAAGAGTTGTTATATTAACCGCGTTTTGGTTAAGTGAGGGATTAGCCAATGAAACGGTCTGTTACAGCGACTTCTTGGTGTGCCATGCATGGAACTGTGGGTAAACCACTAGAAATGTCAATGCTAATTTAGTAATCAATGTCTGATGTCATAGGGTCAAAAGCCACTCGCACGACCCCTGCCACGACGACCTTCCAGTACAACTTGTGAGATCTTCATGTAGTGTAGGCGATCAAAAGTATAAATAAACGAAACGAAATATAGATCTGTATTTTAATTTTAATCAGATTGATAATAGCCATCGGTTGCTAAGCAACAGAACATATGTCCAGAGCAGCTTAGTCGTCTGAGCAGTCCATAATGCTGTTACTATAAACAGCTATAGGGACCTGGCTAAAACATAATCGTGAAGCCTTACGATGTATCTTCACAAAGTCAAATAGTAAAAGTTTAAAGTCACTATCAATACATCATTTTAATAATTTCACTTGATATTCAAGCATTTATACATGTAATTAAAATAAGTGATTTGTCAAATCAATTTTAATCTATAATCTTAAATAGTTGGTGGTGTAGCAGCTAAAGATGCTGGCTTGTTAAATAAGTTTAAAATTAATACTATTGGCTTTATGTATGTAATATATAAAAACAACCATTAATCTCTTAACACACACTGTCTTCCACTCCTGTCAACTGTAGTATTTCTTTATTTGACGGTCAAATGAATCGATGATCGCTTTTCTGAGAAAAAAAAAAAGAAAAGCATATCAATTTTTAAGAGTTATTCATTTTTCCAGGGTATTTTTATGACACAGAGTAAAGGTCAGCATAATTTGTGTATTACATGTCCATCCAGACAACACAACTACCATCATTTTCAAACAAACAAGTAATAAATTCCTTTTATTAATTTGCTTGAGCCAAATGGTCTATAGCAGCAGGAGGAATCCAGGTGACCAGTGTAATATTAAAGATACATGTACATTATGTAAGAACTAAATCTGCCTATTGCAGGTCTTTAGTTTGGCTTCAAATCATATAAAAACTATTATTTAGACATTTATTAACATGACAAGCCTATAATCAACTCTCTTGACCATCAGATGGCAGAGATTTAAATGGATTAGAATACACATGAGATTAAAATGGATCAGAATACACACAGGATTTGAAAATTTAATAATAAAATGGATAATCAAGATTTTGTCTCTTTGGCCATTACCATTGCTACGAGTACGATAATAAACAGTCTACGTTACATCTTCCAACACTCATAACTGCGCTCAGAATGGAATTTTCAATATATTCATTTTTTATTCTCTATTTTTAAACTATCATATCAAGAACGGCCAGTACTTTATCTAAATATCACATAATGCAGCCTTAATACACGTTAGATACATAGTTAAATATATCGGGCACTATAGTCACAGTGGCTAAGTCAGTAAGATGCTGACTCGTTAGCCTGGAGGTTGCAGGTTCGATCCCGGTGTTGGCCCAGAAAGTTCATCAGGATTTTCAGGCATGCTTTCCACTTGTCAGTGGTGCAGGACAGATGGTCTGACAGGGACAGCTGTCTAGTTTTTCAGGTCTGAGGAAAACCGAGGCCTCGTGTACACATTGCCATGCATGTAAAAGATCCCTTGGCAGTTGGAATTTAAAATAAGAACCGACCATAGCTCTGCAGTCCGAGCAAAATTACCCTCATAGCACACTGTATGGCATATGTCATCTTCGTTAGCCCAGGCACAACTAAAACTAAAACCATTATTTCCAGGTTTGCTTAAACATTAAATTCCTGATACCCAATATGGCACTCTGGGTACTTGGAATTTGATATAAGAACGGGCAATAGCGCCGCTGTCTGGGCATAATTACCCTCATAGCACACTGTATGATGTCACCTTGCTTAAACATTAAATTCCTGATATCCAATATGGCACTCTAGATACTCACCTAAACACATCCATATTTAACAAGAAAGCTGCCACATGTCCTGAATCTATATATCTTATTTCTGCACCCGGCCACAGTTTATCTAAACTAAGTACACCATTACGTGGAATATAGGCATCTTGTTTTGCTGCTACAATAATAATTAAACTAGGATCCACAGGAATCGAGAAGTTACCCAGATGGGTACATTCATCCATTACGCCTCGCATAAACTCAACAGACTCCAGAGTCAATGATTTCTTGGATATTTTTTTTCGTGACAATTTAAGGCCGTTTGCTGCCCAGTTTGGCACTGATAATCGTGATTTTGATGTTGCATATTGTAATGTCTGTGGATCGGATAATTTCAAATTGGTTTGTTCACTTTTAGTCACATTTGATATTTTTTCAGCATCCATGGCTATCTTGGTTGGCAAAGAACTTTGACCTTGAGTTGATTCGTAACTATGACTACCATTAGCATTTGCGTTACCATTCAGTATGATTTCTTGTCCCCTTTGACGATAATGTTCTATGACTTGATCTAAATTCTGCATACTGGCTGGATAATCTTTTACAAACTGTTGTCCATATGGATAGGCTCCTTTGTACAGCTACAAAATATAAACATTTTTCAATTAAATTGCTAGTTTGAAAAAAGGACACCAAATGGTGATACAGCATAATTTAAGGTCAAATTGAAAGCAAAAGGACAACCATATAAGATATGTTTAAATTTCAGTTAAGGGCAGTCTTGAGTTTTTAGCAATTACAAAAATAAAATGGGGTTTATCGTCCTACAACAAACGGACTGATGAACCATGCTGGTAAATCCTGAGGAACACGATATATTTCAAACTGCTAGTTTGAAAAAAGGACACCAAATGGTGATACAGCGTAATTTAAGGTCAAATTGAAAACAAAAGGACAACCATATAAGATATGTTTAAATTTCAGTTAAGGGCAGTCTTGAGTTTTTAGCAATTACAGAAATGAAATGGGGTTTATCGTCCTACAACAATGAACCATGCTGGTAAATTCTGAGGAACACGATATATTTCCAACTGCTCTGGACAACCCACAACTAGTGTTCCTTAGATTGCCTCAAACCGTTCGATATATGAGAACAGCTCTCAGTGTACATATAGGACTGTATACCAGTTTTTACATGACTTGGGCAGTCTAAGGAATACTAGTTACAGGCGGTTTCAAGCAGTCAAAGGGCTAAAGGGTTAACATGTCCCCAGTGTCTCAAACTTCTAGCTTTCAGGAGCTTTAAAGGGTTAAATGTTAAAAACCTTACAGCCTCTGGTGAATATATCAAGTTTCTGATTTCCTCTTCATATACACTATCTTCAAAATACTGTGTTTGTAATACTTCCCATGGTATAGCTCCACTTAATACACCCTATAAACAAATACATCATAATTAAAGGGAAGTAACTCTGCGCAATTGACCCTACACTCATATTATCTCCCCTTAGACCACAAAGCTAAGATGGTAAACAAGATTTATCTTACAACATCGCTATCTTGCCATGATAATGTCTCTTTAAAGCAATGAAATAACAAGTTGTATCAGAATTCGTACTTTTAAATTACTGCACATATTTTGTCCCAGTCTATAATCATTAATAATTTATATAACATTTCAGGCCTAAAGAAAGACCTGCAATAGGCAGATTTAGTTCTTGCATAATGCATGTGTAACAAGACCATAATCAACTCTTGATACCATCGCTAGTCTGCGATATTTAGCGGATCAGAATACATTCTTTTGAAAAATAATTAAACATAAAAATGGATAATCGAGACTTTGTTTTTTATCGTACCGACTTCAGTCATGATCGAGGCTAGCCTAAAATTCAAAAGCTAATATCTCGGTCTAGATTGGAGCAATTTGACTGAAACTTTTAGTATATTCTATTTATCTATTTTTTAACTACAGATATTATAGCGAGAACTGTCAACTCTTTATCTAATCTTTGGAATGAAGTTAATTTTTTGGACATTCATTATGGACATGAAATGAAATGAGGTTTATTATTATTATTATTATTATTATTATAATTTCATTATTTAAAATTATTTGTTTTCAATCATTTTGTAGGATAATAGATTATATACAAACCTGAGTAAAAGCACAAGAAGCTGTACTCCATGACAAACATGGCACTAAACTGATTGGTTTATCCCAGTTAGTTGCTGCTAACGATGCCATCTACAATAAATATTACAACACTCAATCAAAATATTTAATATTAAAAGGATGGAAATACATTAACGTCATTCCCAGATATGTTTGTTGCTTTTTTATCACCATCTTACGCAAAAATGTGTTAGGTGTGGATTGGCTGAAAAATGTGCGGTATCATGTACTATTGTAGTCACACATTATGTGTATTATTCTATCCTGTGCTAACTCGAGTTTAAATATATTTCCTATTGATTGGGGGGAGGGGGGGGGGCGGGGAAAAATGCCTAATGTGTGCATGTTGCATCATAAGGTCTGTCAAGTGGCGTAGTATCGATTCCTCACTTGTACTTGACAAGGAGTAGCGTCACCTGTCCAACCTCATGGAGTTTCTCTGTGTCCTCTGGTTTCCTCCCACGGCTAAAGACCCCTACGCTCAAGCGAATTATTGAGATAAAATTGAACCATGTTAGTCCTGAAATAACATAGTTTGTGTTGAGTGGATGTTAAATTCTCTCTCTCCCCCTCACCCTCTATTGACGATGGGGAACAATCTAGACGCCCACAAATTTACAGCACATCATCTACAATCACATTAGAAAATATCTTTATACAGAAGGGGGATACGTGGCTAAGTGGGTAAGACGCTGGCTTGCTAGCCCGGAGGTCTGGTGTTTGATCCCTGAATTGGCCGAGAAAGTTCATCCAGATTTTCCGGCATGGTTTCCCCCTTGTCAGTGATGCAGCTGTCTAGTCGTTCTGATGGGACGAAAAACCGCGGTCCCTTTACACATTGGAGTGCACGTAAAAGATCCCTTGGCAGTTGGAACCCGATATAAGAGTAGGTCGTAGTGCCGCTGTCCGGGCAAAATTTACCTCATAGCACACTGTATGGCGTATGCCCGTCTTCATTAGCCCAGTTCGGAGCAGAACAGTAGGACGTTAAACCCCATTTCATTTCATTTCATTTTATACAGAAGCTTAAGATTTACGCTTCCCAATTCCAGGTTTCCACCATCACAGTGTTTTACTGGAAGTGATGATGGATGTCATGGATGAAACAGAGTATGGTTACTGTTTCTAAACATCTGTTACCACTTCTAGCTGATTTAAGATAGCTGACAATTACAAGAGTGAAATATGAATTAGTAAAACTTACATGACCTCCCATCGAAACTCCTGTTAATCCAAACGGTCCCCATCCCTGTCTTTCACACCAATTAAATAAAGCCAATGATTCTAGAACTAATGCCCCGCCCATCACAAACAAATCACTAACATTATGTAGACTAGATCGCCTGAATTGTAAAAAAGAAATAAGAGCGTAAATGAACCCTTTGACAGGGCAAATTTAAAACAAAAGTAGGCTATAGTGCTGCTATTCAGGCAAAATTTCCCTCATAGCACACTACATGGCATATGCTTGTTTTCATCAGCCTACATGGAGCAGAAATAAAAAGAAATTCATTTCATTTCTTTATCCTTAAGTCATAGAACCCGAAATGCCACAAAACCGGCTTTGACGTTGTAGGGCATATACCTGAAATGTCGGTTTCTGACACGCTTCCTTAACAATAACAAAATAGCCAATCAAAATGACGTTTACTGTTTGCCCCAGGTCTGTTGTAAATAGCGACTTCCGTCCACTTGTTCACATTTCAACGGGCGATAACGAGCAATAATGGCGAAGATATTTATGGGTTGAATTACGGCAACGGAAGCAATTTTGAAAGTGAATATACCCTAGATTCAGACTAAAATAAAGAAAATGACAGTGATGGTAACACTCATACTCGTAATAGATGTGTAAAAATTGTTGATCTACATGACCGGTGATAGAGATATTGGAATAAGGCGTGGCCGCGATATTAGCAGAGTTCAAAACTGTTGGCATGATTGGCACTCCAAGGTTACGGATTGGAGATAAAATTGAGTAAAAGTTAAATTTTCTGGTTAAATATCTTTGTTTCATCATTTCACACATTAAAATGACGTCATTTTTGCAGAATCGGGTTGTAAAGTCAGGGTAGGGTATGCGTCACCCAAACTTTTTTCAGGATTCAAAAGGTTAAATTGCCGTGTTTAAAACTAGACTGACTTGTGAGTGACCACCATTTTGAATTTAAAGAATCCACACACACCAATTAGATTATGTTGCTGGATTCAGAGTTAAACAATCTTTAGGATAGAAACAGAATATATTCTGAATCTGGATTCGGAACGGCATCAATCAAACACTTACGTCTGACTCTTAGGTTTTCTGCTTCCATCTGAGACTTTTATAAAGGAAGAATAAACACAGTACGTAGCACTAAAACTATAAAGTATTAGGTTATTTGATTAGGTGTACAGCTGACAAAATCTATTTTGATCAATACAGGAATCCCTTGCAAACTACAATATTGTAAAAGTTGAATCTCTAATATAACAAGTCTAAAAATGGTTCATTCAATTCCATAAATTCTGTTCCATGTTTACAAAACTGTTTGGTCAGAATTGAAACCATGCCCCCATTCTCAGATGTTCACCTGACAAGTATTGTCAGCCGATACTAAATGATGTTCAGTAATGTCGGTTTTCCCATTGCTTGGTACTATCACGTAACTTATAAATCAGAGAGATTTGGTAAACAAGGATACAGTAAGGATTTTCCAGTATTATGGAAGCTATTCCAGCTTCTTTTAACAGTGGTCGAGCCATCAAGGCTCTTCTTCTCCAATAAAACTGAAAAAAAAATGTAAAAAAAATATCATGTGCTTTACTAAGCTGAAATAAAATTAATTCTTATTTCTTTGGGATTTTGATAAAAAAAAACAAGCCACTTGAGTCCCATGAACCTTTTTGTTTGTTCAAAATTTTAAAACTTACAAATTTTATATTGATCAAGTTAAGTAAAAGAGTATGTCCTAGAGGGTCAATCGCATTTCAGACATTCTATTAATAAAGGGGGAGAGGGAAAAAAAGGGGTTTAACATCCACTCGACACAAACTAGGTCATTTCAGGACAAATTTTATTTCAATAATTCACTTGTGCTAAGGTGTCTTTAGCTGTAGGAGGAAACCAGAGGACCCAGGGAAAATCCATTTGGTTGGACAGGCAACCCTATTCCTTGCCAAGTATAAGCAGGGAATCGAAACAATGCCACTTAACTCAATGCCACACCTTATGCACACTCATTCAACCATTAACCCCCATTAATAAATATACTTACATGATCACCTGTGCCAGCTAGATGTAAACAAACAGGTTTTAATCTTGGATGTTTCCATTCTCGTGGTAAGATAACCTGAAAACTATAATATAAATCACAATACAGTCTAACCTGAAAACTATAATATAAACCACAATACAGTCTAACCTGAAAACTATAATATAAATCACAATACAGTCTAACCTGAAAACTATAATATAACACACAAAATTATACTTTATAGTTTAAATGAATTCGGAACAAGAGAGAGAGAGAGAGAGAGAGAAATGGGGTTTAACGTCCACTCGACACAAACTAGGTCATTTCGGGACTAACACATGGTTCAATTTTATTTCCATAATTCGCTTGCGCGTTGGGGTCTTTAGCAGTGGGAGGATACCGAAGGGCCTGGAGAAAACCCACAAGGTTGGACAGGCGACCCTACTCCTTGTCACGTACAACCAGGGATTCGAAACCACGCCAGCTGGAATTCGGAACAAGGATAGACTGATAATTTCTAAATCTAGGAAAAGTTAGTAACCGGGCAATGAAGCTGTTTTGTTTGACTATTACTCACAATACAAAGTTGGTTTCCTCCAACTGCTAAAGACCTCTACGCGCAAGCGAATTATTGAAATAAAATTAAACCATATGTTAGTCCCGAAGTGACCTAGTTTGTGTCGAGTGGATGTTAAACCCCATTTCTCTCTCTCTTTCACAATACAAATCTCTGAGTCAAGCTGGTTTCATAACAAAAGTCTCTCAGTCATGACTAAAGTCTAACACTTATAATAAGTCATGCTGGTTTGATAATAAAAGTCTCTAAGTCATGATTAACACATATAATAATAGTCTCTCAGTCATGACTGGCACTTATAATGTAAGTCTCAGTCTTGACTAACACTTATAATAAAAGTCTCTCAGTCATGACTAACATTTATAATAAAAGTCTCTCAGTCCTGACTAACACTCATAATGTAAGCCAAGCTAGTTCGATAATTTTCTTACAGCTTACAATGTTTGTATTTTGTGTCATTGTCTGTGAATAGGGATTTAAAATGATTGCTGTATTTCACAAGAGTCACTCAACACTGGCTCCAAAAAGACGAAAATAGAAAAAGATCTGGTTATAAAAAACTTCTCACCTGGCCTTTTCTACTTCTACAGGTGCGATACCAGGTAAATAACGACAAAATGGAGATATCAAATATCCTTCCATAATACGACAATCACTGTAAGTTACATCTTTTTCAATATGAACTGGATAATCTTTCTCTACCAAGTGCTTACATGTTTCACGATTAGAAATGACTTTACGAAACTCAAATATCCTGAAAATTAATACGTAAAAACACATTTTCAATTTTAGCCCTGATATATGATTTTCAGTCTATAATAAAACAGGTATAAGACTAAGAGTAGAATTGAGGCTGTTCACTGATATTTAATATAACCAGTCTGACTGTGACTTATAGATCCTGTTATAATAATCAAAACTCCAAGGCATTTATCCCAATGAATATATGAATCACCCATATTCATTAAATGTTATGTTTTTGTCATGTACATGCTGGGCTCCCGCGGCTTCGTCAAACATTTTTTCAAGGATATTCAAGGATAAATATACGTCAAATTCAAGGATTTTCAAGGACATTTTTTAGCCTAAAGTTACAATTTTTCATCTTAAAAATAACCAAAACAGCCAACTATCGTTATAATCTCATATTTAAAAGGAATTGAAGACATTTGAAACAAAATTAAGGATCTCAACTGAAATTCAAGGATATTTTCCAATTTCCGCGAAATTCAAGGATATTCAAGACCTTGAAAATGAAATTTTAAATTTAAGGATATTCAAGGATTTTCAAGGACCGCGGGAACCCTGACATGTATTAGTGATAATCTTGTATTGTAACTATTCACTGATGCATGAAAAAAATATTAGAAATATCACAGAATTTTTGCCTGTTTTGACAAACTACCGGTGTACTGATATTGTTTTGTTTTTTTGTTTATTTTTAATTTGCATTGTAGTAATTAGTCACCTTAAATAAAACACAGACAACTAGAGAATCATTGTTGAAACATTACTTCTGTTAAATTCAGTAATTGTATTCCCTGAAAGTTTTGTGTTTTATCTATCTTGCAACTCTAAATATCTACAAGCTTGTATCCCTATTTCAAGAAATAAAATGATGACTGAGATTCATTATCAAAGAAACATACTTTTATGGTTATTATCATTAGGTTTTTTTGTGAACCGATTAGATTAGACCGATTAGCTATTATACGCATTTGTGAACCAAGTTGATTATGCTAATCGTTACATTTGTGAGACGATTTAACTCAACTGATTAGGCAAATCAACCTAATCGTCCCAGGAGATATTTAGGCGATTAGATTTGACTTTTACAAAATGGCGGAATGTTCGACGTCGTAAGTAATATTTAATGCTTATTGTTGTTTTTCTCCATAAAAAATGTTTTTTTAAAACACATTTGACGTGTTTAATGTTAACTTTATAGTCCACAAGAATGTTAGATCACCTCTAAGCAATTTTATTCATTTACAGTTTTTTCAATATATTCCTCGATCCTAGGTTTTCTCAGTAAACTTTTTACATGTTTTGTCACTTCAGTTTTCAAAAAAATACTTGAACTTGTTGGACATAGGAGATTGTTTCTAACGGCAACCATTTTTCCTTTTTTGCATAGATAACCTTCATTTGTCTTTAACAAGTCATCAATAATTAGCAGAGACAATTTTTTTTTCTGATCGGTGTCCGTGATGGCAGCCATCCTACCAAATCGTAATTATCAAATTTCACATTTGTGGACCATAGCTAATCAAATCGAAATCATACCAAATCGTACTAGCAAATCAAAACCTAATCTAATTGACTCACAAAAACGCCAATAGTAATTGTCATTCCATAAAAGTGTGTTTCTTTGATTTGAGTATGTTCCAATTACTAAATGCCATTCAAAGAATGAGATTCAATATAATCCTGTTTCTTATACCTTTTTAAATTTTCTGGTTTTCCCCATCCTTTGGTGAAGAATTTTGAAAGCAACAGACGTCTATAAAGTTGATCAAATCGACTCATGACTCACTGGTAAATCTATCTAAAAGATATAAATTATTATAATCAAATAATTTGGAATAAGCAAGGATAGAAATGAAATGGTGTTAACATCCTACTGTTCTGCTCCAACTGGGCTAATGAAGACAGGTATAATGACAGAATAGAAGATCAAGCCGCGATATTAGAATCTTTCCTACACAATGTTTTCTTACATATCCTGACTTGAAATGATTCTGATAATATTCACTGTACATCAGTATTGACCAATATGTGGTGTCTGGCCGACTGGGAAATAATTTTAATATAAAGACGGTCAATTTTACAATGATATATATCAAGAACAAACTTTTCTGATCCCATAAATGTTTATGGATTGGAAATCACGAAAAAAGTGAATTATTTTTAATAACATGATTATTTTCATGATATCTGTTAATAAGCACAACCATAGGTGTCTGGTAAGTTTGTGCCGCTCAGCTTTCATACGGTCATAGTGAAAATCATAGTGCCTGTCTCTTATAAACAATTCAATTTTAACTGTTTTTTCTTAAAGGAAAATATTGGTGCCAGTCATTATCACATATGTGATAGAGCTGGTTAAACACATTCCAAATATAATTTTAACACAGAGATCATTGCTACGATAGCTGAGTGACGAACGCCAAAGGAAAACACGAGACATCTCTCTATATAACTGACTGATGTGACGAGTGGTAACGGATATACGGCCGAATTTCTGCTCTTGATCTTCGAATGAATTATTAGTGAGCAGAAATTCGCCCGTATATCCGTTATCACTCGTCACATCAGTCAGTTATATATCGTAGGTATATATAGCACGGTAGCACGTCATTACGGGCCCGCGTCAGTTCGGACTTAACACAAACGTCGTTTCGGACTCAGTTTGACGACCTTTCAGACTTACTTGGCGACTTTTCGGACTCGGTATGGCGACTTTTCAGACTCTGTATGGCGACTTTTCGGACTCAATAAAAGCTGAAAAATTCTATGTATGTATTTGTAATAACTGTTTATTCTTTCGTTTTAGATGGGACTGAAGACAGACAATTCACAATAATAAAGAAATTAAACATTGTTAGTTGTGTTTTATTTATCCCATACAGACCTTACGCACTGTTTATTCTTTCATTTTAGATGAGGCCGAAGACAGACCATTCACAATAATAAAGAAATTAAACATTGTTAGTTGTGTTTTATTTATCCCATACAGACCTTACGCACTTGAACTTTTATTTGTTTCGTTTTAGATGAGGCCGAAGACAGACCATTCACAATAATAAAGAAATTAAACATTGTTAGTTGTGTTTTATTTATCCCATACAGGCCTTACGCACTTGAACTTTTATTTGTTTCGTTTTAGGTGAGGCTGAAGACAGACCATTCAAAATAATAAAGAAATTAAACATTGTTAGTTGTGTTTTATTTATCCCATACAGACCTTGAACTTGAAGTAAAACCAATATTACTTGATCGGCGAATACTGTATTTAATCTGAGTAAGTTTAGATTATTGACGATAATTGATCAATTGATTGGCGATTCTTAAAATCGTTAAGAAACGATTGAGAAATAAAAACACTGCTACTTTCCTTTTGTTGATTAGTGAAACAAAGCCGAGATTATTTAATCTCTATGGATGCGTTTTCCATTGGACACATGGATTACCTTCCCTATAGAAGATTGGTGTGTATTTATCAAGCTAGTGCGCACAAACAACGACGTTGAGGGCTGCATAACAGGCTTAATTCGCGAGTCAACGCCAGGGGTCCGGTGCCATTTTATTTACTTAATTGTGAGTTATTTTCAGAGGCAGAAAAGATACCCCTCAACATTACCATGATGTCGGAGGGCTCGCGGAGACGGCACCAGAAAAGCTGGTATCTGCATATAGAGGGCCGACTATTTCAACTATGGGATGAATATAACCACCAAGATATTTGTACGGCCCACTTGCCCCACAAAAAAATGAAACTGATAAAATAAATTAAATGTATGTTTTATAAAATAAATGAATAAATGACTGAAGCTATTTTTTCAGCAAATAAATATGCCTGTTGTTATAAATCACTGTATGCTTTGTTAATGTATGAATTTAAATGTATGTTTTATACAATAAATGAATACCCGACTGAGGCTATTATTTCATCAAATAAATATGCCCGTTGTTATAAATCGCTGTTATCATTTTATGCTATGTTAATTAATAAAATACGTAGTTTATAAAGTAAATTGACGTCAGTGTTCTATAATTCTATGTTCTATACCCGAGTCCGAAACGTCATCTATCCGAGTCCGAAACGTCACTTACCTGAGTCCGAAATGTCGAGGACATATTTTTTGGAGTCCGAAATGACGTAAGTCTGAAATGACGCGGGACCGAAATGACATGTAATCATATAGCACAACAAAATAAAGTTTAATGTGCTCCTTATTCGCCATTATAAACTGAGATTTGGACCTTGATTTCTGTGGGTAACCAGCTGAAATCTGTCAAAATTATTAATCACAGAGATATTTTGACCTCACAAGCAGCCCTGAACTTAGTTCAACTATGAACGCAGGTCTCATTACACTCGCCCTGAGTTCGTAAATTTGTGCGTTACCCTATATTTTGATTTCAATGAAGTCTGCCAATTTGGTTAGAAGACGGGGACGTATTTTTTAACAGCATGTTGTGTCGCTCATACTGACTCTAGCGAGGTAGGCAAGGTCTTATTTTCTCACTAAGATGTTCCTTTACATTGTACAGGCGTTCACATGGATTGACATCCCACCGTTTAGCAGTAAAAAGTTGCCCAGTAAAATTGACTGGGAAGCGATTTCAGTTTCGACAAGGATTCAATAGGACGGTTGCTGAAATTACAGGGCGAGTGTAATGAGACCTATTCAGAGCTGAACTACCCTGAACTGAACTGAAGGTTGGGATGAAACAGCCCACCTTCACGTTATGTCCAACTGAGGATTTTGTGGAGTATTTAATTGAAGTTGAAGAGGTGAAACGGTAGTGGGGCGAACTGACCCGCACTCGGTCTCTAGGCTACGTGAGAAATCAGGCAATTGACATGTCGGCTCCAAGAGAAAATACACAGTATGAACACGCTTGAGTTTCGTGGATATTGCATTAATGCAACGAATATGATGAATCTGGTAATTTGACTTAATTGTACCGTTTTCAACGACCTTGCTCCCAATATAATCGTATATTCTTGCGAGGAAATACTGAAGACCTTCAAAGGCCAACCATCTTGGAAAGTGAAAGTCACCGTTATCTAGAAATCTCGCTAAATCTCGTTAAGTATCGTACATTGATAAACGCAGAATCTGCTATATATTCCCCATGCTTCTCTTTGTAGACATTACTTGATGGTCGCTCCGTTTAAAAAGCTGAGCTACAATCTATAAGTAATATCAAAGTGTTCAAATACACTCATTCTACTAAAAAGTTGGATTTTTTTGTGGTGGTCACGTGATCTAACGGTACTTGCAGCGGTAACGGAAATAGCACCTGTCATGTGATATCAATGTTTTGATTTGATGTAAACACGTGGAGTCGTGCAACAAATATAGCAGGGCAATCGAATGAGATTCCAACATTTAAAATGTTGCAACCAATTTTGCACGTGCTAAATGCACAAAGAATTGTGTTGGCATCAGGATCCCCGAGAAGGAAACAAATTTTAGGAAACATTGTGAGTTGTCATAAGAATTACAATACAATACATCATTGCCATTGCGATTGCGGCATTGGTACTTGAGCCATTTGATTTTCAATGTGTGAATCTAAATTATTTACTATTTATAATTTTAGTTAGAATTTGTTTATTTATGTATAGTGCTGTACGATTCTCACTAAATTTATTGATCTTAATATAATTGGGTACTGATATAATCACGCTATTTTACCGACATTTCGCCTAATGTTTGGATGCCGCTATGGCAGGTGTGGCGACAGGCAGGGTAAGCTTACTCTTCCGGACACCTGATACCACTGTTTGTCGTGTATTTTGTACACAAGGAGCAGTCCATTTGCTGATTACACTATTTTGCTTGAATACACTATTTTGCCTATAACGTTTTTTAGGACTTCGAATAATTATGGTTTGGATTGTTCGTACTTGGTTTAATTTTATTAACTTCAAAAAAAGTAGGAGATATTGAAATGCAAATACCTATGCAGGTTTTGATGGGTGCAGGCTGTTTCGTAACCTGGCTGTTTCTTACTTAGTACATTTGTACCTCACTTCGTAGGGGGGGTTGGATGGCTGAATGGTTAGCGTGCGCGCGCTGTATCATAAAGTCTGTCATTGAGTCGACTGGCGTGGTTTCGAATCCCCGGTTGTACGTGGCAAGGAGTAGGGTCGCCTGTCCAACCTCGTGGGTTTTCTCCGGGTCCTCCGGTTTCCTCCCACTGCTAAAGACCCCTACGCGCAAGCGAATTATGTAAATAAAATTAAACCATATGTTAGTCCCGAAATGACCTAGTTTGTGTCGAGTGGACGTTAAACCCCATTTGCCTCTCTCACCTCACTTCGTACCTCAAATTGATTCGTACCTTTTCCTAAATCCAAAGACTGCCCTAAATTTATAAAAATGGCTGCCGAACGAGAATTAGAATACACACATTATTTGTACCTCAAATTGATTCGTACCTTTTCCTATCTGGGGTTGATTATTGAACCCATTCTGCTGAGTGAGTTGTGATTGTGATTGATTGGTGGTTGTTAAAGCGGTTAAAAACGATTGAATATACTAAGAATTCCAAAATCAATTGTAAGGTGAAACTATGCATGCTTTCTGATATGGTTGGGTTATTTGAGCCTAAAAATAGAACGCAGCAATTAAGTCTCCAAAAGGTGTCTACGTGGGAAGCTGGGCGTACGCGTTTCTTTGAGGTACGAAGTGAAGTACGAAACGGCTCATGTGAGGTACAAATGAACTAAGGACGAAACAGCCAGGTTACGAAACAGCTGACATCCGTTTTGATATGATAAATAGTCATGGACACTTGACATGCTTTGAGAGTATGTTCATAGATGAAGAACTTGTCGCCCTAACAGTACCACTGAGCTGCATGCATGTGCGATACGCAATAGGGCCATACACATGGGAGGGGTTCATTGTCAAATTTGACACTTCAAGGAAGGGTTGATGAAAACTGACGCATGCTGGTTTATCTATCCATGTTTGGTTTCCTATCTGTTCTTGCAAAAGATTTACTGTTTAACGTATCTTTGCTTTAGTGTGTTACGTTTAATTTGATCGGGAGACGTGTTCGTCAACGTCAACCAACAACACTGCAAGAATTGTCCGTGACACTGCAAGAGGGGTGGGTCAGATTGCCCCAAATTGTGGTTGGACGGTTGATTAGGAGCATGCCATGACGAATTGCTAAATGTCTGAGGATTGGTGGAGCAATTACTCATTATTAAGACCAAAATCAAAAACGTCCATTTTCACTTTTGACGGTGTATCTCTTTGCGAGTGAAATGGGGCCGTCAGATAAGCCGCCCATATGAACTGTTTATGTTCATGTGTAGGCAATTGGCCTGTTATTAACATACACTGGTTACCTCTAATAAAAACAGCAGTGCATTTCCGCAGTTTTGTATTGTTTCAGAATATCCCCTACTTTTTTTGAAGAGTTTATAACAAACATGTAGTTTTTATTTATATTTTATCAAATTTCCCCACTCTAGGGATTAAAATTTGAAGTGATACCATCAACATTTGAGGAGAATTTAGACAAATCTCAGTTTTCACATCCAAGTGAATATGTAAAAGAAACAGCTCGATTAAAAACTTTGGAAGTTGCAAAACGTTTAAAAAATGATGAGGTAGGTATCCTTTTTTTTATTAAAGCATCAGTATTGATACATCATAATATGATTGAGAAAGATATCTATACTTAAGAATCTGTCCACCAATCATTGACTGTCATGCTAGTTATATGGTGAATATCCAGCTATCTTACCTCTGTAAAGGTACCTTCTGTCAAAAAATTAGTGGACAGTGTGTAATATCACTGCTTTACAAATAAATATGTTACAATAGAGAAATCAAGAAAAGAATAAAGGAGACCTAAAATGCTTTCCACTTACCTCTTTCTGCCAGTGTAGACCATGCTTAAAAATTTAGTCTATTCTATAAGGAATTTGTTTCTTTTTTTTATTTTGCAGAGGGTACCTGATTTTATTATTGGTGCTGATACAGTGGTAGCAATGGATACAAATATTTATGAAAAGCCAAAAGATAAAGAGGATGCTAAAAGAATGTTAAGAGGGTGAGATTTTGATCGAAAATTAATAAAACGAAACAGGGACTTGTATACAAATTGGTAGTAACATGTTTGACTTTGTCTAGAACGACCTGGTGGTTTGCAGCTGCAAGTTGCTGTCATGAACGGTTGATTCTGGTAACAAGTTGAGGTCACGAACAGTTGATTCTTGTGACAAGTTGTGGTCATGAACAGATGATACTGGTGACAAATAAACTGTCCATAGGTAATGGCAATAGGTAATAGTAATGGGTAATGGTAATGGAATGTAATGATTACTTTTTTTAAGTAATGGTCATGTAATGGAAGATTTCAAAATGAATGGAAATGTAATTAATTACATTCAAAAAATCATGTAATAGTTATTTACATTTTAATTACTTTTCAAATCATATCAATATTTGTAACTATTCCAATATTTTGGAATTGTGTAATTTTTAGTCAGCTTTAAAAAAATGAACAGGACAAAAACATAACTATTTCATTTTATTACTTTTGATTTAGAACCTTTTGATTTGCCCACATTGAAATGTGGTTGTATATTGTCGTCGCCCCTGTCTGATAATTACTGCCAGAGTTATGACCCTTGATAACTTTGAAATACCTTGTGGACACTCTAGAGACTCAAGTTAATATCTGATTGACTTTAAATTTATACACAGTGTTTAAGGTCATGAGATGAAGAACCCTGTTGATTTTCAACAATTTACGACGCTCTAGAGGCTAAAGTTAATATCCAATTGACTTTAAATTTATACACAGTGTTTAAGGTCATGAGACAAAGAAGCCTTTTGATTTTCAATGATTTTCAATAATTACTGTCAGAGTTATGGCCCTTGATCACATTGAAATATCTTGTAGACACTCTAGAGGCTAAAGTTAATATCCAATTGATTTTAGATTGATATACAGAGTTGAAGGTCTTGAGACGAACAAGTATATTGATTTTCAATGATTTTTTGATAACTTGAACAGCTAAATCCATGACATTAAATGTATCGCATAATAAACAATTCTAAGGATTTTCTGATAATTACTTAATCAGTTGTTACTCTTAATCAGATTTTAGTGTACATGTATTTTAAATGTTTCATTACTGACAATAGAAAAAATATGCAACAACTCTTGTTGACTGGTCAGACGACTTAGCTGCTGTAGGTGTATGTTTCATTGCCTGGCATCCTATCTTTTTAATGTTTATAAAAAAGGGTTTGTTTATATGGTCAAAAAGTAATGGGTAATGGTAATTAATTACTTTCAATGTAATGAGTAATGGTAATTAATTATGTTTCATTGCCTGGCATCCTATCTATAAAAAAGGGTTTGTTTATAGTTTATATGGTCATAAAGTAATGGGTAATGGTAATTAATTACTTTCAATGTAATGAGTAATGGTAATTAATTACATTGCTAAAGTAAATGTAATGGTTACATTTAAAATGTAATGGTAATGTAATTAATTACATTGGTAATGTAATGGCCCCAGCCCTGGACTGCTATCCCACTGGTTGAAATTATCATATGTTAGTCTGAAGTAAAGTGTCAACCCATTCCATATTATTTTAGATTCTTGTTTTTTTGGTAGATTTAGTGGAAGAAGTCATACTGTACATACAGGTGTTGTTCTTGTTTCACCTTTAAGCTCAAATAGTAAGTTTCCACTATTTTGCCACCAAAACTCATAAGGTCAAAACTGCATGCTTAGGATAGTGTAGTAATTTATTTTGAAATTTAGGCCTTCATCTGGAAGTATGGAAACTACTATATCATTTAATAGATAAATTTCTCAGAAATCTTTTCAGATGGACACTTATTTATGTATTTTATTAACCCTAGATTTTCAGAACATAGAAGTTTTTATCATTCTTTGAATGTGTAAACAACCTTTTTCTCAGTTTTGTACAGAAAAATATACCACAAAATATTAGTATCATCCACAGTCTTTGACATTGCAAACAAGACTTATTGATGAATTTAAATCAACATTGATGTTGTTATCTTGCCGTGAAAAGATGGGCTTCTGATATCCAATATTTAAGACAAAATGAAACTTTAAAAATTTGCACACAAATCATATGCCAGAATGCTTTCGAGCGCCACAGGAAAATACAACTCGTGTAGACTGGAATAACCAGGCTTCAAAGACTGCAACTCAATTTGGATTCTTCAAGTATTTTTCCGAACATAACTGATTAGAAGTTACAGTAAAAATAGAAAAGATTGAATGTAAATCAGTTTATATACATTCATAGTACATTATTATATGTGCTGCAATCCATTTTTGTCCATTTCTAGGTGCCAAAGAATAGCGATTTAGCTCCTTATAAAATGTAATTCTGAAAAAAACACTTTATTCCATTTATGTACAATTATTTTCTCTTCACTTTTTTATATTTTCTTTTTAGTAATAAAATCTGGCTGTGTTTGTGATGGTTTTAGGGTAAATATATTTCACGAGGCCACTGACGTCATTATGGTAGACATGTCAGAGGAGATTATCAATAGTTACATAGAGACAGGGGAACCAATGTAAGTATTTTATATAAAAACATTTATTATTCTGGTTTATTTTGTTTATACTATCAATCCAAAATCATTTATTATCTCCAGACTTCTTTTCCATTGGAGACACAGTGGCTAAGTGAGTAAGATGCTGGCTTGCTAGCCTGTAGGGTGCAGGTTTGCTCCCGGTGTTGGCCGGGAAAATTCATCAGGATTTACGGCATGATTTTTCCTTGTCAGTGGTGTAGGACAGAAGGCCTGACAAGGACAGCTGTCCAGTTGTTTGGATGGGATGAAAAACCGAGGTCTCGTGTACACATTGGCGTGCACGTAAAAGATCCATGACAGCTGGACTTTGATATAAGAGTAGACCGTAGTGCCACTGTCCGGCAAAATTTCCCTCATAGCACACTGCGCATGGCTTATGCCTATCTTCAATAGCCCAGTCGGAGTAGAACAGTAGGATGTTAAACCCCATTTCATTTCTTTTCTATGTAGTTTAGGTGTCTTAAATTGTCTGCGGGTTTGTCTTGTGGGTTTTGATTGTGTGTGGTGTGGTCCTCCTGCACTTGCTAATATATATTATATCATGTTAGGGTGAAAGTGTGAATATTTAGAGGGGGAATAGAGCCTTTTTACCCAAGATTGTACAAAATCATTGTGTTTGCATAAACTTTTCCGTTTTGTTATGAATTAAATATAACATTCACATGATTTAATATATATATATATTTATTGTTTAAACTCCCATTTCATTTAGGGGTTGTGTTAATGTTTTAGGGGGCCACGTTGGCTCATAGAGTAAGACATTGGCTCACTAACGTGGAGGTTCTGTATTTGATCCTTGCGTTGGCCGAGAAAATTCATCAGGAATTTCCAGCTTGTTTCCTCAGTCAGTGGTGCCGGACAAGGACAGCTGTCTAGTCGTTCTGATGGGACGAAAAACCAAAATCTGGCAGTTGGAATTCACTATTATAACTGTAGGCCACAGTGCCGCTGTCCGGGCAAATTTTCCCTCATGGTGAATGCCCGTCTTCATTAGTCCACTTGGAGTCGAACGGTAGGACATTAAACCCCATTTCATTTCTGTAATTGTTTTATGTGTGGTGTCGTCCTCCTGTAGTAACTATTAATGTGTTTATATTTCAGGGATAAAGCAGGAGGTTATGGAATACAGGCTATAGGTGGAACGCTGGTTACAGGCATCAAGGGAGACTACTTTAATGTGATGGGATTCCCACTACATAATTTCTCTAAACAATTATATAATCTCTATAAACAACTATAATATCTTAAAGCGGCATTAGGTAAGATTAGAAAAAGAGCTGACAGTTCTCGCTAAAATAGTTAAAAAAAAAAAATGAAAAGAGAATGTGCTGAACATTTCAGTCAAATTACTTCACTCTGAGCCTAGATATCGGCTATACAATTATAGCCTAGCCTAAATGGTCATTACTACTGTTGTTACGATAATAAGCAAAGTCTCAATTATCCATTTTTACGGTAACCACATCGACGACAAAACGTTTTGTTTAAATCTACTTAAACCGCAGTCGTTGGATGGAATCGACAGACCTGCAATAGGTCGATTTAGCTCTTGCATAATGCCTATATAAATATATAACACAGTAACATCAGGGATGGTTAAATATGATTGCATGTAAAATTTGAAATAAATCTGCGAAGTAATTGCTGAGATATAGGCCTATTAACTTTTAATTTAAAACTAGTACAAATTTTCTATTGGTTTTTAAGAACAAATGAATGTCTTCACTAGCCCAGTCAGTGCAGAGAAGTAGAACATTAAATGAAAATACTGGTGTCAGCCATTATTACATATGATCATTGCTACAGTAGATGCGTAACGAACATTTTATGACTTTTAGATATCCTCTTACAGTCTTATATATCGACTTTTCGTCTTCAATGCTATTATCAGTGAAATGAGTGATAATGTCTTTTTAAGTTAAGTGAAAAAGTGTAATTTTGTTATGAAAATAGAGCTAATCACTCTGCTTCTGAAACTGTGATATTTAAGGCAATAAGCAATTTTAATTAAAAACTACATTTTGAACAATTTGTCATATTGTAATGTATTGTGGTGCATCTGTTTGTCTTATTCTAGTCAATTGTTGTACATCACTTTCTGATATTTTGATGTTAACGAACAACACATTTCTTCTTAGATCACCCATTGTAGGGATTTTCAAATGTTGTACAATTTTCAATTCATCAATCATCTGTCAATACTGAACCATTTTTGAACTGAAATTCCTTTTAGAGATTCAACTTTAATTATATTGTAGTTTGCAAGGGATTTCAAATCACTCAAATGACAATCAGCAGATATAATCATTGAACTGTATCATACAACATATGTAAATTTATATACATAAATAAAAAATATTTTTAAATGAGTGTTCAAACTTTTCTTTGTGACTTGGCTTTGTGTTTAATGGTGATAAGCAGATACCTTTATAAATGGCAGGTAATTTCTTGTTGGTGATCATCAGCATTCACATGGTTCAACAAAGTGAAACAAGGGCCATAAGCCCATAATTCTAGACGTAATGAACAGAAACTGCTGAAATTCTATAGGATCTTTCGTTTCACAAATTTAAATAATGTATATAAATTTTATGCAGATTGGATAATAACTTTTGTCCTTAGCGGGTTCACAAGGTGCAACAAAGCAAAACATGGAAATTATTGGAATTAAGCCACATATATCAATTTCAAAACAGATGATAAATGTAGTCTGTTGAGTGATCACTTGAATTTGTGGACCATGACGGACATACGATCACAAATCAGCATACATTTCTCTTTATCATTGATAGGTTGAGAAATATTGTGCTTGCAAATTCACCAGGATTCTTTTGTTAGGAGCCACGGTGACTCAGTGAGCAGGACATTGGGTCACTAACCAGGAGATTCCATGATCGATGCCTGTGTTTGCAGAGAAAGTTCATCAGGATTTTCAGGCATGGTTCCCCCTTGTCAGAGGGACGAAAAATCAAGGTCCCGTGTACTCACTGGGGTGCACCTAAAAGAACCCCTGACAGTTGGAATTCGAAATAAGAGTAAGCCATAGCGCCACTGACCGGGCACAATTTCCCTCATAGCATACTGAGTGGCACATGCCGGTCTTCATTCTAATGTTTACATATATGTTAATTACTCTATATTATTTATCAATACCATTCTAATGTTTACATATATGTTAATTACTCTATATTATTTATCAATACCGGTACATTACTAAATGTGGAAGTCTAAAGTAAATTTGGGGGGGGGGGGTGTCACAGATTGTTTTAGTGTTTGCACATTATCGTCATGGCTGTCATTGAGTCAAGTGACATGGTTTCAAATCCAGGCTTGTACATGACAAGGAGTGTGGCCATCTGTCCAATGTGATGGGTTTTCACCAGGTGCTCCCCCTGCTAAAATACCACTAATTAATTCATGTTAGTCCCAAAATGTCCTAGCTTGTGTCGAGTGGATGTTAAACCCATTTCTCTCCTACAAGTAAATGAGTTTCTTAGCATTTTCCCCCATTTCTGTGGTGAAGGATGAGAGACCTGACAAAGCAAAATAGCATTTAGTCTTTCAGATGGAAGTACTTGTGGTGTACACTTGAAACCTAAACCATTGTTCAGAAACTAAATGATAGCCAGTTGTATTTCTCTGCAGGTAGCATGTCTCTATTTCTGAATGTACTCAGTACTGCTCACCTATAATTAGTTTCTGAACTTGGAAAATCGTCCACAAATAACCCTTGATTTCCGCTCGAAATAACACTCTTGTTCAGTGAAATAAATTAATTTTGGAATTTGATGAAGAGCAGACAGAAACATCTCTGTTCGAGGGGAAATTCTTCTCATAGAGCATAGCATGCCATCATGCACACCTAAGATCAATCATTCAGTGAAATAAATTAACTTCAAACCAAAGAACATAAGCAAACAAAATACTTTATTGAATACCATTCAGTTACACTCATAATAACAAAAATCCTGGTGTATTAGGGTAAAAATTATCCTTAATTCTTCATTGGACACAAAATACCGATGATGCTATATAAATATGAAGACCTACTCCTGTCCAATGATTGGCTCACAGAGATCAAGTCATTTCAAATTGACCAATCAAACATAAGCAAACAAAATGTGTTGATTAACCCTTTAAAATTGGCGAGGAAAATGACAAGACATTAACTTTGTTTAATGCAGACTTCAAACCCCTTGGTCAACTGAGTACCAATTTATATTTTTAATCAAGTTGAAGAGATTTTAGCTTTTATAAGACTTATCGACAGCTAAGCTGTTAATTATTTTCCCAATGATAAAATAAAGAAAGTGGGAGGGTAGGAAAACAATACTCGCAATTTAAAGGGTTAATCAACATGATAGACCAAAATTATAATTTAGTTCCCTAAATCTGAATTCAGTATAAAAAAAACAAAATTCACTCTCAGAATTCGACAAACATTTGTATATAGTTGTATAACAAATTTAAAGCTCATTTATATGTTGTCTTGTGTATTCTGAAGTCTAAATGCACATACTTAAAGCACTTTTGATATACATACGAAATAAATTATAATTTTGGTAAATATATTTCAGCATTAACTGGAAAACAAACCATATCAAAAAATTTGCAACAAATATTATAATTAATATCAATCTATCCTACACATTGAAACGTATAATAATAATAATAATTCTAATAATAATAATAATAATAGTAGTAGTAATAGTAGTAACCAAATAAATGGCCTGCCAGGCAGCCGACATTAAAAGACAGCAGTCAAAAAGAATTGATCAATAACACTAAATAAACTAAATTAATTAAATTGAACAAACTTTAAAATGTGCGATAATGTTGGCAAAGCGTTCATACATCACCACGACAACCAACACACTGAGAGACAACAATCCCACAATTCTTAGTTGTGTTTGTCCTGTTTTTTTTTTTATCATCGCTAGTTTTCCAACGCGTACAATCAATTCGTAATTTATTTCATCATTTAAGGGAATAATAATTAATTTAAATTTCAACAATAAAAGGGGAGTGATATTTCTGGTAAAACACTAGAAATTGCGTACTAACATGTATAAATTTTTAAAAATTTATATTTCTCCATGGCAACTAATTTAGATAATCTGGTAACCTAACAATTTGATGCCTAATTTGGAATGTTTCGATACAATTGAAACTAAAACAGACTGGTCCAAAATAACAGTATGGAAATACGAGGGGGTAGCTATTTCATTAATAATAATAATAATAATGACTTAGTTAATCATGGGTGTGCTTGATTGAAGGAAAATCAAATCGGCATTTGTCAAATCCATGGATCTACGATCTTAAATTTCGAAGCAATGGTTGATATTAGATACTAAGATGGGTAGCAACGGAAATTGGCTTAAATCTGTTTTAGGTTATGGATACTCCAGATTTGATATATCAGTCAACACAATATCCCATTGAGTAGCTTGGAACGATCTGTACTTATAGGACAAATTAATGCAGTCTTATACCCATTACAACTTATGTAGATTTCGATCCCGTCAAACAAACACACCTATTATAATAACTGAACTAAAACTGATAATAGGGTTCTGATAAAACCCTTGTTTTAACATAAGCCGTGAGAGTATGATATAATAATAATAATAATAATAATAGATTATTATGCAGAGTATGTTTAATAAATAAATTAACAAAACATCTACTAGTGGAATGGCCTGGATGATAGAAATGAAGTCTCTGGTAGTCAGGTCTTTTTGATCACATTTTTAAATTTTATTTACTGGCTCGTATAAAATCCCTGATACTGTTTTTAAAAAAACCTGATCAATTTTTAGGTTTTTTTTTTAATATTTAAGGCTTTTAATGTTTTTTGATACAATCTGAATTCAATATTTCGTTCGTTTGCGTAGCCACGCTGTACCCCTTTTTTGAATATTTATTAAGAGAATCAATCAGTCAAGCCACTGATATTTCCTTATGGAACATGGGAGTTTCAATTGTTTGACTGGCCAAAATGAAAGAACTTCATTTCTAGAGGAGATAATTTCATCATAAGAGAAAAAGAATGGCAAGATAAAAATGTTAGGATGATAAATAGAGATTCCATGATGAAAATAAATAAAATAATTACCTAGCAACAATTCATTTTACTTACAGCCAATATAGTAATACCATTTATTTCTATAATATATTATTTATGGTTATTTATAGTATCAAGGCACACGGGTAGACAGGATTAACCTGACTGCTGGTGGTTTAGTATTTTATCATGACATGAGGTAATGATTCTAGTTATAGTCAAGTTTTTCAAGACATAAATTAATTTCAAGCTGGGATTGAACATTTCAAATAGTCTACTAAAATAAACATATTTTACAATTCAACATTTTTTTTCTTTTTTCACTGAATATCCAGCCTTTTTTTTTTCGACAAGTGCCTTGGTGTTTTTTTTCTTAAACTGAATTGCAAGGTGTGATGATGAATGGTTTTAAAAACAACAAAAAACAAAAATGAAGGTTTTGAAAAAAAAAAATTGAACCCCCAAAAAATCAAATTACAACGTAAACAAGGAATAAGATTAAGATAATTTCAGATCTAATTATAAAGTTCACATAACATTTTATTAATTATTCACCCTTGTTTTTATTCCCCACGTTATCTTATTTTTTTCATTTCAATTTTAAAATACATTATCGCCACTCCACTAGAAACCTAAAAGTCATGTGACAGTTAAACTTAAAACACTGAATGGATTTAATGGGCACTGGATCCAACTCCACTTTCTGAATGAGACTATTTTGATTACATTATAAAATTTTGTTTTTTATACCCTGATCAATTTATTGCACTATAAGATTCAATCTTCAGACTTATTATTTGAGCATGTGTATTTCTAAGAAGGAATTTAGTAGCAAATATTCACGGTATAATTCATGATCCAAGTTTTAATTCAACAGAGTGGTTTACATTGCTAGAAAAATCACATTTCTGAAATCAATTATTCCATCATTTCTGAAGTCATGACACCAAAATTCATAATTTTCAAAAAGATTTTGAAAGTGGAGTTGAAGCATGCAGGGACATGAGATCATAATGATCATGGGACATTAAGAGTATTTTTCAATTCAAATTATTTCCTTCTTATGGCTGGACTTTTTAAAGTTTTGATCAAACCTCCAGTATTCTGATCTGTTCAAGATCCTAAATTACATCATCATCATCATCATTCAATCCCAATAGACCCGTTACTGATAACCCTCTATGACAAAAGGGCACCTGTTTCTGTTTGATTAATCTGATTGGTTGTCCCATGTCATATGACTACATGACAGTAATAATAACATCACAATACTGCATCAGATAAATTAAACTCAGGATTATAATAATAATAATAATATTAATAATAATAATTATAATATAGACATTTTCACCCATTAAGATCATATTAATAATAATGAAATATAAGATAAGGAATAGAAGTATTTTGTATTTTATTTGAAAAAAAAGACCCAAAGAAAACGAATGACTGGATAATAACATATATACATAATAAAATCAACTAATCTATATAAACAACATAACTAGAATAGGCAAAACTAAGGTACACTTTAAAACTTAACATTTTTCAGAATTTAACACAATATAACATGGTATGAGAGAACACGCACAAAATATAATAAGCTACCACTGGCTGTTGACTACTAGAGTTACTCCCCTTTATGCATTCTTTTACAACAATTAATCTATTACATATCAGATCTGATTTATGTGTCAAAATATAATAATAATAAAAATATTCAGGAAGTTTTAACAACCAGTATCTATCGAAATTTCACCTCAAAACATCTATTAAAATTTCTATGAGCAGACAAATGTAAAAAAAAATTGCATAATTTATTCAACATGGATGCCTACACTCTTTCACCATATTATCATTCTTCTTCTCACATGACGAGGATTGACCAATATGATCAATTTCTATTTCCAATGTCAGGCAAGCTTTTAGTCAGAAGATAATTATTTGTAATTGTCTGCTTTTTTTTTTAATGCAAAGAAAATAAAAATAACCACATTCAGATTACGTTTACCATGTACATGAAAAACAGTTTCATTCATTTTAAATATAAAAGATTTGACACATTGACAACATTCAATTCATGTGCACTCGTAAGTTCATCCGATTTAATCACACAACACAAAAAGCTGCGAGTGCAACATGGTGTGCGCAACACCTTCCGTCAATTTCTATCGTCGCACTTACAAAACATGTCTGGAATGAAGCTAAAAATAACGGCACGGACGTACGCAGGAGCAAAACATGGTCGATTGATAGATGTTAGAAAATAGAAGAATAATAACAATGAGAACATACAGCCATTTAACTACACACATCGTAATAATGAACATCTAATAATAATAGTAATAATATAATAATATTCCATATAGTAATAATAATAATCGAAGCAATACACACGGAAAACAATATTATTTGGCAGGTTTGGTAATTTTTTGATTTTCTTCTATTTCGTATAAAAAAGAAAAGGCCCCGATAACATTGCAGCATAAACCAGACACTTATAACATTCATAATAATTCTCTGCAAAAGATTTTACAAAAACAAATTGTTCAAAAGTTCTCAAAAATCATTTTTTCTGAAAAAATAAAGTCATTAACTAATGAGCCAATTCAAAATCTCCATGTTCATAAATTCTTTTCTTTCTTTTTTTTTTTTATACATAAAAACAAGTCATTTTATTAAATTCAGTTGCAAAACCAAACGTGGATTGTTTTTCTGAAAACAGTTTCATCCGATAAATTAATCTCCCAAAATCCCAATTCATCTGTCTTAGACATCACTTTGTCCAACATAAAGCTAATTGTAAAGTTTATATTTCTTCTACTTTCAATTTATAAAAGTTAGTTATACAGTTCTAATTTCAATTATAAACCATAGTTGTACAGTTGGTATATCGGAGGAGTTACAAACAATACATAGTACAATAAATATTAATATATCTTTGTTAATATCTGAATATCTAAAGCTTTGTTATCTCTTCCATGGCGGGCTTAAATCGTACCAGGCTTGGCACTTCAAAAATAAAACACAAAATCAACTTTTTAATAATATTAACAACTAACCTAATTAAGCAATGAAACAATTTTCGGACATTCATAATCGGACAGGAAACGTTGAACGCTGACATATGAAAAATCATATTTGACTAATACATTGCCAATAAGCTTTTCTTTCAAGTTTTCTTGGGACAAAAATCTAAAACACTGAACTTAAGCTTAGTTCCAAGGCAACCAAGCAATACAAATCCATTCCACAATTCAAGGAAAACTGTTTCAAAGTTAATTGGTTATATGACGACAGTTTAATGATGTACGAATTGTGAAAAAGGTGAATACTATGTTAATGACATATAGCTAGGAATTCATTTGCATAATTAAAATGTATGAATATTCATAATGCTTTAAGGCCGTTAATTGGTTAATAAATCCTTTTTGTTTTTGTTTTTTTTTTCAAAAGATGCTTAATTTTGAAACAAATAATTAGTCTTATTGCTTTAGATTTTGACATTTATTTTTTATTAAAAATTGTTTTATAAAACAAAAAAAATAACAAAGAAATAATACACTTTTAACAAAAAAAGAAAATCCCCTAAATTTTTTACTGAATTTGATTTTAAGATTGATGGCGTTTTGTTATGGATATATGATATGTATTTTATTAAGTATTCATTGTCATGGACGCAATAGCTGTTGGATATAGAAAATTTTGAAAATCAGTATTTAATAAATATTTCTTGGTATTATTTTTGGTAATAAACAACTTCTGTAGCTCAAAGTTTAAATTTTAAAAGGTGTAAGTTAAAAATGATTTCTAAAGTTGACAATAAATGTTGATAATTCTTCCAAAGTTTTTTTAACACATTGTAACGTTTAATTTCAATTTTAAAAAGTTTCTCAAAAACTCTGAAGCCATGCACCTTTCATATTTAAAACATAACCAGTTGCAAAATACCAGTTGATTTGATAATTTTGAGTTATAGGCAGTGATAATAATGTTGATATTACTATTAAAATGTATTTTAAGTCATAATCAAATGTCCCAAGTACTAAACAAATAAATTAGTTTAATTCTCTATTTGTGCTCTTCGGAATGTGATATAATGTTTATTAACAACATGGCATTTAAAATGATATTAATTTATGTTTAAATTTTGTAAGCAAAATACAATGTCAACAAGATTATTAGGATTTAAATATATTAAGTAATTAACAAAGACCCTTAATGAAAATAACAAAAGACTGATTAATGAAAAGATATCAGACAAAAGAAAAATTATTTGGAAGCAATAATTATGTAATAATAATAGTACATCGAAGTTTGGTTAATATATTGAAATGATTAACTTTTTTGGCAAAATTATATTTTTACAAATTGCAGGCGTTCGGCAAGAACTGTTCAGGTAACTTCAACACATTGTTAAAAAAAAAATAACAAAAAAAAAAAAGATACAAAATTTGTGAAGATTTTTTTTTTATGAATATTAAGTTAGTTTGCATTATGAAAAATATTTTTCGTTGTAGCGTCACACTTTTATGCCGTCAAGATGTCACGAAATCCCAACGTTATTCTGAATCCTCGTCATAGAAAAAGGGAAGCATTTGCGAAGATGTGGGTTATATTTCTTCAAACACGACACATGCATGCAGATAACACTCACAGAGAAACACATCAGTTCCATTTCTTTAGTTTAAGAGATAAAGCACCATTTTGTCAATGATAATTCTAAAAAAAAATATTTTTTTGATGAAAATCTTATTTTTGTTAATTTTTTTTATATGAAATGTTGTGATTAATAGCAAACATGCAAAAATAGTCTATAAAATGGTTTATAACAATACTATAAATCTTCATGAAAATTAGTTCTCGGTTAAACCTCATGTAAACCATCTTTAAACTGATTTCTCGTAAAAAAATCACATCTCCATCCAAATTCGTACCATTCAAACGAAAAAATACTCAGATTACTAATTTTCATGAAGATTTGGTCACAACAAGATTTAAAGCAAGGCTGTTCATATAAAGATTCTTGGTATGAAAAAATATGAAAAACAAAAAAAGAAAAAAAAGAACAAATTTAACAATCGTAACTGCACGTACAAACTATATCATTGAGAAAACGTGAAGATAATGCATATTTTTATCTTAATATTATGATTTGCATAACTTGCTCATAGGGAGACAAAAATATATTTCCGTTTACTATGACAACACATATAAAAAAGCACCGATGCCGTTTAATCTTCTTTTTTTTTTTTTAATAGATTATTTTTTTGTCAGTTAAGGGTTAGCATGTCAATGGGATACATTTCAAAAATACAAATTCTGGAAATTTTTGCAGAAAGAAAACATCCAACAAGTATATTATATCTACAATTTTTTCTTTTTAACAAAGTGCAAATATATTTACCGCACGTTTACAACGAACGAACTTACACAGGTACAGACAACGACAACATCGCTATGTGTGGGAGAAAAGCGTAACTACGGAAGACTGAACTGCCACTTGATTTATTTTTTTAACATTTAACTATAGAGCACAACCTTCAGTTCTTCATAAATAACAAGATAAAAATTCTATTCAATATCAACTAAATTTCAGAATATTATAGTAGATTTAATAAGCTCCGATAAATTCTCTTGTAACAAATAAATGAGCAAGTCTTTTATTTTCATGAAAGGTATCTGGTATCAGAAAAGGACCTCAAAATATTTCTTAATTTAAATGCAGTTTATTAGACTAAAATGATTTTAATATTTATCATGTTGTTATCAAATTTTATTCAAAGTAACTAAAACCATAAAATATCCGAATTCTAATTAAAGGGTTATCTGTAGTAGTATCAAATTATTTGAAATCTTCAGATAATTGAAAAGCTGGTGTTCCACGAACTCGGGGTATAAAAGTACAAACTGAAGAATGGCATTTAATCCTTATGATATCTAAAGTATTATTTTAAATCTTGGTTTACGTATTTAAATGAGTATATTGTGTTTTTTTTAAAGTAACAAAGGTTTATATCAACATGTCTATTGCTCGGTTTCCTACCCATGTTTTAATAATCTATTTACATTTAGATTAGAACAAGACATTGAAGGCAAAGAGTGATATATAAATATTTATAAAGATTTTATATTTAAAAACAAACTGATATGTATTATCTATTTAGTATTAAAGTAATTATTGAATAACAATAACGCTTACAAACGCAGCTCTAATAACATCTTGTAATTTGATCAAAGCTACCAACATTTAACTAGTACTACATGCATATATTTTTCACGCGACACAGATTTTTTTTTTTTTTTTTTTTTATATCTGTATGTTTTCAACAATAATAAATGCTTCTCTATATTTTGACAACCTTTTTCTACGACTAAATAATCAACGAGACATTTAACATTTAAATAGAAGCATTCTGATTGGATAATTGCACTCAATGGCTGAGAAAACGTCCAATAACAAATTTGTTTATAAAACAAGAAAAAAAAATACCAGCAGTATCTCGGATGGAAATGACTACTAGTGACTCAATAATCTAGACTATTTATGAAATGAGTAAATACTGATACAGTTGTTCCCCTTTAGAAAACAATAACGTTTCGTTCGTACGCTCGTCAGGACGACCTTTTAAACATGGCTGACAAACACACAACAGGTGGAGCTTTTCCTCCACAATATCAACATCTCATGATATAAAAAAAAAACGTGAATTCAAGTTTTTATCAAAATTTTCAAATTCAACTATTTGGATATGAAATATATATTATACATGTATAAAAAAAAAACACGTCTCTGTGGTTCTGAAGTAACGAGATACAGACTGGGTCCACGCTATTACTACCATATCTCCCTTTTAGCACTAAATTAAACTTATTTTAACGTAGATGTATATTTACGCAATCAAAATCACTTTGTTGACAAACTGTTAGTATCCAAATCATTTACAAATAAAAAGAGAAAAAAAAAAACACGGCTATTTACATCAAACCTAATAGACTATTATAATATCAAAAAAAAAAATCCTTTGAAAATGTAGTTGAAATTCATGTATCAACCAAATTTAATAGGACTGGAAAATAGTTAGGATTTAACCAAAATTCAACAAAAAAAACACATAATTATCTTAAATACAATTAAGGGATCCATCATTTATTGTCCACGCTTGCGACCATATTGTTTATAAATCAGCAAATTACTTCAAGCTACGATCTCCTTATTTACTTCCGAGCTATAATCCTAAATTACTTCGAGCTAGATCGTAAATTACTTTCGAGCTAGATTGTAAATTACTATGAGCTAGATCATAAATAAATTTCGTTTAATTGATATCTATTACTAGATATCTATTATTGGAGCCGATTGACGGAGACAGCAAGCGTAGAGAATAAAATGAAAATCATTCGACTATATTGCAACTCACTGAGGTAGGTACTCCTCTCCAACTTATCCATCCCAGAATATAAAAATAATAATAATAATATGATATTTAACAAAAGAGCATAAGTTACGGTGGGTTGATTGATCCATAGGCAATCTGTTTCATATTTTTATTTTGATCAAACATTTTATTCACCTCGAATTTTGAAAATGAAATTTATTTTTTAATGATTTAATATTGATGAAGTTATTAATTGAATACGTGTAGTTCCTTTTTTTGTTTTACAAAATGAAAATAATTTTTTAAGTACAAAGTACATGTACATGTATCTATGGATGAATCAAGTCCAGAAAAAACATTTGAAGCAAAATAAATTTACAATGTTGACAAGAATTAATAAAATAATTTGACAACAATACACCTGACCGGAAAGGATTAATCATTAATTAATAAATAATTAATTAAAAATCATAACAATGTTTTAATAATAATTATAATTCATGCAAAATGATAATTTAGTCGTGCTTCACCAGTCTGAATAGTCATTAGGGAATGAATGACAAGTAGACGTGATTAACAAAACTAAAAGATAAATAAAGAGATTACTATGTTAACTAAAAGGGGTAGGGGGGATAATTCAACAGAAAGACGTTATGCTTGAAGCCACATTAATACGGCCATATCACAAAAATTAAACAGGAGGAAAAAAGAGACCACATACATTTATATATATATATATATATAAGAAAACTCAACCATAAGTGACATAAATAGTTACAGAAATTGATGATTTTGATGGGGGTTTTGTGATTTAAACTGAAATGTGTATTTCGATTTTGGTATCTACGGTTACCATAACAAGTGCTGATCACCTAATACTGACCAATCAGTGTAGTAATGGTAACTAGCTACGTTAACGTTCTCAGTAACCATTGTGACCATTAAGTAAAAAGGGAGTTAACTCCAATCATGGGGGAGACAACTCTTGTCTACAGAATGACTAGTAAATAGGAGGCTTTCCATTGGTTAACAATATAATTAAATAATATAACATGGTTATTGTAAAAAAAAAAACTGGATAATCTAAGCAACTAGTTTATTATGATAGAAGCTCAACACTTGATAACCTTAACTTAATAGAAATCTGAAATATTATAATTGCATTTTGGAGCTTAGCCATTTATCTTCGACTGGCGGAATTATTTCAGTATTTTACATATACTTGTAGATGTAGAGTTTGTAATCTTTACTTGCCAGTACCACTGATCCGTCGTCCATCAACGCCACATCAAAGCACTGAGCATGCTTGACTTTACTCTCAAGGGCATTAATCAACTGGCCATCCTGTGTAAAGTTGGTCAGATTGAAGTTGTTGTGATTATCTGCGACTAAAACTTCTCCGGCGCTGTTGATGCCAACTCCAATTGGATAATTAGTAATACCCTCTCCTCCGATCTGTCGTAGATATAGGCCTTGATAATTGAAGACTTTCACACAATGGGCTCGGTTGTCGCTGATGAATATTTCCTCCTTGTCGTTGACCACAACACTGTTGGGAAACTGGAGATGTTTTGAGCAGCCAAACTTATTGAGGACGTTACCGTACTGGTCGAAGATAATTACCCTCATTACCTTACATTCCACAATGATGATTCTACCCTTGTTGTCAACGGTTACCCCACGTGGATGTTGTAGAACATTGGCGCCAAATTTACGGACGAACTGACCATATTGGTTGTAAATCTGTATTTGGTGTGTCGGACTTCTCTCTGTGACGATTATATCGCCGGATGCCTTTACTACAGATACTCGGTTTGGATAGAGTAATTGTCCATCCCTCTTGCCGCATTCACCGAACTGGAACTTAAATCTTCCTTCTTTGTCGAAGATCTGAATTCGGTGGTTATTTGTATCTGCAACGATTATGTCATTTTGAGCATTTACTGCAACGCCACTAGGCTCTGTAAACTGACCTTCAAGGACTCCAAATTCTCCAAATCGGCAATGATAGATCATCTTTTGACGTCTGATTTGTGATTTTGGTGGGTAGAGACTAGAGCTTATTAACTTGGATGTCAGGTCACCCATTGGATCTGGTGGTGGTGAAAACACATCAATTCCGTTCTGTAAAATATCCAGTCCGCTTGACCACTTCTCGTATTGGTTTGTGTCGTTTGGGGGAAATATCAGACTGGAGGTTCCAAAATCTTTGGCCAGGCAAGATGGGTCAAAAATATGACCGTTGGTTAAATTGGAAGTAGAAACATAGCCGTTGGGGCGGGCGATAGGTTGGGGCTTTGGTCCGTTGGTGATTTCGTTACCTTGACGAATGTAACCAAACGTGTTCCTGACGCCTGTCTGGATGGCTTGGAAGTTGGAGACGAATTCGAGTTCGAAATAATTCTCTTTATTCAGATCTGGTAAATAATTGAACATGTTCTGAAAACGTTGTTCAATAAAGTTCTTCAATAAAAGAGCTTCAGTCATTGAAGCATGTTTGATCAACCTATCCACAAATTCGCTGCCTAAGTAGAGCTTTTCAACGGATTCCGTGATTTTCTGAGCAAGAGTGCTAATGGCAACTTGTTTGGTGTTGAAGGCTTGGTCCAGTTCTTTCAAGGCTTCTTGTTTTCTCTCCTCGAGCATGGCTCGGTAGAAGTTATATGTGTCGTTGATGTCATCTTGCGCTTTAGTATACTGTGATTGTAACGTGGAAGAGATGTGCTCGATACCTTTAGCAGATAATCGTAACTCGTTGATCTTTGATCTGGCGTCTGACTCCAGGTGGCGCATTGTGTCAACTTGTCGATGGGCGACATCCATTAAAAATTGACATTCGTGGCCTCGTCCATGTTCGAAGACGGTGCATTCCTTGCAGATGGGCTGTGAACAGGTTTTACAGAAAAATTTCAGAACATCGTTACGATGACGGGGACAGTTGACCTGTTTGTCAGCCTTAGGTTCATCTTTGTTCATTTGAAGGTCGCCCAAACTCAGGACTCGATGTCCTTCAAAACAGTGCATAAACTGATGAGCCATAACACAATTAGCACAGAGAAAATTGGCGCAATCAAAACACCGAGCTACAGCGTTAGTTTCTTTACTTTTACAACCTGTACAGTTTAAGGCACTACTTTCTAAAGCATTCGACTCCAATATGTTGCTCACTGCGTAATCTGGCTTCAGGCCCATTAATCCATCGGCACCTAATATGGTGTCATGTTGACAATCTGGACACGTTATTTTATCTGTGCATTCTTGAGATTTCTCTAAACATGGCTGGCAGAACGTGTGAAAACAGCTTAAGACTTTTGGTATCGTAAACGTTTCGGTACATAGGTTACATCGTGTATTCATACTGGTTGACTCCATCTCACTATCTGACGAGTTGGATGCTGTCGTCAAAGTGTCACTCTGCGAAGGAGTGGGAGATGCCATATTGAATTCTTATTAGATACCACTTCTATAAATTGCACCTGAAAATAGAAGAAAATATAACATAAGCAAAAAAATAATCTACTTAATACCTGAATTATATTATAAGAACAGCATGTGTCTATGTAAACATGCTCTTTTTAATTATTTACAGAGCAACATTAGATTTCACAAGGGGCTTGTTCATTAAAATTGATCTTTGTGAACAAAATGTCCAAAAAAAAAAAAAAAATCCACGAAAGCGCTTTTCTTGAAAGTTTCAGCTTAAAATATAAAGTATAACATTGTGCACCTGTGCGAGTGACATGGTGATCGCGAGCTTCGGATAGTCGTACAGGGTTAGGATTAGAGTTTCTACAAGACTTCCAGATAGAAGTCAAAGGTGATTTATTGTTATGGCAAATGGCAATATACAGATCAAATCCTGCTGATAGTAAGGGACGTCCTGACAGGCACCTACCTGTACAGGGAAATATCACAACAGAATTGATGGACACCAAACAAATTTTCCATGACAACAGACTGAGATTATAGTGAGATTATGAAGAGACTTATGTTCAGAATTGTTGACTAGTTAGTTATATATTCTACTCTCAAGGGAATAAACATCAAATAAATAAAAATATTTACAGTTCAATTGTCTCACTTCTAGTCTCATTGAAGATAAGGGATAATTTAATTCCAAAAGCACAACAGAATGCTTGACAACCAGGAAGACCTATAAATAAAATCTATCTTTCCACAACAAGAAAATATCAATCTGAACTTGGATCAAACATAAATAAAGAAGAGAGGTTAATCTGAGTAAACCTCGTCAAAATCCAACCAATGACAAAAGGTATTGTATCTGAGTAGATCCAGTTAACAAAAATCCAATCAGAAACAGGGTGACTGAGTAAAACTTTGTGAGTCATTTCAACTGAACCAATCAATGAAATTGACACACTGAGCTTTCTTCAATAAACCAATGAGCTTAACACAAATAAAACTTTATTCATGAATGGTAAATGTTCACAACATCCTCCTTAATAAATTACACAATTAAATAATAGTGCTCATGCCAATATCCGAATATGAATAATTTTTGAAGGCCCCAGATCCATTCACTTGATTTGATTTTTGTGGTTTATATTTCTAGCAATGTTTGTGTAGCTTGTCTTGTCTGCAGGTTTGTCTTATTGGTTTTGTTTCGAGTGTAGTGCAGTGGTCCTGCACTTACTTTTCAAGCCTGCGACAAAATATTTAATTTGACTGAAATTTTTTAATGTATCTATTTTTCTTTTTTAACTAGTATAGAAAGAATGGCAAGCTCTTTATCTAAATCTTGCATAATGTATCTTTAACACTACTAATTTAATAATACACAGTATCAACTAAAATAAACAGATAAAGGAAAATATATTTAAAACATTCATAATTTCTAAAGTTAGGTTGCCAGGCAACAAAACATATGCTTCGTATATTTTTACTTTTTTCGGTAATGAAACATTTATAATACTTTAAAAATCTGATTAAGAGTAACAACTCATTATGTAATTATCAGAAAACCATTAGAATTTGTTTGGTTTTTATAAAGTTCTGCCCCATGCTAACGTTTAGTATACCAAACTTTTAACATCATGAATTTAGCTGTTCAAGTCATAAAGATTCATTGAAAATCAATATACTTGTTCGTCTCAAGACCTTAAACTCTGTATCAATCTGAGTCAATCGGATGATCATAACTTTAGCCACAAAGCGTCACAAGATTTTTCAAAGTGATCAAGGGCCATAACTTTGGTAGTAATTATCTGAAATCGTTGAAAATCAATACGATTCTTCATCTCATGGCCTCAAACACTGTGTAAAGTCAATCGGATATTCACTTTAGCCTCTAGAGCGTCCACAAGATTTTTCAAAGTGATCAAGAGCCATAGCTTCTTCGTCTCATGACCTTAAACACTGTGTTATAAATTTAAAGTCAATCGGATATTAACTTTGACCTCTAGAGCGTCCACAAGATTTTTTTTGGAAGTGATCAAGGGCCATAACTCTGGCAGTAATTATCAAAAATCGCTGAAAATCAATAGGATTCTTCGTCTCATGACCTTAAACACTATGTATAAATTTAAAGTCAATGGGATATTAAGCAATTGTGGACGCCGGACCGACAGACGGACGGATGGGGGTGACAACAATATACGACAACATTTCAATGTGGGCATATAAAAATGTACCATAAATAGTCTAAACAATGTACGTTTGTACATTTCAATTGTTACTAATAATAACGTAAAATATTCAAATAGTAAACTCTGCATTTGATATGACAAGACAAATACATGTAAAGGCATTGTCTCGTCTCCAACTCATGGAATGTATAACACTTTCAAGCCTTAGGCCCATGTTAATGTGTATGTACAATGTATATCACAAATTGTACATATATATTTATAAATTGTTTACTTATTCATTAAAGAAATTCTTGTCAACTGTTAATGCATAGAAATGGTTACTGTTTGAGGTTCTTTAGACTATTAAAATCTGTAGATTCGCATATGTTTTCGCCAAATTTCTTAAGAGCTATTTTTTTCTGTATGCAAAATATCAGTGAGAAATGAGTTGATTTTTCATGGCAAGAGATTTATAGAGATGAGAAATCCTTATATTGGAGTGAAAAGCAGTACATCTACCCCTTATTAAACAGTTCACTAATCTCACAGAATAGATCAATATTATCTTTAAGCCCTTTTTGTCAAGACCTAGTAGGGGGTCATCAATAAAAACACTCCTAAAATACTTCAAAGATAAATAACATGTACACTTGGTAACCATAACAACTACCAACAAGCTGTAATCTTTGGGTTCAATGTTCACATTTTATAAATTAAATGACTAAATTCCAGGACTTCAAATGTAAACCTTGACTGAAATAACTTTTGTCTTGTAACCGTGTCATGTCAGGACTAACATGGACCCTAATCCTTGCTTACAAAGATCACCGAACCTACACACCATGCAGCCACCCAGAACCTAAACCCCTTATAATTACATATATTCTAATTGTACTTTTAATGTCAGTTAAATACAAACTAATATGATGGGGTCCTGGTTTCACAAAGCATTCTCAGTTAATAGAATTAAAACAAGTTTTAGTGAAACCGGTGTTTGTTCTTTTGTTTCCTATAAAATATTTCCCAATCTTAACTCCGTGAAAGCAATGTCCTTCAGCCACTTAGTCTAGATGGCTTAAAAACTAGCATGTTGCAGTTCTTCCAGTAACTCTTTTGCCTGGCTTTGTCTAAATTAGGGCATGCACGTTTCATTGCTTTTTGCTGTTTCAAGTACATGTGTGTAATTAATTATAACCTATGACCTTTCACAATTAAGCTGGTTTTGCGTGAATACGACACTCTTATTGCCTTAAAAAATACCAATGTTTTTATACTAACTAAAAGATAGCCATCAGAAGGGCATACAATATTCAAACATTCATAAACATATACAGGAAAATACATAGATTCTTAAAAAAATAAAAAATAAACCAAATTGAAAATGTAAACCGACGCAGCTTGTCTCGTTGCTAAAAGAAATAGCACATCAATTCGACCAAATCAACCATTTTTTTTAAAACATTTAATCAAGAAAGCATTGGTTATGTTTTATTTTCTTTGTCTTGCCTGAATCTAAAGTCACTTTTTCTCAAGGCATCAGGATATAAATGAATTTAAACCAGACTGGATTCATTACAAATTCATTACAAATCATATAAACCCAATTTAACATTTATTTTGACCTGAATTAGAGGTCCTAATTTCTTTGTCTTCCATAAATCACAACTCTAAAAAGAGTCACTGTACTTTCTTCCCGACATCGTGAGTGAAATAATGAAACTATATTTCTCCTCGAACTGTCCGACCTATCTGTGTGAAGATCTCTCACGCAGCTGTTCACTGCATGATGCAAATACCATGCACATGTTGGAAGTTGTAAATTACCCACTCATGAAATTTAACACGTCACAAGGTAAAATAAAACTGTTGTTGGAAAGTTTCAAGATATAAATGAATTTAAAGACTACACATCTGGTGAAAGTATTGAAATCTTGGAATGCTTTGCTTAGATTTTATCTGGCGATGAAAACATTTATAAATAAAGACATTGCTGCAGGCTTTCTCTATCTATACACATATGTACATGTACATTTATACAATTAGAAAGATAGAGAGAAGTAGGGTTAATGTCTACTTGACACAAAATAGGTCATTTTGGGACAAATTTATTTTGCGTATGGCTCTTTAGCAGTGGGAGGAAACTGGAAAACCCATGTGCTTGAGCAAACGACACTAGTCCTCGTCATTTTCAAGCTTGGGATCAAAACCACGCCACTTGACGTCAATTAGACAACTCAAAACACACAACCCCTCTTTATAAAACCAAATAGCAATCTGTATGCAATATGGTTAGCTATGCAAGCCCATATTTGGCTTGAATTTTTTTGAACATGTATTTTAATAAAGTCAAATATATTTTTTGTCTTGGCACTACACAAGCCATTCATTCTATGACATTTCTCTTATGACTTGCAATGTCTGTGTGTTTGTCTTGTTGGTTTATAATTAATGGTTATGTGTGGTTGTTCATCAGGGGCCTTTAAGAAAATTTAAAACTAAAATATTTGAAGAATGCAGGATTTTCATTAGTTTAAAGAGTTAAAATTTGTCAAGGATGCTTTTTGTGCTCACCCAATGAAATTTCAATATTCTTAAAAATATTTTACTTGAAGTCTTCATGAACAGGGTCCCTGGCACTTAACGGTATTAGGTCATTTTAGTCAAGAAATATGTAACAAGCTTTCCTCGTAAATCTAACTGCAATTGTACAATTACATATAGAAATCTGATAGAAAAATGGCTGACGTTTTACAATTTTCAGACATTTGTTTAATCCTACATTATTTGAGACACTGATAAACAATTACACAACTAAACAGATTTTGTTTTGTTCTGCAAATTCATATCATTAGGCCTACTGTATGTTATTGCAGAGAAATTTTTGACAG